CTATCGTGGACGGCGGCCATGGTGGAGCAGCTTGGGGCTAGGGGAGTAGGGACCGCCAAGGAGCTATGTCATCGAAAAAGGGGAACAAAAACAACAAGCAAAAACGAACCTCGCGAAGGGAGCTGGTCACGGATTTCTTGTCCTGTGAGCTGAAGTTGTTTTGCGGTCTGGCGGACTGGCCGGTAATGGGGTTCTTAGCCGAAGTCCAGGCCTTTTGCTGGACAGGAGGGGCAGACTGTCTGTGCGGATTGTCAGTCTACTGTAGAGTCCGTCAAGCGGGTAAGAGCATGGCAATGAATGGGAGGAAGGGGAAGAAAGATACAGGTGGATCCAAGGTCTAAGGGGTCTGACAGGATGGGAGGATGGGCAGGCGTGAGGACGGGGGGTCTGTTCAACTGTTGCATCGGTGTGCGGCTGCCGTAAGGCTTGGGGTCTTATTGAGGGCAAAGACGTGTGTTTGAAGGGGCAGGAATGAGACACACCTGTTCTGCTGGCTGGTCGAAGTGGCCGGCACTGCGTCTGAGGTCCTCGCTCGCTGGTCGCCGAGCTTGCTGCTGTAGAGGGGACGGGTCGCGGGGGACTTGACGTCGGGCGTCGACGACTGCGAGGGGGTCGAGGCTGTGGTGGCGGGCTTCGCGGAAGCCGGTCGGTTCTCCATGCTGCCTGCGGTTGGGGTGCCAGTGAGGGTCACTGGTCTCGCAGTGTTGTTGCACCTTCTTGTCGGGAAGAGGTGTTGGGATGTGGAAACAACTTTTTGGCGGTGGTGAGAGGAGGGTGCGGCGGGCGGCGGGAGATGGTGCGGTGCGCGGGTGCGGCCAGCGGGAGCGGCAGGAGGCTAGGGGGACGCTCTGCGGTCCGGGGGTGTTTGCACCAATCTGGCGAATCAGAATGACGAGTGCTCGTCCGACTGGATCAGTCTCGAGTTGGATGTGCTTTGCTGCCTCTGCATCGACAGGACAGGCCCGAGTGTCTTTTACTGGAGGTGTCCAGTAACGACGGCGGGTTGGGGTCCGTCTGGGGTTTCGGTCCCAGAGGTGAGTGGGCTAGACCGTCAGACCGTCAGACCGTGTATTTACAGACCGAATACAACAAGGCCGCGCAACGAGTGCATCAAAGTCCTCAGTTTCTACGTCTTGTACGAATCGCGATTGGATTGCAAAGTCGTGCTCGGTCGGACTCGAAAGGGTCGTTTGGTATGATTAGGGGGGTTGAATGGGGCGTCGCTAAAATGCAGAGGTAGGTACTGCTTGTATTACCGGATTGGATCTCGTCGATGGCGCGGTGATGAGGCACGACTATGCGGCTCTCAACCAGAAGACAAGGAAGGGACTGCGATCGATATGAAAAGCGATCAACAGCGGCGGTGGGGGGGCAGGGCGGAAGGAAGAAAGAAAGAAGCTTGTCAACGGGAATTTTGGCGGGACCCAGCGACGTGGGTTGGCGGGGAAGGTCAAGAGCTCTTCTGAAAGAAGCTGCGAAAGTTTGGAGGCATTCACCAACACAAAAAAGAGTCAACACTTCAGTTGATGGATGCTTTGAGTGCCTGACACATGTAATGTAGACAGCTCCTTTTGACGCACGTCACAGGCGGTCGGTTCCTTCAGTGTCCGATACAAGAAGAGATCAAAATGTCCACCGCAAAGGCCAGGCCTGAGTTCCGTCTTTTGAACCTGGACAATCTGGCAGTGAAGGCCTGCGCAAGTCGGTCGGGAGACGGTCTGGATGGAAAGAAGGGGAGCACGAACCCCCATTGGTCAAGAGGAACAAGCACGTGATCCTTCCTTGTGTCCCTCCAATTGCTCCCGTTACGGCATCTCACCTTTTCTCTACCAACTGCATAGCATCTATAACGCATAGCGGGATGGACTCTTGTCTTTGTGGAAGAATTCCAGACGGCGATACCGAGAAATCCAGGGTGCTACGGTTCGTGAAGCAACTCCCAAGATCATCAACTTGAATTGCCCTGCAATTTCCCCAATGCCACACACGAAACAATCCGTTTTGATATCCATGGACGACAGAGTGAGACCATGTCACCCCAAGCAAAAGTTCGAGATCTCTTCCATGCCATGCTGGTAACTGCAACTTTGATGGACTGCCACACGTTTTCTGTTCTACATATTGTTCAGATCGCTCAAGTCATCAAACCGGCATCGTTGTTCGGCTTTAACATATATATCTTTGGCCAGGGATCGAAACCTACATATCAAGAATTCTAGTCTAGTACGAGAGATACATACAGTGACTACCATCTCATCGGCCTACCTACGTACCTAAGCGCTCATTATCGACCTGTTTGGCATGCCCATAATAGCAATCTTTAACACACGCTTCGCGACAACCAGTGCGCGCTACATATGTAGATGTTCTACTGTCCGCCCTCGTGGCTCTCTAGGTCAATCCTTGTTGGAGGCGAACTTGAACGGATGCAAGCGACGGCATGGTCGCTTATCTTCTCTTTTCCCCGCAGAACCGCTCGCCTAGTGTACACACGCGCCGCCTGGCTAAGATTCACCCGCTGGGAAACATGGCGGGAAAGACCCTTTCAAGACGGAAATGATCTTTAGAAAGGGAGGCTAAATAGCTCTTGGAGAGGTAAACTGAACTACTGTGTGCTAAATCAACCACAACATCGCCGGCGGGCGGCGTGGTGATGTCATTGCGCGCTTCTATCACTCTCCTCTACTTATCTTGGGCCTAACAGTGTTTGTCGTCCGGTGTACCGGCATGGCAAGTCATGCGAAGGATCGATTCCCGCATTGCTATTTCCCAATCCGCATCTTCAAGTGATCAAATATTGTCCATATCGGTTGTATCAAGTGGAACATTCCCCAGTGGTCGTCTCTCTGGTGGAGGAAACTTTGAGCGGGAGATCGACCATTATGAGACCCGACCGTTCGGCTCTTGTGATCCGTTTAAGTGATCTCTTGGCCTTCCTGTTCCTGCAGGTACGCTTGTGGCCTTGATCGGATCTTGCGTAGCTTTACACTGCAAGAGACAGGGCTCAATATCGCCTCCTTTCTCCGGTTTGGGAATGGTGATCAACCGACAGGATGCAGTATTTTGTGCACAGTATCGACTTGTGTTGTGCTTTGGTACGTAGCGACTTGAATTTGTGGCAAGTGCAATAACAGCGGCAACGAATATTCAGCATAGAAAGGGAATTACCGGAATCTTATCATGAAAATTTGCGAAGAACATATCAGTCAAGAAGCAAAAAGAAAACAATGACACAAAGAGAGAAGAAGATAAGTACAAAACCAAGCAAAAGCGCAAAGCTAAAACTTGCAAAAGATGAGGTCGTACCCGGAATCGAACCGGGGTTGCCGGAATGTTCTGATGGAGATTCAGAATCCGGAGTGATAACCGCTACACTATACAACCGTTTCCAGTTGATTGATGTTTAAAAGGCCCAGATCCAGTACTTATAAGCCCCACTCTAGCAGCAGACACCCCACGCAACACCAACTGATGAAGGACATGCAACACGATGAGGACACTCTTTGATCTTCAAAGCATTTCACCATTTTGAAATTTAACTTAACACTCGCACTTTATGGGGAGCTTTACGAGATACTGCGCCGAGTTTATACCATTTTCCCCGAAATCCATCACCTCCGCCGATTCCTGCACGAGCACATCCTAGGTACTGTAGCATCTGTCAGCCGATCCGGTGGGTGACCCAGGACGGCAGCATCATAGCTACCTATCTTGAGCCACGCCGGGATTTATTAGAAAGAACATAATGTAGCATGTATCATTGTAAGCTTGCGACCTTTCATCTCTCCTCAGCTCCTAACACTGCTTCTCTCGCTTACACCGGTACTTCCAACTATGTACCCCCACCGAGCAGTCCCGGGTCGTCTAGACTGCTCGATTCTCCGGTCCATACCCATACCATCCATCCATTAGTAGACAAATATTTGAGCGTTTGCAAAGATATCCCATAGCGTGAAGCCAGGTCCCCCCCGGACAACTGATATCTGGCGGCCTTTCACAAACGTCGAGACTTTCGAATTTTTGGCAAAAGCCAGACCTGCTTTGAAAGAGAGAGAGCCATGGTGATTGGAAGGATGTATAAGGTAGGTAGACGTCGGCTCACTTGACACCTCTTCTTCACCAACCAGTGGATGTGCGTATGGACCACAATCCAGGAGGCACCTCGGTTGGCAATTGATATTCTGGACAACTTCCGGAGAAGTGACCCTGTCATGAATGATCTATCCCGAGGCTGCTGCTGATAACCCAATGCCCTACATGCGTAGTATTTCTCGCTCTCCATGCCTTTCCTAGAAAACCAAGGCTGGCAACATCACTACTGACCCGCGCTTCTCCCAACTATGATATTCAATGTCCGATAACCAGCGCTGTTCGGGGCTACTTGAGGCTGAAAACCAAACGCCACATCACATCACAGCCCGCTTACCTTCTGGCGCGTAGGTGTGCTTGTGGAACCTGTTCGGAGCTAGGTGACCAGATCTGGACTCGGGAGCTGGATCAGGTTTGTGACACCATCGTGACCGAGTACCCGGACCAACACAAGTGGACTGGAAACATACCCATCGAAAGCACACGAAAGATTCCAGTTTTGGGGACAACAAAGCACGCAGGAAACAATGAGATGATGGAAGATGTCCCAAAAAAACGGACCGCCAGTAGCAAGCCCCATTAAGATTCAAGTGTGTGATGGTCTAACTGTATATGCAGAAGATGATGAAGAAGCAAAAAGTGTGTGCAAACCGAGCCAACAGAGGGCTCATGCAAAAGGTGAAAAGAAGATTCAAAACAAGACGAGACCATCAAAAGCCCAATGGCCTCGTCCATGCATCCATCCCATGAATGCCCAAGAAGTGAAGTGATAAACGCCTTTTGGTTCCCGGTATAGATATTCCCGATGTAAACATATCCCATCCATAGCGTAGGTAATCATCCAGGCCACTGACTGGTCCACATACAAGTCGTGTAAGGGGCCATCATGGAAGTTCATCCAGCCCAGTCCTGTATATACCCAACCGAATACCAATGATACCTCCCATCCATCCAGTCATTATTTCAGTCGATGCTCCCGATGCTTCAGATGAGGCGCTTGCTTAAATGGCAAACCCAGCAGCAACAACCAACCCAATAACCACCATGCCAAACTCGCTCTTGCGATCCAAGTTGGCTCCGTTGGTAGACGAAGGAGCAGCGCCGGTGGACGAAGCACCAGCACCAACCTTGGAGGTGACGGTAGCAGTGACCTCCTCGGTGCTCGCCGCGGGCTTGGTAATAAAGGTGCTGTTGGAGTAGATGCCGCCGGCCGTGCTGGAGATCACACCTCCAGTGCCGGTGGGCAGAGGAACTGAACCGGTGGAGAGAGAGATGGGGGCGGTAGAGAGAGGGACGCTGACGGCCACGGAGGTGCTGTCCTCGATGCCGTGGGCGGCGGCGAGGCCGGCGAGGGTGGAGATGAAGAGGGTCTTGAACTGCATTTTGCTGTTTGTTTTGGTGGTTGTTTGTGTGTGGTTTTGTTTTGGTGGTTGTGTGGTGTGGTGTCGAGTAGCTAGTTAGGCTGACTGTTGTTTATATGCTTCTTGTGATGATATAGCGATTGTATATATGTCGTTGTTTGAATTTGAACAAGACCGGAGAAATGGTTGTGTGCTTGTAGAATCGAAGTCGTGTGGTTTGAACGAGTGTGTGTTGGTATGACCAAAAAAAGAAGCGAGATATCAAAGAAGAAGAGAAAACCAAAACCTCCCCTTCATTGCGGCACGCAGCCCGTCTTTTAATACGAACTCAGGAAGCAACAACAAAAAGTTTGCCCGGTCATCTGTAAACGGTCTGGACCTAGGGGGAGCACACGCAACAACAAACAAGGGTCGATCCCCGTTCGTATCAAGGAGGCCGCATTCATTCTAATCTCGGGAATCCAAACGCCATGGCGTCCAATGTTTCTCCCGCATTCAAATTGACAAAAAAAGAAACATGGACTGGTGGGCTGGAGCGGAAGGGAACCTTGTGATGGAAGGTGTGGTGTGTGAAAAGGGAACCGGCGTAATGCAGCCAGCCGCAAAAAAGAGGACAGGAAGCGGACAATGCGAAGCCCCTTCACTTCAGTGGTTGCATCTCAGTCAGTTCAATGCAGGCCGCGTATCAGCTGGGGGTGTGGGATGCTTCAACAAGGATGCGCACCTAGGCGATCCCTCGAACGCCTCAGTGGCCCTCCTCCGGTTAGCAAGCAACCACAGCCATGAAAGATGATTGGACAAAGAGGATGATGTTAAGGGAGAAAGGCAACGTTGAGAGAGCCCCAGTGACCCCCCCTTGTCCGCGTGGGCTTGCGTGGCTCGAATTCGACGGACTGTTTCGAGTTTTGAAACGGACTGCCCTGCCATTGCATGTTTTGACGACTTTTCTCTTGGATTCGACGCAAGAAAATAGGGGGCTAAAGGGAGGGGAATGGAATGGCTTTGCAAGACACAACTTGTGACTTGTGACATTGAAGCTGTCTCGGCTGTCAAACCCTTTTTGCCATGTATAATCGAGGCACATTATCCAGATCACCACTGCGGGGCATTTTTGCTCTCGAGAGTGTCTGGATGGCGGCAGAATAGCTGCAGGTCCGTGGATATGCAGTGCCATGATAGTGATCCGACCCGGTCAACGTTGTATGGGCGCAAAGGGTTTGGAGTAGATGGCTACTTGCCTGCGACTGGATGATGTTATCTTGATGGTGGATGATCACCACATTGGAGCAGCAGCAGGAATACGAGCAGAAGCAACACTGGTGCTTTGTCATTGAATGCTACTGTTGTAGAAAAGATTGCGATAGTCAGCCATCCTTTGAGGTGGCCTCGGTGGCGTTACCAAGTCACTTGAAGGGGGCAGTGACAGGATGGCTGGGCTGAGCTGAAGGAGGGTGGCCACCTCTACCCCTAACCCTTTGCCCTCTGAGGTAAGGATCGCGATACGATGATGTGGACCACTGGGTCGCACGACCGTCAATCAGTGACGAGTCTGACAGAGACAGAGATCCGAGGATGTGACCTGTGTGCAATGAAAATAGAAATTCGAGAAGGATGTGCCTTGAAACGAGTGACATTTTTTGGGTTGGGTATGGAATGCGATACGTATGACGGTGGAATGGAATTATGGAACATTGAACAGAACGATCTGCCGAATTTCGACCCCCGAACGTTGTGAGCTCTGTTCAAGTACCCGTGGATATGAGGACGGTTTGGGAGACAACAACTCAATTCCTTGAGTAATGACAATGAATGCTTGAATTGTATGGTCAATTGGTCTGAGTTCGAGGAAAGAGAAGAAAAAAAACGAATTCTTGGGATCCAGCCAAGTACCGAAAAACGAATACCTTGGTCGGGCACAAGTTCCTTCCTTCACTGTTCTCAGCGTGCAACTTGGGAAGGTGTTACCTGCAAAATCTGTCTCCCAACCGAGCCCGGAAACGAGGAAGAAGAGGGCTGGAAACTGACCGAAGGAGTTCTGACAAGGCGCAGGTGACAACGAATTCACGAGTATCGACCGTCACCGAAGAGACGAATATCGTATCGCCAGCAACCCCATCGTTGGAACGTTTCGCTCGAGATAAACACCAGCGCCACATCTTACCAGCAGACGGACCACCTCGTCTTCGCCAAAACTTCGGCAAAACCCCCATCCTCACGGAGCCACGGAGTCACTCGCGCGGATGAACAATCCCCATCCAGCATCCGTACGAAAACTCCGCCCGCGCAGCAGTCGGGCGGAGATGTGCGAAACAGAATATGGAAAAGCTGCACAGGTGCGAATGACCTCTCTTTGTGTGGTGTCAAACAGAAGGCGGCGGACGATAGCGGCAATCACGGGGGATACGGGCCGTAACGGCTCAACTTCGGGAGACCGATGCACTCCCCGGGCGGGTCCGCCGTGTGCCCGCCAAGACTGCGGCGGTGTGTGGGGATGCATTGCTCTTGCACTTTGCAGAGAACAATGACACTTTTTCGATTGTTGGATTCTTGGAGAAAGCTTGAATGTTTTTGCTATTGCGGTTCTGGAAAGCAGCTGTTAGTTTTCGTTGAAGTTTTGGGGGGAATTTCGGGGTTCCATTGACAGCGAGTTCGTTCCTAACCATTCAGTGGAGGACTTTGAGAGTTCATCCCGCCTCTTTTTAGACTCTCACAAACTTGATAACCTAACTGAACTCAAGGAAGTTGTGAAAGTTTGACGATGTGATACGGCACCGAATCAATCTAAACGACACAGCGACAAACTACCGGCGGCCTGGAACGTCAAACTTCAGTGGGAAAGAAGCCAACGAAAAGCTACCTCATTACGTAGCATTTTTGCCTTCTTTTGAGTTTAGGCTTGACGTTCCCTTTTGGTTGGTCAATCTGTTCCCAACCGCTCCAACGCCGCCGCTACTATCGACGCCGCCATCTTGGCTGCCCATGGCCGCTTGATCTTCGGTTGATTGTTTACCGTTCGTTGTTCGGATTTTCCTTCCTAACACACCCACTCATTCTTCATCCCCTTCATGCAATGTAGTAATGTTGTTATCGTGACTCCGCGCATACCGTCCTTCTCGAAGATCCCCGCATCAGCAACCTCACGAGTCGTCACTTCAAACAACACAAACTAGTCTGACATACATATCGCCCAGTCTTGTAGTAGGGGTATCCGGGCCGTGATCAAGACCATGAGGGATCAGGCATCGTGAAAAGATTCGGATATAAAAGGCCGGGCTCGCCGTGGCTTTTGAACTACTCGAATAACTGTTCTATATCATTGTTCCGCGCTTCAACCCAAAGAGACCAGCAAGACTATCACTCCCATCCCCCAAGGCCACGATGGCCTCCTCAACCACCCCTGGGCCCTCCGACCCGGAGAAGATGGACCACCAACTGCACAACATCCAACCAGCCCCAACAATATCAAACAACACCAATCACGACCACGACCACAACTCCGAAAAGCCCTCCGCCATCCCCATTGAAGGCGAGTCCAAGAACAACACCACAGCCAAACAATCCTCAAAGCAAGAAGAACCCGAGCTCGAGCAGCCCAACAGCCCCCAACAACAACAACCCGACCACGACCAAAACAAAACAACCTGGAACGCCTCCCGCACCTCCATCTCCCGCTTCCTCCTAATCTGCTACTCCTTCATCCTCATGGGCATGTCCGACGGCGCCATCGGCGCCCTGATCCCCTACCTGGAAACCTACTACTCCATCTCCTACACCATCGTCTCGCTCGTCTTTTTATCTCCCTTCGTCGGCTACTTGCTGGCTGCCCTATTCAACAATCTCATCCACCACCACTTCGGCCAACGCGGCGTCGCCATCCTCGGTCCGTTTTGTCGGTTGATAGGTTTTATACCAATGGCATGTCACCCCCCTTATCCTGCGTTGCCGGTGGTGATGTTATTCACCGGGTTCGGAAACGGAATTGAGGACTCGGCGTGGAATGCGTGGGTGGGGAATATGCGATCAGCTAATGAGTTGTTGGGGATTATTCACGGGTGTTATGGCCTGGGGGCGACGATCGGGCCGTTGATTGCCACGAGTATGGTGACGAAAGGCGGGCTGGAGTGGTATACGTTTTATTATGTGATGGTGGGGTTGAATGGGAGCGAGCTGGTGGCGATGACGGCGGCGTTTTGGACGGCGACGAAGGAGGTTTATCGGAGGGGGATTGCGGAGAGTGAATCGGTGGGGGATGTTGCTGATGTTGATGCTGATGAGGAAGGTGGTGATGCTGGCGGAGAAAACGAAGGAGGCAATCAACGGACGACAACTCGCACGGTCATGCGTGATCCTATCCCTTGGATTGTTGCCATGTTCCTCCTCGGTTACGTCGGCGCTGAGGTCTCCCTTGGCGGGTGGATCGTGACTTTCATGCTCAAGGTGCGGCATGCGGAACCCTTCAATGCTGGGTTGACTGTCACTTTCTTCTGGCTGGGACTGACGGTGGGACGAGTGGTGTTGGGTTTCATCACGGGCCGCATCGGGGAGAAGCTCGCCATCTCGGGATATCTTTTGCTATGCATCGCGCTGCAGCTGCTGTACTGGCTGGTACCGAGCTTCGTTGCCTCGGCCATCTTTGTGTCGTTCCTGGGTTTCTTTCTCGGTCCGCTGTTCCCCGCTGCTATTGTGTCGGCTACGAAGCTGTTGCCGCCTGGATATCATGTATCGGCAATTGGGTTTGCCGCGGCCTTTGGCGGTGGTGGTGCGGCCATCTTCCCATTTGCGGTGGGCGCGATTGCCCAAAAGAAGGGCGTGACAGTTTTGCAGCCTATTGTGTTGGCTATTTTGGTGTTTATCTTGCTGATGTGGTGGTTGCTTCCTGGGGGTCTGAAGCCGGGAGGTCTGGAACGGGCGAGGGAAAACAAAGAGAAGGTGGGGGATGAGGTGCGGAAGGGGTTCAGGTGGTTGAAAGGGAAAGCTGAAAAGACACAATAGTCGTTGGTCGTTTGTCTATACCGAGAGTGCAACTGAGGTGAATCGACTTTGAACGCTCCAACTGCACAATTGCATCGTCGAACGGGTGTGTTGATTGAAAGGGTAGCTATGAATGTGCCCCCATAGGACTGTTGCAAAGGCAAGCAATTTCCATCGTGACTGTCTCAGTTCTCGCGATTTTGCGAGTTTAGGACCCCAGTTGATCTGTCCCAACCACAGTAGGCCCCGGAATTTGGTCTAAAAGATATTGCCAGGGTAGTGTATCACAAGAGCTAGACTGACAAGCGGATCAAGCTCTTGCAAGCTGCGGTTGGGAATCATTCAAGGCCTTACTTGTAGGTCTTTCATATCGTGGTAAAAGCTCCATGCGACGTAACCCATTGGACCGACACAGAGAAGGAAGTCTTCGTCCGCCATTAGCTCAAATGAGGTGTTATCTTGATCAAAATCTCCATCAGCGCCCTGATCTGTCAATTGATCGTATTCGAAAGTGATATCAAGACCGTATTGTGGTTGAATAGAGGGAATGACTTCGCGCCTTTCGGTCAGATATCGTGAGACAATGTTGGAACATTTGTAACCGTGCATCATCTTTCCCGGCTTTGCGGGTGTATTGGCGAGGCGCTCTGTAAACCGGTGATTGACGGGGAGAAACTCCCTGAGCGAGTTAAGTGACGACGGACAATAAACAGGAAGATCATCCATCGACTCCGGACGCTTTTGGCCGTTTAACTCCGATACCAACAGCATGCGGAAACGCAAGTCCTTTCTTATGGTGGGGGCGCGGATAAGTTCGATTTGCTGGCCGCCCCAACGTGTGGGTGAGGGTGAGAAGTGACCAGGATATAAGTTAGATATGAATGGGGAGGTCGAGACCGAGGCTGTCAAAGCGTTAAAGAAGACCGTATACCCAAGGTAATGGTCATCAAATTCATCGAGGTAGTACGGATAGTTGTAGTCGATGTCACTATCATCGTAGGGCCCTCGAAACCCCTCAGGCTTGAGAAGCCGCCCTGGGATGAAGATTTGGCAAATGGCGTAGTTGCCATACGGATCGACCTTGTGCGTACACATGCGGAAGTAGTCTCCTACGGGAACTTCATCGTTGCGTCCTGTACGTCTAGAACTGATTTTGAAGTCGAAATCACCTGTACCCGACTTCCGAGTAAGAGAATAGACCTCAGGAAGAGTTGTGGTATGTAACCGTAAGGTCCCATTGTGGTTGAATTCGTGGACCACCAGCATTTTGTCGGATTCTTCTTTGAAAGATAGAAGATAGAACGTATCATCGAGAAGTGGGTGAGGAAGGATATCAAATAGGCCTTCCCTTTCCTCGCCCTCCTGGAGAGGTTCGTTTTGTTCAGCTTCGACGACGTGGTCAATGCCGTCTTCACCGGCCGCGCTTGTGTCAACTTCCCGAAGACCACGTCTAAACGTCCAAACATACACCTTGGAGTTGTGGGTCAAGATATATGCACGCTTCCCCTCGACTCTAACTTGATAGATATCGGCAGATGGAAGCGTCACAGAATCATGTTCACCCGTCTCGAGGTCCCATGCGTGGCTGATAGAGAGATTAGTATGTAAGGTATGGAGAAGAATGTTGGAACGCGGGGACAAACCAGGTCTTGTGTGCCGATACCACGACCAGCTCATTGCCCAAAGCCTGTAACCAGGTGTGAGAACCATGGAGAACCACAGAATTGGGAATTTGGTAAACTCTGCGTTGTTGGCTCCGCAAGTCGTCTACAAATGTGAGAGACGCGAGGTTCATATCAGTGGCCTCGGGCTGCCAGGCCACTTTTCCATTACAATACTCCCAACGCCCCCATGGCTTGGGTACATTTGTTTCAATGGGAGTATCATCGGGGAATTGATCGTCAAAATCACCGTCTGGGAAAACATCGTCCCAGTCTCTTATGTTATCGGTAGGCTCCAAGGTGAAGAACCTGTCGCGAGTGACAAAGTGAAGCCACGGGGCAGGGTTGGAAATGGTGGACTGGAACAAGCCCTGCTGTCTGATAGTGAACTTGCGAGCAGCTTGGTGGAAGGAATTGAACAAGTCTTGGTCTGTACAATCTTGGGGGGATTGTAATCTGTTTCGGTGAGCGTAGAACTGGAGAAAACTGGGCATGTGGTGCTTGGCCAGAGCCCTCACAACATCGCGTTGAGACCACGCCTTTCTCCACGTCTTGGACACGTTTAGTATGCTGACTATATCCAAGGCGGACAGGTATGGGGAGATCTCAACGAGAATATCAGCCGGAAAACGAGAGATAATGTCTGCTGGCGCGGGCAAACTTTGGAGATGTAGTCTCATGAAGCGCGTTTCCTGTGGCGTGAGAGACGAGAGGAGAGTGCGCAGGTTGGCCAGCCGCAACCCGACGTCTGGCCCGAGAGCCTCGAACTGTTGAGCGAGCGAATTCTGCATGGCTTCGGGTATGGCTGAGAAAACATCAGAGAAGCCGGCGTCGGATCGAAGACGTTTGACTCCCCTCATGATTGAGAGTGGTTGATGTTACGGAAAAAAGCATTCATATCGATGCAAGCGTGCCCAGTCCCCAGGGTTAGGGTTTGGTAGAATTCCGCCAAGGGTACTACTGCATCTTGCCGAAGTCTGCTCGCCTGCTACTCGTCATGGCTTAGAGAACAACAAGGCGAAGCATTGGGAAGATTGTCAATATTGGATGCTTGTAGGAAGAGAAATTCAAACGAGGGATGCAGTACCGCAGTCTGGAATAAATACAGCAGTTTAGAGGAGGGTTGGCCACGACTGACACAGGGCTTTTCCTCAGTAGTAAATGGGAGGCAGAGAAAAGAAAACAGAGTGTTCATCAGGAATACGAGCTCACCACACCTTACTTAGCTCAATAGAAAAGAACTTGATCCTTAACCTTACCACCGTCACTCGCGTCCCCACCAAGCCATTGCGCAAGCACCTCTCTAGCCAACACCGCTGCCTTCAACGCATACTCTGGTCCAGGCAGTGCTCCGTCAACCGGCAGCGGCGGCGGTCCAACCGAAGGGTCATTAAGCAGCCAAGCTACAGGCTCCTTGGCAATCCCGGCACAGCTTGCTCGCATCTCTTCAACTTCTTCGACCAAAAAGGCTCGACCGATGATGACTGCCCGGGACTGTCTCTCGTACTTGTGTGTTCCCACATTGTTTGGCAGGGAGACTTCCGGAGGCGCGTGGCCGGCAAAGATATGGGGGAGCTCGGCACAAGCTGCTTCGAGGGATTGGATGAAGTGGATTGCTGGGTTCTAATGTTAGAAATTTGGGCAGTTGAGATCAGAAAGGGAGTTCTGGTTGAGATACGCACTTTCAATATCCGGCAGCAGGCCTTCAGCAACAGCACTTCCAATCTCAACCCTTTTGCCAATGATTACCACCGGCAGAGGCGCATTGGTTTCTGTATATTGAGTGAGAGGCATCCTGGCTGTTTTCGTGGGAACGCTTTAATGCTCAAGATAACGGCATATACTGAGGAAAGAGTTGATGTTGAAAATCTAGCATGACCTTGAGGATCAACAAAGCTTTAATAGTCGACAGAATTCACCGAACTTGAATACCATCTGACTTGCTGACAACCTCTGTCGATTACCAAGACCCGTCCCGCCGACCAACCAGCGGCAGCACACTCTGGTTGATTTGTCATTCGGATATCAACTTTCGGCGTTTTGACGCCGTAAGGATCGAAACAAACCCATCAAGATTCAAGAACTTGACCTGGGACTTGCACGCTCGAGATGGTGAGCGTATCTCGTCGAACCACGTGCGACAGCGTCCTGAGTCATAGAGTGCTTGGTAGCACCGCAGCGCCGTCAATTGACCCGCGGGTCGAATGAATAGTGAAACTGCTATGCCGAGTCTTTGCTGCTGTCGTAGAACTGTAACTGAAGAGTATCTCCGGAACTGCATCAAGGGAAGGACGAGTGCGAGGGTAAGGGTTGGAGGCGGTGACAAACCGACCCAGTGATATGTGGATCTCTCCGCATTTTGGTGCTCGGACCCACTTTCCGCCAGGCACGCCGTGGCCCACTCTCTGTTAGCGGGAATTTAGCCCTGCATTCGCGCCCTGATTTGGTGGACCGATCAGTGATTGCAGCGTTCGTGATTGCAGTCACCTGAACACCAATTGAGTCAAGCCTCCGTCATCGTTGCAGTCGCTGTTATCGATTGGAGAGCACTCATTCCATCGTCGACTCTCGTCCTGTCTTTCTTCTCCGCCTCTTCCATCCTTTCTTCCCTTCTTGTAAGACGGTGATTTTACCTTTCTTCTCACCTTCTACTCTAGGCTTGGGTCCGAGCCTGTGACAACCTGAATGCAACCGCAGCATTCCCGCTAAAACACTATCAACCGCGGCCTCTCTAAACCAGGCCCTCGTTCACGATCTCCGGCTCTACCTCCCCCGATTCATCAAATTTGTATTCCCATCCATCCTCCTCGATCCTTTTTTCACGACATCACAAACAGCGACAACACCATCGAACCCGCCGAAATGGCATCACCCACTCCGGCCCCCCGGCCGGACCAAATCTCTTCCTCGACCCCCCTCCTCCAATCTGACTCGGCCTCCTCATGCGCCTCTTCCATCCGCTCCCTCTCCCCGTCCCGACGTCGTCACCACAATGGCCGTACCTCCCGAGCCGCCGCCGCCTCCGCCCGCAACCTCTCCTTCGCCTCGGCCCTGCTCTCCTCCCTCTGCGCCGGCTCCATAACCATCTTCAGCATGTACGGCCACATCTTCCAGGAGCGTCTACACTACACCCAGTTCGAGGTCAACGGGCTGTCGAGCGCCGCTTCAATCGCCACATACATGCCCGTGCCGCTGTTGGGATACATGTGTGATCGCGTAGGGCCGGGACCGCTGTCGTTTGTCTCGGCGCTGTTCTTTGCGGCTGGATATGGGCTGGCTGCGGGCGTGTATAAGCGGGAGGCCGAGGGGGCGGCGTTGGGTAGCGGTGGTGATGGCGAGGACACGAGTGGATTGGCATATTGGGCTATGATTGCTGCGTTTGTGTTTATTGGCGTGGGAACGTGCTCCATGTATATGAGCGCTGTGGCGACGTGCGCAAAGAATTTTGGAAGGGGGAAACATCGTGGGTTGGCGCTTGCGGTCCCTATTGCGGCGTTTGGTCTGAGCGGGATGTGGCAGAGTCAGCTTGGAAGCCGTGTGTTCTATGAGAGATTCGCGGATGGGACAAAGGGCGACTTGGACGTCTTCCACTTCTTCATCTTCCTTGGCGTCCTGCTGCTTGTAGTTGGCTGCTTGGGCACATTCGGCTTGAAGATCGTTGACGAAGAGGATCTAATCGACGAAGCAGTCGAAGAACTGGAGCGCAGCGGTTACCTAGACGGAAGCGCATTCCTCCAGGGCAGCAGGACCGCAGACAGACCAGGCTACGGCGCCGTCGAGCAATCACCCCTCGACATGGAAAGCGCCGGCATCCTCGACCCCTCCAAGGCCGACGACTCCGACTCAGAAGAAGACGACAACGCCCGCATCAAGAAAACGTGGGTCCTCAACGCCGAAACCAGACGATTCCTGACCGACCACACAATGTGGTGCTTCGCCCTCGGCTTCTTCCTCATGATCGGCCCCGGCGAGGCCTTCATCAACAACCTCGGCACCGTCATCAAGACACTCTACCCGCCCCATCTCAAATTCGTCGGCGAACCCACCTCCGCAGCCACCCACGTCTCCATCGTCGGCATCACCAGCACTCTCGTCCGCCTCCTCACCGGCTCTCTGACCGACCTCCTCGCTCCTAGCCCGCAGGCCCGGCACGTCCAGATCACCTCCTCCGGCACCCTCGAGCGCAAGCGCTTCTCCCTCTCCCGCGTGTCTTTCCTGCTCTTCTTCGCTGTTGCCCTCTCCGTCGGCTTAGCCGCCCTCGCCTCAGGCTGGATCCAAAACCACGGTGAGCGCTTTTGGGTCGCCTCGGGCCTGGTCGGTGCCGGCTACGGCGCTGTGTTCTCTCTCACGCCCATCATCATCACCGTGATCTGGGGCGTCGAGAACTTTGCGACCAACTGGGGTATCGTGGCCATGTTCCCTGCTCTTGGCGCGACGTTTTGGGGACTGGTGTACTCGGCTGTTTACCAGTCGGGGGTGGAGAAGGCGGCTTCTAATAAGCAAGGCGGGGAGGAAGATCAGTTTTGCTATGGGAGTGAGTGCTATGCTTCGGCGTTTTGGGCCATGGCCGTCAGTGTTTGGGTTGCGTGTGGGTTGGTGTTGTGGGCTTGGAAGGGGAAGAATGGGTGGGCTCAGAGGGGGATTGTGGTTTAAGCGGGATCTTGAGGGATATCTGGGGAATTTGGGAATATGGAGCATATATGGGCATCATCTGACATTCAAGGGCTTTCTGGAGTTTTTGTGGCATGGTATCTTGGCTAATTGGTTTCACTACATACGGGACATGACGTCCAGCGGCTAGCTTTTTTTTTCCATTTTGGGTATTTTAGTCTGTAACATACCGCGCTTACTTGTCCATATAGACAGACAGATTGCAACTATTCATGTTGATATAACCGTCAAAATCGTATTGTGCTACCTCCGTTGTTGCCAAACCCTCACCTCGACAGAGCTCAAAAAGGACTGGAGCTACTGTAGCCGACTTCAACCCACAGTGTATCTGCAACCGCGCAAACACGGTCCCCTAGTCCAGAACTTGAATCTTGCAACCGTGCGTTGCATCGAGCGCGGCAATTGACCAATTGGGCATCGACTTTTCCATTTTCTTTTGCCATTCTTCACTCAACAACTCAACTCATGAGTCTGATTCTTCCTCTCACAACAACACATTAAAACCTTCACATTCAGTTGGAGTGTTTGTAAGATGGAGACCACGGAGGAGGTCACTCCAGCTATAACTCAGCAGCAGCCGGCTGCCGAGGCTGCACCGGCCAAGGTCACATATAGTACCAAGAAACAAAAGAAGCCAAAGACGACGACAGACGGAACGAGCACCACTCATAATGAGCATGCCAAAGATCCGAGAAAAGCTCAGGATGATCAGGTTATGGGTGTACGTCCTTTTCCCCCATCCCCCATATCTCCCCTCCTCTTCATGTACCCAACCGGTCCCGTCTCTTTCCCTCTATCCCTCTATCCCACTACCTCATCAAGCCCTTCCTTCCTTCCAAGCCCTTCCAAGACCACTCCCATCTCACACTCACACTCAAAACTAACACGCCTCCCAAATACAAAAGACAAACAACTCCTCAATAGTCTCCAAACGCTCCGTCGAAAAACTCTACTACCCCAACGAACCCCATTTCTTCCGCTTCTTCGTCAAGAAATTCCAGCGGCGCGCACCTTTGATTAATCGCGGTTATCACTTTCGGTTGCACGTCATTGATGTTCTTGTTCGCAATTTTTTACGGGAGGAACGGACCGGAGAGGCAAAGGGGAAAAAGAAAGTGGTGGTTAATTTGGGATGTGGAAGTGATGTTTTGCCTTGGCAGTGTTTGACTAGGTATCCGGATGCTTGTTCTCCGAAGGGGGAGGGGGAGGAAGGGGGAGCCAAGTTTGTGGATGTGGATTTCCCGGATCTGATTGAGCGGAAGAAGAGGACGGTTTTGGAGACGCCGGAACTTTTGGGGCCGTTGACGGGGGTGGAGGTGCCGGAGTTTGCTCCTGTTCCTGCTCCTGCTGCTACGGCTGCTGCTACGGGTACGGATACCACGACGACAGAGAGCAAGACGACGGCAGCAACCACATCAACCACCTCGACACAAGCCCCTCCAAAACCCAAGAAAACCCCCAAACCAAAGGACAAATCCAAAGCCGCCCGCGCTCCCGCCCCCACCACCGCTCCCACAGGCATCGTCCTCACCAGCGACCAATACGTCCAAATAGGCTGCGACCTTCGCGATCTCTCCACCCTGCAAGCCGCCCTCACCAAAGCTGTCGGCGGCGACCTCTCCTCCTGCACCTTCCTCTTCGTCGCCGAGGTCTCCATCACCTACATGGAAACACCGGGAGCCGACGCCGTGATAGAGTGGGCTTCATCGCTAGGCGACTCTGAGTTTGTCCTGCTCGAGCAATTACTCCCTTCGGGACCGACTCACCCCTTTGCTTCCACGATGCTGTCCCATTTCCATAAACTCAACACGCCCATTAAGAGCGTGGACGTGTACCCGACCGTTGCGTCACAGGTGGAGCGGTTCCGCTCTAGAGGCTGGGGTAACGGCGGAGATGTGCGCGTCTGGACGCTGTGGGAGGCGTGGGCGGACGCGGAGGACACGTTTGTCAATGCGGCTGAGAGACGCAGGCTGGAGGAGGTGGAGCCGTTTGATGAGTGGGAGGAGTTTGCGCTTTTTGCGAGCCATTACTGCGTGGTGAGGGCTAGGACGGTGGCTAGGGAGGGACAGACTAAGGAAGAGAGGGGGATCCCGAACGGAAGGGAGTTGGGGGTGCCGGTTGAGAAGGTCAAAGTGGGGTGGGATGATGTCCCGGGGCAGAGGGGACAGAGGAGGTTTGCGGCTGGGGCAGTGTTGCCTTCTTCTTCGAGTTCTGAGAAGAAAGAGGGGGGTGGGGAGGAGGTGAAGTTGCTGAATGTGATGGGGTTGGGGACGAAGAGCCGGTTGCAGAATTGCGATGTTTACGGGAAGAGAGAGGGAGGGGCTGCTGAAGCTGACGGTACTGAGGAAGGAAAGACGGCTGTGCCGTTCACTTTCCGTGAGGGCGGCCCGTCAACGAGGATGTGTCACTCGTTGACGGATCTCGGTAACGCTCAGCTTCTTGTCGGAGGACGGGCGTCACCATCCACGCCCCTCAAGGATTGCTGGCTGCTGGAGAAGAGTAACGGCAACGAGGGCGAATGGGCATGGAAACGCACCCATGATCTCCCGATTCCGCTCTACAGGCATTCTGTGGCGAGACTGGGGAACACAGATATGGCGCTGCTCGCTGGTGGAAGGGGAGTCGCCGATATATTCCCTGATTGGCTTCTTTATGAGCCCAAGCTCGGCTGGATTAGATGCGAGATCGCCGGGGATGTCAAGCCGACGTCTGTGTATGGTGCTACGCTCACTTGTCTCCGTCAAGAGCAAGACACCTTCTCTGGGGTCTTTGCTGGCGGCTTGAGCGATGATGGCCTCATTGCTGATCAGCTTCTCGCATGGAACCTGGACGTATCTGACAGCAGCAAGCCAGTCGTCAGGTTTGTTCCCCTACAAGTGAAATCTAGTGCTGGCGGCCCTGAAGAGGCACTCTCACGTCAACTTCTTACGAGGTTCGGCGCTTCTTGTCTGCCCCAGAGTCAGACCGACTTCTTGGTTCTTGGTGGTGTTATTAAGGACCACCTTTTGGATCTGGAAGACGAGATCCTGCTGTGCTCACTCAATGGCGCCGGAGAGCTCACAATCACACAACGGCTTGTTCCCGAGGCCGCAAATGCTGAGACACCATCCCACCCAGGCCCTTTGCTGTTGGTTGGAACTTCTCCTGTTGTCACGCCGAACGATCGCCACTTGGTGATCATGGGCGGCGGAGCAACATGCTTCTCCATGGGAACCTTCTGGAACAAGGGAATCTCGACTCTAGAACTACCCCTACCCGCTGTGATGGGAAATGGAAGTTCGCACGTGGCAGCACTTGGGTGGACGCATGAGAAGACAGTCGACATCATCCCCGGTGAGCCAAGGAGTCTCCCTCTTCGAAGTCAGGCACCCGACGGTGCTGAGGGGAACGTCAATGGCAGCGTAAGCGTCCGCACTCAACCCATTCCCCGGGTCAAGTTGGAAAATGCTGAAGACTTTGCCAGGATCGTACGTGAGGGTCGTCCGGTGGTTCTGGAGGGCCTAAACCTGGGTGACTGTGTGTCAAAGTGGAGAGAGGGCGAGTACGTAGCGGAGAAGGTTGGAACGGACCGCAAGGTAAGTTGAGCATCGGAAAGCAAATGGTGACCATAACTACCTCGAGGATGTCCCATAACTGACGGAGAGCTCTTACGTAGATCGTGATCCACGAGTCCACGACACCTGCAATGGATTTCACCACAAAGAACTTTCGCTATGTGACGACCGAGTTTGGCGACTTCATGAAGCGGGTCGGGAAAGGGGACCGGCTATACCTGAGGGCACTGTCGACCGACAAGCCGACGGAAAAGCCAGCCGTTCTGAGTGACGACTTTCCCTTGTTGGCTACTGATTTTGTGTTGCCGCCTGAGCTGGCCCTGGTAGACGAGAGACTGTTCAGCTCGGTTCTGCGAGTATCTGGGCCGGTCAATATGTGGTTGCATTACGATGTAAGTCCTCTCATCCGTCTGTCGTATATTGGTATTCCTTCTGACACTCGACCAGGTCATGGCCAATGTGTACTGCCAAATCGGCGGCTCGAAGCGCATGATTCTCTTCCCGCCGTCCGATGTTGAGCATCTCAGCTTTGCTCCTGGGGCATCGAGTTCCAGTATCGACGTCTTTTCAACTCTCTTTGGGGAGTCGAGTGACTCGAGATACTTGGCTCAAGTGACGCATCCTCACGAAGCTGTCGTGACTCCAGGAGACGTCCTGTTCTTGCCCCCGCTCTGGCTGCACACGGCGACTCCTACTTCGGATAGCAGTATTGCGGTTAACGTCTTCTTCCGCGATCTCAAAGGCGGTTGCTATGCAGCTGGGAAAGATGTGTATGGGAACAGAGACCTGGCGGCGTACGAGAAAGGCCGTATGGATGTGACCCGTATTGCAAACAGCTTCCAGAAGCTGCCGGCTGAGGCGAGAGAGTTTTATCTGTTGAGACTTGCAGACGAGCTCCGGAGGAAAGCAAAGGGAGCCCAGTAGCGGAAGAGTCGTCAGTTGTTTTTGGCGATGTAAGCCCTCGGATGCCTTGGGTTTAACCATTGGCCTGGTGTCGCAATACGTCGATGGTATAATACCGTAAATACGTTCGCATTGCCAGTACTCGGAGAAAACCCAAATGTTGGAATACGTCCCCATGACTGTGGTGTGATACAATCTGATACACCAGCCTATATACCCGTCATCCGCGTGTAAGTGACCATGGCCTGCATATTCGAGGAACTATAAACCAGCCAGCGGAAACAACCTAGCAGGCCTACTACCCCCCCTGTTAGTATGGTGCTATTTGCTACTGATGGTGTTGAGATGGGGTGGTAGAGGGACCCGGAGAGGATACATAAGGACGATGCTCGAATTCTCAAACCCAGTTCAGCGAGTGGTAGGGTCGGTATATATTCCTGGAAAATGGCTAGGTCTTGGAGAGCATGGTATCGGCGGGCTGGGAGACGATGGCAGCGGCGAAACAGGCAATGAGACCGGAGCCAAGGTTAACGGCGGTCTGGGCAGAGTCGGACATGTCCTTCTTGGGGTAGACGTTGTAGACAGCCTCGGCGACCTTCTCGTAGCCTTGCGGAAGGGCTTGGATGACATAGCCTTCCCCGAGTCCTCCAGCCTTGTTCAATGTTTTAACAGCCTTTGTACTCCAGGCTGCCCTGGCATTGAAGGCTGTTCGGTTCGTAGATCTTTATTCCGCGCAGCCAATCCCACGACAGCAAGTCAGCCAGACAGTCAAGGCACATGCACAAAGGGACAACGCTGACAGGCTGACCCCTTCAGCAGTGCAGCAACGGGAGGAGGGTCATCGTTCGCGCCAAGAAGGGAATGGATGTGTTGTGTGGTGTCCGGGTCAAGATGCGATGTTGTGTTGGGGATATCGGAGTGTCAAATTGGGAGTCAAGATGTAGACATTGGTGGACGGCAAGACACAGAAGCCATCTGGTCTTCGCTCAAAAGTTTCTTCTAGCTGGAGGTTGTGACTGCCTGTTTTGTGGTTGAGCGAGGTCTTGCTCTTTCCTCGATTTCTTTTTAACCTCTATGCGCTTGGCTGAGTGCGGACAAGGTTCCCTGTATCGGCTGCATAAATTACGGTGTCTGTCATGTCACAAACACTTCACGATAAGCAACCATCAGCCCAAATTGCACTCGATACAGTAAGCTGTAGAGTCAAGGTTCTCGCTTTTGTACTCTTCTATCATCAATCCCTTCTCACGCACTTTTGTGACCTTTTCACAGGTTCACCGCACCTGGACGGCGTATGTACCCGGTGGACGGGATGTCATGGATTGTGCCTTTTCGTCCTTAACTCCGAAGTCGCGCTAGTGTAAAATCGTGTGCGCGGTGACGTCTCGTGGGTCCCTCCCAAACACTTTCGGCCCTGTTACCCTGGCTGGCGGGCGCTATGGAGCACCTGAAAGGCCAGGGCCGGGGATAGAGGGGTACAAAGGCCGCTGCGGATTGGTACTTGGCCAATACCTGACCCGGGAATTACCGGACCAATTTTTTTCTGCTGGCGTCTCTGATTGTTTTTCCGCAGCGCCGGCCTTTCCACCCTCCCGTGCCTCCGTGTCCACCTCCACTCTCCAAAAAGGCTCAATCGCCAACCTCCGTCGCGAACGACTTTCCCGCCCGATTGCTCTTTTTGCCCTCTTTCCTCCCCGTCAACCCATCTCCACTCAGTCTTTGTTTGTCGTCCAAACCCAGATATCCAAAATGGCCAGCTCTACCCCCAAGGTCGACGCTGTCGTCGAGAAGGCTAAGGCTGCTGCTGCTCCCCAGATGAGCGCTGCCAGCCTCTATTCCAGATTCGCTCTTGCTGGTGCCATCTGCTGCTCCGTCACCCACGGTGCCCTCACCCCCGTCGATGTGTATGTTGTCCCGCCTTCAGCCTGTCCACCGTCATGGCATTGGGCGCATTGGATCCCGCAGCCCAGTGCCCTTGTCCCGTAGATATCACGAACCGTTGCTGACATGTCTGCATAACAACAGCGTCAAGACTCGCATTCAGCTCGACCCTGTCACCTACAACAATGGCATGATCGGCGGCTTCAAGAAGGTCATCCAGAGCGAGGGTGCCGGTGCCCTCCTTACCGGTGCCGGCCCTACCTTCGCTGGTTACTTCCTCCAGGGTGCCTTCAAGTTCGGTGGTTACGAGTTCTTCAAGCAGCAAAGCATCAACTTGATCGGCCTTGAGAACGCCACCAACAACCGCACTGCCGTCTACCTCGCTTCCTCCGCCGCTGCCGAGTTCTTCGCCGACATTGCCCTCTGCCCCCTCGAGGCCACCCGTATCCGTCTCGTCTCCCAGCCCACCTATGCCAGCGGCCTCATCAGCGGCTTCGGCAAGATGCTGAAGAACGAGGGTGTCGGCGCTTTCTACGCCGGCTTCGGACCCATTCTCTTCAAGCAGTAAGTCGCCCTGTTGTCTCTGTTGTTCCAGTTGTGATGTCATGCATCTAACCATGCTGTTCTAGGATCCCTTACACCATGTCCAAGTTCGTCGTCTACGAGAAGGTCGCCGAGGCCATCTACAACGTCTACCCCAAGAAGGACATGTCCGACGGTGCCCAGACCGCCGTCAACCTTGGCTCCGGTCTCATTGCCGGTTTCGCCGCTGCCATCGTCTCCCAGCCCGCCGATACCATGCTCTCCAAGATCAACAAGGTAACTATCCCAGACAATCCTATACCTAGCCTGACTATGCTAACGCGCTTTACCCTCAGACCCCCGGTGCTCCCGGCGAGTCCACCACCTCTCGTCTCGTCAAGATTGCCAAGGAGCTCGGCCTTAAGGGCTCTTACACCGGTATCGGTGCCCGTCTCTTCATGGTCGGCACCCTTACTGCCTTCCAGTTCGCTATCTATGGCGACGTTAAGAAGACTCTTGGCTGTGCTCAAGGGATCGAGCTCGCCAAGTAAACGCGATTCTGAAGCGTTTGGGAACGTATAATGATGGAGGAGGAGTTTGGGGATAATGGGTGTGAGGTCGGCAACACGGGGACCACCTTGTGGGTCGACTCGGTTGCCCGGCCAACTCGCCAATGAACAAAACAAGCGAGGGATGTGTTTGGCATTGCAAGCATCCCCTTGCAGAAAGATTTCCGGTCCTTGTTGAGCATTTAGACGTTTGGCCGCTGGGTTGGGATGTGGCTACCGGAAAAGTTCGCAATGTCACCTTGGTCGTTTCGCAGCCTTTTCAATATTCTTTAGGCGGGATCTATGTTGCACGGGTTCTTTCATTTGTCGTTGGCGAACTGCTTGACATTATAGAGGAACTATAGAAAGAGGATTGAGGGCTTAAGACACATGCTTCCTAGATTGTTCGCTGTGTGTATGAAGACGGACTCGAGTTGATGCAGCACATGGCGGCCCTTTGCGAAGTCCGCTGTGTAGTCAATTTTAAGCAACCATGTTTACTTTGAATAGCTGTCATCGACTTTACGAACAATGTTGTCAAACATCCAGAGCTGGTTTCGTGATTGATATGGCCCGTGCACCGGCCATCGCGAATTGCGAAATGGACCAATTGCGTAGGCGCGATGACGGAAGAGAGGATGCCAGCACATGCATGGGTGGCCGGCAGCGGACCCGACACTGATGACTGATGGCGCTAAACCCCAACTGGCGGGAGCACGGGGAGTGGGTAGCAGTATGTCAGGCCATAAGAACCAATCGCAGCGCGAGCCAACCACCAATCAACAGTCGAGCTTCTTGCAGCGTTGCGGCGGGAATGGAGTGCGACCGGGAATGTCTTGTTCCACTCACACAGCAAGCCTCAACACCAAAGCATCTCTTTTCCAGCTGCATCGCATATTTGGCGATATCATCACATTTGCTCGTTCCCCAGCGTCCATGCGCCGTCCCGACTGGCACCCCCCATAGCGACACTGTTTTGCTGGTATTTCAGCGCTGGATAAGGGAAGGAACAGTGGACCCACACCGGGCCACCGCGCCTTCCTTCAGTGACGATATAGGTGCTACTGCCCCACCCTAGAGCTGGTCGCTCCTTCCTTTACAACAGCCAGACACGCCCAGAGGACGCGCGCGCGCTGCCTCGACGCGAATCGAATTAATTGTACGGGCAGCAGGAGCAGGTTCGGTCCCGAAACCTGGGCTGGTAGGTAATTCGCAAGTTCCCTTTGCCTTCTCTCCTCCTTCCACCAAACAACAACACAGAACTGCATCGCTGACAAGATGGTCAGATTACGCTTGCAACGCCGCTCTCGCGGTCACACTTCCTTCAACACTTTCCACAATATCGCCACTCCCATATCACCTTCACTTCCGCTAGAAACACCAAGCTTCTACGCACGACGGAAACAGGAAGGCGTCCGGTTCGCCCACGAACTGTACATCGCAATCGGCAACCAACATTTCATGCGCGATTGCCCCTGCCCTGTCCCAACAATCTACACTTCACCAGAGGAGGCTCTTGTCGCCGGCACGGGGCACATTCGGTTCTACATCACCGACGACACGTCGAAGCTATCCGTTCTTCAACAACCCGCTGATCCTCATTGGCATTGCGAGTGCCGCGATTCACACAACTACTGGCCAGTCTACCAAGAGCTACTCAGCCGGCACCACGAGCCCCGTCTTAACAACAACGGAAAGCGCGTTGCGGAGGCTGGCGAGCTTGAGCTCATCTCCGAGAACATCGACCACAAGGCTGTGGAAAGGGTCCTGCCTGCAGCAGTTGACGATAGTGTAAGTTTTCCCCTGCTCCAATCAAGGACACGCGAGAGACGAGCAGAGACGCTGACCAGTTTCCTCATCCACAGACGCCAGAGCTCGCGCCATCGCCATCGTCCGAATCGCCCATGGAAAGCTCCTGGATGAACCCTTTCGCCCTCGCTAGCCAGGCCCTAATCACGATGGCCACACCATTTACCGTTGTCCGGAATTTCATCTCCGGCTTCTTCCAGGGCGAAACCCATTACGACATCGTTGACACACGAAAGGTTGACGATGCCAACGGCACTGTGTCAGTCAAGAGATTGAAACGACACTGCACGCCTTCAACCGATGCATACTCTAACGAGCTCCCGGGTTTTTCCTGGGCCGACAACGCAACCTCCTACATCGGACGAGATGCGCTCGACCACATCGCCGAGGTCTTTTACCATCGCATAGATTTGATTAGCCGTTCCAAGGTCACATGCAGCCCCTCCCTCGAAGACCTCAGGAGGAGTTTCGACCCCAACCAAGGAGAGGACCTCGAGCTCAACATTGCAATTCACAAATTAATGACCGACACTCCAAGTATTGGGCCTGTGCTTCCTACCGACAGCACAAAAAAACAGGAATCGAAATACCACTATACACGGGAGTTGTACCTCGATGGCGCCGCCACGGCCTACGAGCTGATGCAAGAAATTTACACCCAGCATAACCTTGATGCGTACAAAGCATTGTGTCCGAAGCCACCGCGATCAATAGCTTATGGGGAAGACACCAAGCCGGAAAAGCACACAAGGACATTGCACGAGAAGGCCAGAGTGGCGGCGGAGTTTATCTCTTGGGTGCTGCGAAACCACATGCACGGGATGGAGGGTTTCGAAGAAGCTTTATCAAAGGTCTTCGTGGATGCCAATGCCATCCACAAGCGAGAAATAATCCCAAGCTATGTTAAGCCAACGGCAAACGAGTCATCATCAATTCCCGGAAGTTTCCCCACCGGACCGGACTCCGCTTTCTTCGAAGTTCCTATAAACGATCTCAGTTTTGCGCATGCGTGGGAATTTAAATATCCCTCAACAGATCAACATGACACGGAACCTACACCAATCAATGCCAAGGAGTTTCGACCTATACTGGAACCCAAAGGCATCCTCAAAAAGCCCAAAGAATGGCCGACTCCTGAATCGCCAAAGTATGTCGCCACCCCCGATAGAAACAGAAGACTCGACTTTGTTGCGCCCGTGGCGAGCTACGCGCCGCCTAAAGAAATATCTGTCCAAGTGATGACCTTGAAAGATGCCATCAATGTGCAGTGGCACCATCCCACCGAAAACTCTGTAAATGACCACGAAAACAATGCGAGCCGGAACGCAGGACAAACAGCCAGAAACCGTCATCATTTCGCAAAGGTTGACAAAGGCAGAAGCTTTACCGTCTCGGATATGACCAGATGGACAGAAAAAGAGGTCGAAAGGGATGACGTGGAAATGGGACTCCGAGTTCACGAGGCCAAATATGGTCCTTTCCTCAGTGAGCTCCGGCAAGAAATGCTGGAAAATTTTCAGGCCAGCGCTCAGGAACACCCAAAGCCGGAGCCCGACTTCAAGGTACGCAGACAAATTCTGCAACGAATCCGACTTGAAAGAAACCAAAAGACTACTCAAGGGGCACACGGGGAGAAGAATTCAATTCTCGATCGGTTTTTCCGAAAGACCGAGCAAGAGGAGATCATGGCAGCAGAGGGAACTGTCTCTAAAGCAGCTCAACAAGACCCCGACCTTTCGGTGGAGCAAGCTCCAGCAATCAGCCAGGTTCAGCAGTCAGCGGCTGATGATGACCTCGCAATTGCCACAAAAAAGCTTGAAGACTTGGAGGTCAGTCGTCAACTGGCCCACGAGTGGGAAGATGGTATTCGTCGCGACATCGAGAAGCGGCACAGGGAAGCCGAAAAAAGACAAAGAGAAGCAGAGCGCAAGCGCCGAGAGGAGAAGCGGCGACAAGAACAGGAAAGCAGGAGGCGCCGTGAAGAGGCAGAACAAGCCTCGCGGACCGGTCTGCGCGTACCCAAACGCCCCCTGATTGGAAGCTTGAGCAACGATTGGGAAAAGAAAGTCTCCAGTGTGCTCCACGCCAACCCTTCCGCGGAACTGGCCAAGATTGTAGACGGGCTGCCCCTCACCAAACGCGATTTCGTCGAAAAGCTGTTGGAGCCCCAAGCATGGCTCAATGACAACGTGATCATTGGCAGTATTTCCCATATCGCTAATGCCGTCAACAAATCGGCAGGGGCCAAAGACACCGATCCCAAATGCGCAGCTTTCACGTCGTACTTTTGGCCACGACTTGTCAGTGCTGGGCCGAGCCAGTGCGGGCGCATGATGCGCCGTGCAGGTGTCAGGAAGAATAACTTTTTTGACATCGACACGATACTCATTCCAATCAATGACGGCCTGCATTGGACGTTGGCGGTTGTACGGCCCGGAAAGCGGACTGTAGCGCACCTGGACTCGATGCGAGCGGGCGCTGGCCATGTTCACATCAAAGAGAAATTGCTTGAATGGGTCAGGGTCACGCTTGAGGATAAATGGGTAGCGTCAGAATGGTCGGCGATTGACTACGAAGCTCCACGTCAAACCAACGGGTACGATTGTGGCGTCTTTACCATTACGAATGCTCTTTGCATCGCGCTTGGGCTTAACCCCAAGAAATCTTATACTGCAGGGCAGCTCACGCTGCAGAGGCGGAGGTTGGCGGCGATTTTGCTCAATGGAGGTTTCACGGATGATTTCTCGTTGGATGGATTTTGATTCGATTTGGGGCACTTTGTTTTGGACACGGTTGGGTAGAGAAAACGGGGGCGTTATGTAGCATACCTTACTTATGGCGTTTATACAGTGTTGAGTCGGATTGTTTGAGTTTTTCTTGTTGGTCGGAATCGGGATTGCAGCATTGGTTACGTTGAGGAATGACCCGGGAGTCGCACGGTTGCTTTCAGCATAGTTATGTGGCGTTTTCGATGGCAACGTTGGTTCGTTTTTCTGATTCTCGAGTCTGGGGTGCAGCATATGTTAGCTTGAGGTTAAGTAGAGACTATTCTGTCGCCTTCAAGGCCATGGTGGTTGTCGAGAATACCAATAACATTACCATAGAGAACACTTCTGAAGTTTCGTTTACGTGATCCCGTAAAGTGGAAATGCGTGCTTTGTCTGATGATGGCGTCTTCGTTTACCAGGGGAGCTTATGACAGGGACAGCACCCCCAGTCTGTCTAACCGATGAACAAAGCTGGCAAAAGCCTCCAGTGAGTCTGAAAGTAACTCCCGGTCCTCCCATTCACAACACTTCAGATGAGGCTGAGATGCTGAAGAGGAAAGCACAGTGAACGAGAGGGGAAGGAAGACACTAAAATTCCGTCAACGTTCCTTCCTCTGACGACCAGAGCAATGCCTCCTTGGATACACTGCCACAAAACGGACCATCAAGTCCACACAAAAACCACTTTCTAAATCTTATCCGTCACGGCTTCCTGCTTCTGCTATCACAACGCCATCACCATCATCTTCCGGACACACTCTCCTCCATCGTTCATCCGACGAATTTGTCTCAAGCCAAGTTCCCAACTGCAAGTCATATCAGAGCCGCGCCGCTGCCCCTTCCAAAGGCTGATCGCGGCAGAGAAGAGAGTGGCGAGGTACCTGGCAGCTCAGGCCAAGCTCATTCTGGACGAAAAGAAACGGCAACTGAAAGACTGGGGAATGGACGATGGAAGGAAATATGTGACCAAAAGAAACCTTCCAAAGACTGAGCACAGGAAACGAATCGAGGAAAGAGACTGGCTTACCAAAAATGACGGTGGCGTATCGACATCAACAGTGAGCACTGAAGCACTTTGATACGCTTCAAGGCATCTATATCATTTCAAACATCGGCAGTCATGTACCATGACAGGCATTTAGCCCGTTTACGGTTGCAAGCAATTACAGTTATTCATGGCTGATCTTGAAAATAGCGTTTAGGGTGAGTTGTAGTGTCTCTACCCAGATTTCAGTACACGAGAACTCAAGAGACCTGCCGGATAACTCCTTGATCGGCCGTTCTTCCATCTTTGGAAGGGGGTTTCAATGGCAGCAACGCCGGTGCTGTCGGCGGATAATAAATCTCATCAAACGGGTAAGCTCTTGGGGATTCTACTTAAACGTACTTCCCCTACAAGGAAGGACTGACATAAAGAACAGGAAAACCCCGCAAAGAGAGGAGAAGGTCCAGGGTGACAACAATGGACAGCCTTTCCTCATGATGTCGCAAACAGAACGTTTGGCAACACAAGATCACACCTATATAAGGATCACGGAAAGGGCACTTCTCTCGGTTCTCTTGCAGAAGGTGAGCTCCCTGTCAAATCATAGGCTCGTGACTCCTGTGCCCATTCCCCTCGAAGGGTATATAAGGATGGGTTCCCCCATCTTCTCTTCTCTTCTCTTCCTTTCCTCTTCATTTTCAACCAACAAATCCAACAACCACTCGCATAGCCGGCTATCCTCAAAGTCCTGTCCGGCAACCATCAGAAGTCATAACAGGTACAAATTCTTTCCTTTCCCCGGTGGCAGACATCCTGGGTCATACCCCAGGCATGGATCTGTTTATGTCTTGTGGTATCACCCAAACACCCAAGCACACGTACTAATCGGATTGGACACAGGACACAAGACGTTCACCAGCAGACATTGGCACCGCATCTCTCTCACCGACCATAAGCGAGCTGATTCAACAATGGGTCAAGTGCCTACCCATGCATGGGTGATTGCTGTGCCTTTGAGGGCTCAAGCAACTCCTCGATCCAAAGATGTATTACCATCTAAAGGGGACCCCGTGAAGATTGTGGTAAGTGACTTTCGATCAGTGCAGCTTCTATCGTGAAACTTCACATGCTAACCGTTCGTTTCAAGTTCCCAGTAGCAAACCAACGACGACGGGTGTTAGGCAAAATCTTGAAAGCGATCCAGCGACATCAATCCTCGAGTTCTCTCATTTCAGATCAAGTGACGATATCACCACCAACTATCCCGCCAGCAACTGTACACCATCAACAACCGTACCAACAAACAAGAACACCACAGCTAAAAGATAGTCAGAATTCGCCTTCCACGCCGCTCTCGCGGCCGCTCTTCTTTTACCACATCACATAACATCGACACTCCGGTTTCTCCTTCCATCACCCAAGAAATATCCCGCTTCCGCGACAGACGGAGGCAAGAAGGGGATCGTTTCGCGCGAGAACTCTACGTCACGATCCGAAACGACCACTACATGCGAAACTACCCCTGCCCAGTTCCCGTTGCCTTCTCTCCTCCTTCCACCAAACAACAACACAGAACTATATCGTTCACAACGAAAATGGTCAGATTACGCCTGCTACATCGCTCTCGCGGTCGCTCTTCTTTTGTAACCTCACATAACCTCGCAACGCCACTGTTTCCTTCCTCGCCAAAGGAAACGGCGCGCTTCAACGAACGCAGACGGCAGGAAAGAGCTCGGTTTGTACACGAACTCTACTCAACTATCAAAAACCAGCACTTCATGCGAGATTGCGCTTGCCCTATACCTACAATCCATACGTCCAAAGAGGCAGCACTTGCTGCTACCGGTCATATCCGATTTTACGTTACGGACGAGGACGCGTCCAAGCTGGAATTGCAGTGCTGGCAGTCGAAAGGAATTGAGCGCAGGACCTTTGTGTTTACGTGAGATGGTATTCCCACATCGCCGCTTCAAGTTCCCGTTGCCTTCTCTCCTTCCACCAAACAACAATACCAACAAAAACCACTACAGCTTACAAAAAGATAGTCAGAATACGCCTTCAGCGCCGCGTTTGCGGTCGCACTTCTTTTGCAACCTTATATAACATCGCCACTCCCGTATCTCCTATCCCACCAGCAACTGCGCACTATTAACAACTATACCAATAAATAAGAATACTATAAATAAAATATTTAGAATCCGACTTCTAAGCCGCTCTCGGGGCCACGACTCTTTTAATACGTTATACAACCTCGCAACACCACTCTTTCCTTCGTTGCCAGAAGAAACGGCCCTATTCAATTCCCGCCGACAGGAAGAAGGCGACCGCTTTGCCCGGGAGTTGTTCCTGGCCATCCGCAACAACCACTTTATACGGAACTGCCCCTGCCCAGTTCCAAGCATCTACACTTCTCAAGAGGAGGCTCTCATCGCCGGAACTAGTCACACTCGGTTCTACATTACCGACGAGGACACGTCGAAGCTGTCTTCCTCCAATTTAGCTATCATTTTCATATGTGGTCTCTCATCCAATTCACCGTGTGAATCATCATCCCGAAGACCATTTTATTCGCAGCAGGACTACACACAGCAGCTTCCCAAGGGCTCACAAGAACCTCTTTCACCGTCTTTCACGGAACGATCGACATGGTCAACGTCGGTCTGTCCCATGTGCCCACCTTCGTTGGAGGATGGACAGGGCAGTCAGTAGTCAGTCCGCGCTGTCAACTCCATACTAGGACCATTAACTCTACTACACGATTGTACTATTGTCATCCCCCGCCTCAAGTTCCCTTTGCCTTCTCTTCTCCTTCCACCAAACAATAAATCCAATAAGCAAGAATATCGCAGCTCACCAACAAAATGGTCAGAATCCGAATTCCGCGCGGCTCTCGCGGTCGCACTTCTTTTACCACATCACATAACCTCGACACTCCGGTTTCTCCGTCCATCCCACAAGAGACACCTCGCTTCCGCGATAGACGGAGGCAAGAAGGAGATGGGATCGCCCGCGAGCTTTATATATCGTATGTACAATTCTGGATGATACTGGTTGGGTTGGTTGTTGGCTCAGTTTTTTGGTTGGAGTCTATTAAATGGAGGTAGTTGAAAAGGTTGCTTGGGAATATTGAAAGGTCTGAATATAGATGCACCATCTAAATAGAAGGGTCGTAAACTTTCGTCATATCAATACAATATACCATGCGGGAGATTGATGGATGCAAGTTATGTATTTACTGCCTTTTAAGATAGGTTAAACCCGTTACCTGATGACGATAAAAAGCAACTAGAGACAGAAGAAACAAAATGATTGACCAAACCAAACAACCAACTCGAGCCCAACCGTGGAACCGGAACCGGAACCTGAACCAGCCCCCTCCCTCCATCATCCACCCGTCATCACCTTCCATCACCACGTATCACCAAACCTTCCCATAGTTCCTTCACCACTACTCATAACCACCTCGCCACTGTCCCAACCCCATAACACCCAACCCCGCCATTCCTCCCATTCCCATCCCCATCCCTATACCACCAAACCCATAACCACCACCATGACCTTGGTTACCCTCCGCCGCGCTCGGCAAAGAAACATAAGCCGAATCAGAAACCTCGTCACCACCACCATTGGTCATCATCCCCTCCAAACAAGCCTCGAGATCGACTTCGCCGTTCTTGAAGAAGGGGAGATCGACGAGTGTGATGGGGTCAATGGTTTCGAGGAGGGAGTCAAGCCAGGCACTGTTACTCTGGGAGTGGGTTTCCAGAAAGCTGGTGGGTTCGTTGGTACTGGCTGGGATTCCCTCTCCCTCTTCTTCTCCTTCTCCTTCTCCTTCTCCTTCTTCTGCTCCATCTCTGTGGTGGCGGTGGTTGTCTGCGTCACCGGGCGTGCTGTCGTATCGGCCTGGGCTTGGTGACCCAGGTGTTGGACTGGGTGGACTACTAAACGGCGTAATCACTGTCGTAGCGTCGTCGGCGGTGCCAGGACCAGGAGCATTAGCACCACCAGTGGTACCAGGCCACACCCATGTCCGACTAAATTTGAATACCACGTCTTTGAACAGCTGATCGGCCTTTTGGTTCATCTGCGTTTGTACGGACGTCATCATCTTGTCGAGCTCTTGGCGGAAGATGGGCTCGACGTAGCGGGGGAGTTCGCGGCGGAGGAGGTCTTTGAAGGAGGATATGTCGAAGGAGGAGGCTGTTGGTGGTGTTGTTGTGGTCTTGTTCTTCGCTGCTGAAGAGTGGGGGGTGGTAGATGGGGAGGAGGAAGGGGTGGTGGTGGAGATGTCGTAATCTATTTGGAGGGTTGTAAGTAAACGGTGGAAGGAAAAAGGGGGTAAAGAGAGAAGAGGAAAAAAGTGAAAGGAGAGGAAAAGGGGGAACAAGGGAAAACGTACAAGGACAAGGAATCTTCGACCCCGCTGGTCCCGGAAAAATGATGCGGTACATATCATTCCACTTGTCTTCCTCCGACAATCCAGCCTTGGCTCTGGCGTGCAGTTTCTTGTCTTGGTCGTCGGTGATCACCTCGGGGACGTTGTCCTTTCGGAGTCGGCAGGGCGTTTCTGCCCTTTGGTGGCTCTTGAGGTCATCGTCTGTCTTGAATTGCTCGTAGCATCGGGGACAGGTGTTTTTGAGGGAGTGGCGACGGTAGATGTGTTCTCTGTACGTTGGGGTTGAGTGTTAGTCTGATTTCTAGGGGAGAAGAGACGAGATGAAAGACAGGAACGCACTTAACCCGATGAACGCTATCCCACCCCGGACCACAACACGTCTTCACAGTCCTGTACCTAGCCGGATTATGCTGACAAAACGGACAAGCGAACTTGCGGCCTTCTCCTCCTGGTGCTTCAGGGCCATGGTGTTTCACCCGCTTGGTAGTAGTCGCCTTCTTGACCTCTCTCGTCACAGGGTGATGTTGGTGTTGTTCATGTTGATCCTTAGACTCCTCTTCAGCGGCAGCACTATCCTGATCCTGGTAGAGATGATCACTTTCAACGGCCCCTCGAGGCCGCTTCAACGTCTTGGCAGAGGAACCGTGCTCAGGGATTTTATCAAGCCATACGTCAAGATTGCGGACGAACCTCGCCATAGATAGCTGGAGGATCAATTTCTTTCGTCTGCTCAGGAGGCTGCTAGCGGTTGTGGTCGACGTTGTGGTCGTTGTCGAGTTGTTGTTGGCTGGAGTGTTGCCTAACTTGGAAATACACACGTCCTCCATCAAGGGCCGGAACAATCATAGAATCGATCCGTGTTGGGCTAGAGAGCGCCAAGCCAGAGACATCAGCGATGATATCCTAGCGATACAAATATTTCGGACTTGGAGAGCTGGGCTTGGTGGGTATGGTATGTATGGAAGGCTTGCCCTAGGGCTGAAGAGGTATGTCGAGCAATGAAGGTAGACGAGAACTAGTACCTAATGGGACGAGGGCCTGGAAAGGAGCAGATGCTGGAATATGGACAGACCAAAGGGGAGATGTTGACTTGAAGTGACCAAATAGTGATTGTGTGCCAGGTAGAGACGGATGTTGATGAAAGCAGACACTGCTAAGAATGGTGAAAATGATATTGAAAAGAAATTGCAGAGATAAGACTCGATGGATGGTCGATAGAAGACGATACAAAAAAAAAGGTGAGCAAAAACATGACCAAAAATCCCCAACATTATATACCTACTCGCCGTTTGCGCAAATGCGGAGAAAGAGTAAGATAGAGTGGTGTAGATACAGCCCCTCCATCACCTGGTGTCATGATACACCACACCTCACCCACCACCCTTCCGAGATCCCGAGCATCCCACAGCAACAGTAGCCCTGAATTCTCCAATAAACATCATGGAAGCGGGACACAACTCGGCGCGGATGAGCAGTGACACAAGATCAGCGAAGCATTGCAACTGCAATATCTGCGACCTTGCAACCCAGGCCTAAGGTGCGGCGACGGCGGGATGCTCCGAAGGGTAGGATGGTAGGAAGGGTAGGTGCCGCATGACAAGCCGAAAGAGGGCTAACTCCAATGCCCGCTGAGGATGGTTGGCTTGGCCTGGCCTCCCGGCCTGCGGCCTATATGTTGTGGTGGCTGCGCGCATGAGGCAATTGCTCAATTGCGGGGAGTCCCTATATTGATGTTGGCAAAGGGAATTGAGACTCGCATGCGGTAGGCGAGGCTGTGGAAAAGAGGTATAACATCCCATTGGGCACCAGGCGATAGTAACCTGCATTGGTTGTTTGGTTGTTATCTCCAGTTGGCCCTTTTGTCCACACCTTATCGCCTCATCAGGCCGGGCCTATGACTCTTAGAATGAGTTGTCATCGATGGTGTTGTTTTCCCGTGGCAGATGACGCGTCATGAAATCCAGAAACAATGGCTCAATTGCGAGCAGACCAGGTGAAGAATCGGTGAGTGTTGCGTTATGACCGTTGGTCCTAATAATTGAAGAGACCCAGCTATGCATGGCGCTCAAAGAGGCCGGGACGGGGTCCGGAGGCACCTTTGCTGGCGTGGCCATAATCAATTCGGGATAAGCAAGTGCCTCCCGGGTTGAAATGATGATTTCAGTCCTCCCGTCACGGAGGACAATGCTCAACCGCGAAGTCGGGGCCTCTCTCGCCTCTTTTGCTGTCCCTGGCCTCTTGTCTAGGGCCTCTCAAATAGCCACTGTCGTGGAGGATAAAAGGCAGAACTACTGTCTCATCGTAGAATTCCAAGATGTTCTCTATTCAAAACAAACAAAACCAAAAGAAACCGGCGATCCGCTCTGCCTCAGAAATCCACACACAAAATGACACTCATCAAGGTTACTGCTTCAAAGCCCTCAAAGGCCAAGTAAGTGATATCGATCATGCCGGATCATGTGAAAGATAACAATAACTGACAGATGGGGCTGCAGGAAATCATCAGAAAGCTCACACCGCCTCAATACATATCTCCAGAGTGACCCAACCGTCACCGAGAGGTTGTTGAACAATTCCGACCTCGATGGGATATTGGGCCGGATTGGCAGCCTGCAGGCCGAAGTGAATGCGCTGGCGCAATCATCCCGCGGGTCTCCCTCACCAAGCTCTGGAAGCGCCGACAGTCGATAGGGAACAATGGGAAAGGCAAGAACGCATCATTACAAAGCTTGTATAAAACGGGATTGGGAACTGTACATCGTGTATGGATATGGAGTTTGGACAGGTCTCAAACGGGTGCGAAAACCGCAGGAGATTGAGCCAGCGCTGGCGCTGGTGTCGGAGCGGGAGCTGCAACGGGGGCTGGAGTTGGAGTTGGAGTTGGAGTTGGAGTTGGAGCTGGAGCGGCAACGGGAACTGGAGCTGGAGCTGGATCTTCAGCAAAATCGGCAATAGGTCCGAAGGCCTGATGAATCATTAGCACAGCAATTCCGAAAAACTAATAGTCACTTCACTTACCGCAGAGTCAATATCTGCCCAATCCGTAAACGTCCAGTTATCCCAAAGCCTCCTCGTAAACCCAGGCGTCGCGGCCTCCCCCTCCTGATCTTCCGCTTGGTCCTGCACTGATCCGATCATTTCGGCCGCCCAATGAGCGCGAAGGGCATCCTCCAGCAACTGATCATTCGGTGACGGACCATCAGTAGCGCCCTCAACTTCATTCTCAGCCTCTTCCTCCTCCTCCTCCTCCTCCCCCTCCTCCTCCCCATTCTCCTCCCCATCCGCTGGGGTGTCATCGTCATTTGCAGCTTTCTTTTTACCACTGCTTGCCTGGCCCGGGAAAACATGCCCAGTCTGACGCGTCACCTCCTTCTTCAATTCCTCCAGGATAATGGCCCACTTGCGGGCGGGTGAATAGGGACTCGTATCGGATGCCAACATCTTGATGCCTCTTTCCACTAGCTTGTGCAGCTTGCCGTCCATCACTTCATGGCCGCGGTAGTGAGGACCGCCAAACAACCTCTGGCGCTCGCGAATGTGTGGGAGGATGATTAGAACGACGGCGGCGCAGTAGGCAACTTGGTGAGGGTACCAGAGCGTCATGAATTGCGCATTGTCCTCTGTGCGAATGAGGCCGGTGACGACACTAAGGGCAATTCGGGCTGAGTCAACACAGTCGCGGATGGCATTGTCGGTAGCTTCCTTCAGTTCGCCTGATTGAGGGTAGGGCGCGGTGATAAAGGGCCGGCAGGCAAGCATGGTGGCGTGACAGTGAGCTATCCTGATGAGAACCATTTGCCTCTGGAAAAGGGGTAGGAGTAAGGTCGGCTTGAGGTTTCTGAGAAGGTATGGAAGCTCGTCCCTCCACCTCTGGACCTCTTTGCCGATGCGCAGGGCGCTATCGATCCTTTGTTGGTCGGGGATCTCTCGAAGGGAGTATACTTCGTGGAGGAGCTTGTCGATGAGCTTGTTCAACTTGGCGTGGGAGACCAGTGCTTCCATGTAGCAATCCCCCTTGTGTGCTCGGACAGGGCCAGTGGGTCCCATGTCCTCATCATTGACAGCATCTGGAAGCTCCTGATCGATGAAATCGTCACGGAAGTGACTGGGTCGTCCAAAGACCATGCTGAGTTGCTTGTCGATGATGTAAGCCGTCCAAAACGTTCGCCGCTCACACTGGATCTTGGCATAGTCCGGTCTTTTGGTGATATCGCGACCAAGTCCACGGTTTTTACCTAAACGGCGATGAAGACCGAGGCCCGTAATCATCTGAAGTGTATTGCCAAAGGTATACCAAGCTTTGTTCAAGCGACATGTGCTCAAGAGGTACAAGTCCTGCAAGAGGCGAGCCTGGACAGAGTCCAATTTCGGATCGCCAGTCTCGGCATCTGTGAGACTCAGGGCGGTATTCAGCAATGAATCGCCGTATCCGGGAGACCAGATATAGTCGTCTGGAGGAGGCATTTTCCTGGTCTTCATCACCTTGCCGGTTTTTTTGTTTATGCGCACCCACGTCTTTGGGGCGTCCTTGAAGAGTGAGCCAAGAGCCATGGTCATGAGGGCAATGGCGGCACGGGCATGGCCTACACCACACCACAACTCCTGACGAGCCACGAAGTTCTTTTCGACTTGCTCCAACCACTTCCGCACAGTATGACGGTGGAGGAAATGGAAGGTACCATTCCAGCTCCTGAAGAAGTGGTCCTGTTGTTGGTACCACCGCTCTCGATTGGGTGGGAACCGAGCGGTTGTCGAACGGTCCCAGGGCTGATCGACAGGAAGCTGAGTATTCCGCTGGACCTGGGCAAGCCTTTTCCAAGCCGCATGAAGAAAGACAAGAGGCGGAGTGCCCTCATCTCCGTAGCGGTGATCCAGTTTGAGGCTCAGGTAGTCCTGTCCAGGGCCGCCGTGGCGAGCAATGTCGTCTCTCATAGCCTGTCCCTCGGCATCATCCCCCGCGTTCTCCTGGCCCTCATCATTAACAACAGGCTGTGGCAGATCATCAGGCCCCGGGAAATAATCACCGGCCTTTTGATAGGGACCTCTCAGTTCCGGGTTCGGAAGATCCTCGTATCGGTTACGACTATTGCGCTTCTTGTAGGTGCACTCCTGCCTCATGCTGAAGCATCTCTCGCAGGGCAGAGTGCCTGAACAGGGATGGCGTCCATCCCGACATGTATCGCAGGCTCGCTTGACCCAGCTTCGCTCGCGTATCTCCTTCCCGCGGATGTCTGTAGTACGGGCAAAGTTACGGGTGGTGGGATCACTGGGAGGCGGAGGAGGAGTCCTTGCGCGGCCTCTGTAGTAGGGGTTGTTGTAGGTGCACTCTACTCCTTTCTTGATGCAGTTTGCGCATGGCTGGAAACCCTGGCACTTTTGACGGCGGCCATGGCAGGCATCACAAGCACGCGAGATTCTCTGCTTCTTCTTGGCAGGTCTGTCCTCAGAGGGCTCATCCGGGGTTTGCTCTTGGGATTCTTGTGGTTGTTCCTGCTGTTGCTGTGGTTGCTGTGGTTGTTGGTCTACTTGCACCTGTTGTTGGTCAAGCTGGCCTTGTCCTTGGCCTCCATACTGTTGCTGCTGGGGAGTGGACTGGGACGACTGAGAGCGAGAAGCGTAAGCCTGCTGTTGTTGAATCAGAGGCTGTTGGACCTGAGGCTGTTGGAATTGTTGCAAGTGAACTGGCTGGACCTGCTGGACCTGTTGAGCAGTCTGGTGATACTGCTGGGTGTTTATCTGCTGAGAGGGGTACGAGGGCAGGGAAACGCGAGTGGTGGTGGGCGGCACATTGTCGTAATAGGAATTATATAAAGCATTCTGCTGATTATTGGACATGATGGAGGGTCCTGTGAAGCAATCCTCGGATGATGGCGCAAGTGGTGGTCCTCGAGATATTGCAGGCCAGATAAGTCGGAGGTCACCAGACTCAATTGATGTTCCGACAAAGGTCACCGCGCATCCCACGGGAAAAGTGGTCAGTTCGGACGTCAATTTAGGGTTAGGGTTGGCCTGTATCGACCCTGCTCATTCTAGCGCCATCACATTGCCCTCTCAAACGATTGCAACTGCTCTGTCTTTCTATCCCTACGATTAAAACGTTCTTGCCTCCTTTGAAAGAGATAACTTCTTTGCTATTAATTACCATTCACAACTTGAGTGGAAGCTGTAGTGACTACGTGATTTATACATCTTCGACCAAAGGTCCAGATGCGGGCAACTCAAACCAAAAGGCGGGTTAGGGTTATTTACACAATAAGTACTTAAACGATACGGTACCTCTATAAAGCTTTAATCCCACCGGCTATTGGCTTGCATCCATATGCCTTGATATTTACATCTTCTAGGTAGCCCTTGCACCTCATTATACAGCCTCACGCAAGACCCATAGGACACCTCCCCCCACCAACGCCACCAGTGCAACCGCCCTTAGCCAACAACTCCATTCTCCTCCTCTCCAAATCCCTCACCATCTCCTCAATTTCCTCCTTTCCTTGTCCCTTCAATTTCTCGGGGCCAATCTCATTGATGCTATACCCCTCCGGCTGGTACCTGCTACCACCATCGCCCGGAACCGGCGCACCGGACAGGCGCCTCAACAAAGCCGAGGGACCCCAGCGGCTCCAAAACGTCGGCTTCACATACCACGGGTCAAGTTCGTATACATTAAAGTGATACTTTCCGGTGGCAGGGTCGACATCCTTGTTAAGTTTGTGGAGAACCATCCACTCGAATCGGGGAGGGCTGAGGTGGAGGAGGACCCAGCGGCGGAAGAGGAGGATCCAGGTTAGGGATTTTTCTTGCCATTGAGGCGGTTCGGGGAAACTGTGGAAGTTCGTTAGCTGTCTGTCAGTCATCACAAAACGGATCGAGAGAGATACTCACTTCATAGCCTCCCTCAACCTCCTCCCCATTAACACCCCAATAAACCCCTTGCCCACCCCCCTCAACATCCTCGGTTGGCTCAACAGCAAAAAATCAACCGTATGCCTCGCCACCTCCTCGTTACTCTCCGCATACTGCATCTCCGTATCCTCATACCACTCACTAAACCGTTCCATCTTTTCCATCCACTCCAGTCCACTCTCTTCCTCCTCCTCATCACCCTTCTCTCCCTCCCCCTTATTCTTCTCCGCAAACCTCTCCAAATCCTCCATCCCAATCCCCATCAACCCCCCCACCTCCCTCCACACCACGCCCACCGCACACCTCTCCACCTGACTCACCCCCCTCCACTCCCACCTCCCAATCCACCTCTCGGGTTCCAGCGCAAACATGCTCAGCGTATACAACAGATCCCCGTCCCTGATCCGTCCCGCCTTCTGCCACCGGCCATGCAACCAATTCATTCTCGCCAGCGCCTCCAGCCCCCTCTTCTCCCAGGGCGGGTTGATGACGATTTCCATTATTAATATTTCGGTGTCGGTTGCTCGTTTGGAGGCGGTTTTGTTCGAGGAGAGTTGGCCTGTGGCGAGGAGAAGACTGGAAATGGAGGGGATGGCGTAGGTTTTGAAGAGGGCGAAGAAGAGCGAGCGTTGGTAGAGGTAGGGAAACTCGCGCTGGGAGATATTTATGAGGATTTGGTGGGCGTCTTGGAGCGTCATTTTGGCAAGATTGGCGGGGGAGCCGTCGGGGAGGAAGTATTGCGGGAAGCGGGTGCGGTAGGAGTGTAGACGCTGGAAGCGGAGGTGTCGGATGAGGAGCAGGTAGGAGGGGATGAGGATGGTGAGGATGGTGGTCCAGCTGCAGTTGATGCCGACGCTCGATAGAGGTAGGGAGGGCATGATGGTTGAGAGGAGACCATCGGGTGGTGATGGTGTCGTGACGTTCATGATGATGTTGAAGTGGGCAGCATCAGCATGCCCTTTTTGATGTTTGGAAGTCGAATTGACGAAGGAGGCTTGAGCACCGTTGGACAAGGGGACAGAAGCTCCTTATACTGATGCACTTCTTGAACTTGTGCCGTCTCCGTTTACTAAGACGTGTGCTTTGTCTCGACAGCGGGGTAGATAGATGTACGTCTAGGGATCGCCACTAGTCCGACGGTCGGTTTTGTAGACCTGACGAGTAATATGTAGAATCAGCACCAAACATGGGGAAAATCTTACTCGGTACCCGCCCGCCTCGGAGTTGCTTCATGTGACTGGATATTTCATTGGAATGCGGCTTGCAATTCCATGTTTCACGGCATAAAACCTGTTACACAAGCAGCCTGGTTATTGCGCGAAGTCTTGGAAGACACCGCTCCGCCAAATCTTTTTCGTAGACATGGCCCACCGTCATATCATGAAAGTAACTGTGAATGCATGGCTGCTTACGCGAAGAGATTTCACTCGCTAGCCGAAACGGGATGTAGGGCTGATTACAGGTGCCGGAAAGCTGTGGAGTGATGATGCATAGCCTCGGACTTTGTGAGGGGAATTTTGACATGCGAAGACATAAGAAGCGCCAGAGCCTGACCCCTCTTGATCTCAAGTCCGAGTCCTCAATCGCACTTTCCGTCCAGCCGTCATCCTGTATCTTTTGCGGCCGCCAACCGAAGCGGTATCAAATCATCAACTCATGCCAAGACAGCATTGCGTCTGGAATGTCATCTTCCCGGTTTGCACACAATCCCAAGAACGCCCAGCTACTATCTGATTGTGCTCACTGCTCGCTACCGACCCGAAACTTGAATGATATCGAGACGTGACCATATCGAGTTTGTCAACCTCAACGGCCTTTGATCTTATCCCGCCTCCAGCTACTCAATTCAGACCACAAGTTGTTCTTGCCTTTGTCCTCGGTGCGGGTCCTATCGAAATCGTCTGGAAGAGTTAAATCCGAGCTTGCTCGGACTAACCCAGCACCCAGATCGAGAAGCGGAACCATGGATGGTCGCCCATGCGCGCACTGAAACGGGAAAGCGCAATCGGCCAGCTGCAAGACCAAGCTGCTGCATTCCTCCAGAGACAGTTCGTCGTTGAACATGATAGCACCTGACTTGTTAGCATCGTAACTCTAGTCAGAGAAGACAAAGAGCGTACCAACTCACTTCTACAGGACCTAGAATTCAACAACTCCAAGATACCCTCCGGGCAATCATGGAACCTAGCAACCCAGTCACGTTCTCCCTCTATCTGGCCACCGCCAGCTGCACGATTCAAGGACAAGCCCAAGCCGGGGTTGTCATTCAGCCTCCATATCTCCTTTCGAAGCAGCTCGACCAGCACTCGCGGCTCCAACCGACACCGCTCCAAGATGCTGGGTGGCAGTGACTGTACTTCCACGGTGAACCTCGTCGAGTGTTCCTCGCCTGTGAAGACTTCGTAGAAAATGCCCCAGTATTCGAAGTGTGGTTTGTATCGGACGAGAAGGTTCCCGTCTTGCTTGGACAGGTCGAAGCGGAGAGGGCGTTGTAGGGACTGCGTTTGGGCCGTTATCTGGTCCGACTGTGAGGCACCTGAGCGGTGGACAATGGTGAAATAAGATTTCATCAAATATTCTACGCGGACTCGCTCGTCAGCCGCGTGTTGATCGATCAGAACCAGGACGCTTCGGTCAACGTCGGAGCTGGGGGAGACTTTGTCCGTTTCCGTGGGAGCCATTTTAACAAAGATGAACTTTTTATCGACCTGTGCAAGGATAGTTGCCGTACGCAGGGCATCTCTGGAGATTCGGCCCTGTAGGGTCATCAAGGCCCCTCCGTTGACCGGTTCCAGATTGACAACTCCCGTAGAGTGATGATTGCAGCTATGATGAGCGCCGTGTTCCAGGGACTTATACAACTCGGGCACACGGGGTATGGGAGCTTCGACAGGTTCGAAGGCGGTACTTTTTGACGCTGGGACAGCAGCTCGAGCTAGTGAGCCCTTTGGGCGTCGCTTTGGAGTGTCTCGAGGTCTCGTTCCGGGGGCCGAATGGGGCCGAATCATGAAGCCTGTCCGCGGATCTATGAGTGTTCTGGTATTCGTAGTGGGATCTACCCACTCCACATAGTTGTCCGTCTTGCTACTGTCAAAGCTTGAGGGCAGACTGGACTGTCGACTCAGTCCCCGTGGCGCGAAGTGGTTATTGCTTGATGGAGGTGGCTCGACATCCTCGAACGGCTTTCGTATAAGCTTACCCGCTCTGTCAAACAGTGGGTTTTGCGCCCACGGAACGATTTCCACATCTTGCGTAGATGTGCTGGCAGATTTGACGGTCTTGTCTGTAGATAAGGCTGAACTTGAAGAGAAGTTTTTGGATTGTAATTCATGCGTGGATCCCGACTTCACGCGTGACCACGACGTAAACGGGGATGCTGAGCCCTCTTCGATGTGACGGTTGCTTGAGCTTGCCCTTGAGCTGCTAGAAGTTGATCGCGCTAGCCCCGAGGGTGTATGCTTCTTGTTGTGACTGAAGGTTGCCTGTGAGGATGACGGGGAGACAGATCTCCCGAGAGTACCGGACTCAGCTGATGAGCCCCTTGACGACTTGAGCCTGTCGAAGGCATTAATAGACTTGGGCCTGAACTGGTGTTTCTTTAGGAACTCGTAGGCTATCACCTGAAGAAGGTCGGTGATAATCGAGAGGTCCTGCTGCCTTTCATCTAGAAAGTCATCAGCATTCAAGGAACCCTCCTGTCCAGCCATGGTGATTCGAAGAAAGAACATGGGCCATCGATCAAGGCCCTTTCTTGGCTTGAGTTCTTTTAATGTGAACCCTTCTTTCCTCCTTGGCTGCCCTTCGTTGAGTGCCGCTTCTTCGATGACGCCAAACCCAGAATTTGCAAACACGCGATTGACCTCCTCGTACAGGATGTTGGAGTCGTTTTCGTTTGACAATGGTCGTATGCCTAAAGACATGAACTGCACTCGCCTTGTTGCAACCGGCACTAGGCAGAAGCAACCGTTCACAGAAACTCCAGGTACCGAGGCTCCAACTGGAACCCATGACTTGGAGTCTTGTTCCTCAGTCAGCGAAGCTTGGGCGAAAAGGCTGGAGGTCCGCAGCACCAGCTCATTAGCAGAGTTCCGACGGTCTTGGAGCTGGTTGGTTATCCCGGAAGTGCGAAGAGTAACAGTACGTCGAGAAACAGCGTCTCGGACGGATAGAGTGGCCTCGTTTGGCCAAGAAAGGAGAATCGAAACGATGATATGAATGAGCTGGTCAAGGCTCTTAGCCGTGCCCAGTCGTTCAACTTCGGTGGCCCTCTGCTTTACGCGGACGGGCATGGAGCCGAACAGGTTGCGAACAGTAACACGCGTTCCACTGGGAAAGGCCAGGACACACTCTTCGGGTAGAGCAGGAGTGTTGCGGGCCACAATTCGGGAGTTGTGAATTGTTGTTGAATTATGTGAGCGGTGTTCATGGTGATGAGATGAGATGGAAAGCAGAGACAGAGCTGCTAAGGAAGCCAGGAACTGGCCATGTCTTCCATGGAAATCGGGGTGTGGCGGATATCGCGAGGTGTAGTAAAGCTTGCCGAGACCACCATCTTCGCGGAAGCAGGCTGGAGGAATCCCGAGCCCATTGTCCTCAACAGAGCAGTTTCCACGGCTGTAATCGATAGAAATGTTGATCTTGGTTGCACCGGCGTCGAGTGAGTTTCGGAGCAGGCCATCAACGATGCCGTTCAGGGAGGTAATAACAGCTGAAGACTTGATCTGGGCGATAACGTCCCCAGGAAGTGGTTGGATTGACATGGTGGTGGTTGGTGTGAGTTCAACATGACTTTTTGTCGGGGAGGTCTTGGCGGGTGACTGGGTGGTCGGCGATGTAAACAGACACTGTTGAGCTCTGGAAGGTGAGCTCTAAGAAGACTGGACCTGCCAAAGAGGAACAGCAAAGGAATAAAATGGAAGTAACGTGAGGATAATAATGAAAAGCGCGATGGGGTATTGCGCAGGCGTCAATGTGATCAAGGCTTGTCAATTCAAAGCAGAGGATGCAATTGAAGCAACTTGAATGAAGCCATTCAGAACTGAAGCAAAGAGGAAGAAAAGACGTCAGGTCAAGCTTGTCAAGCTCTCTGTCTTGGCATTGGCTGCCCCGAAAAGAGACAAGTGAACCTTGATGGCCCTGTTTCTTGGCAAGGCACGTGAGAGCAAGAGCTCCACAACGGACCCCAGGGGTCGAAACATTGGCTCCACAGATCGGAAAGGCCCGAGCTCGGTGGATCCTGTCTTTGTTCGAATCGTCCAGTCACCGTGGCCGTCGCAGTCGCCTTGGAAAATGGCAGTGCAACTTTCACAATTCAGGACCCCAGCCGACCCAAAGTCCATGCCGGCTGTCCCAAAAGTCGAACAAAGACGCGACACAGATCCTGTCATCATCTCTTCGTCGTACTTTCCAGAGCCAGGAATCGATCACAGTCTTCGTCATACCCTGTGACCGCTTTTATACTTCGAGTCGCTCGTTGAATTGATACAATCCATCCCTCCGATTGCCAATACAGCCGAATTGTTTATCTTGTCGTCTTTGAGAAATCGCGAACCTGTCAATCCATCAGCAACCTCCATCGAATCGCATCGCATCCTATCCTTGCCGACGAGTGACCTGGAAGAAGCACTGACGCGGCGTTCGCAACTGACTCGACCGACACTCCATCGACATTCGATAAGACAGTCCTCTTTCCATCTCACGTTCACCATCCATCCATCTCCTTCCTCAATATCCCCTTCAGTCCGTCCCTTCCTGTCGCCGAGAGGGACGTGAAACCGTTGGCCGTTGCAGACCACCGTGTAATCTGCCCCAAGGACCAGTGCAGTCTGTGCAGAAGCCGTTAGGGAAGTGGTACCGTTCGGATACCGCAACCACAACTAGAAGCAGGGGAAACTCGCTGGCCGTTGCGATCGTCGCCCATCCAACACGCGCCCTACCTTCTTTCTCTCTGGCGACCATCAATTTTGATCTACACGCTAGACCCAAACATCCAGAATCCCCCGACCCGCGACTGACGATTTGACGACTGCTTGACCTTCTGTCTGCCACTGCCACTGCACGACGACCCTTGCTTTGCGACCGCACTACCGCACTACCGCACGGATCCATATCCATATCCGCTGATATCGACGTCGACCCTACCGCGCCCGTGTAATTCGACAAACCGTCTTCTCCAAGTCCTGCTCCGGCTACCTACTTTTCCTCTACTACAACCACCATGACCGAGACGGCTACATCTTGTCACCACGGTACTGATTCTCTCATCTGAAACCTTGTCCAATCTTTGCGCTACCTACCTACTTCTTATCAGCCGTCCACTCCTCGCACATCCTCTTCTCTCGCTCCCATCCATTACACCGTCCCTCGTCCAACATGCATTCCTTTGCCTCTGCCTTTCGCCATCGAAGCAATTCTGCTCCGCCGCTGAGCCAGTTCGGTCCTCATTCAGTCGCTGACCCTATGCCAGACCGAGAAGATCGTCCCGAGAGGACTGGTCGCCGACGACCCTTCTCGTCGCTGATGAAAAAGTTGAAGAGCATGAAGCCCGGCGATGCTGTTCGACATGCCAGCTCCAAGCGAAACAACCTCAAGAAACAAGCCGACAACAACCCATACGCAGCCGTTGGCCGCTCCAACTCGGACCACGTCCAGATCGCCCTGACCCCGCCGCCGACCAGCCATTATTCGGTATCCTCGACAAGAAGCGCAAGAACATCGAGCACAACATCCATAGACCCTTCAGATGACTCTGTCAGGTTGTCGACCGACGGCCATCCACCTCCCACCATGGGAGGTCGATCGACTATAGCTCCAACTGTAGTCACCGATCATGAGACCGCGTGCTCTATGGCCGCGCCGTCCTACGGGGCCTCCTCGGTCACTGGCACAACTCGTACCGCAAATATCGACTCCCGTCGGGGCAATGATAGCACCTTTTCGTCCCCCGCGCCGTCTGTCCGTTCGTTGACTACAACCCTGACGACAATACAATCCTTTATGCCCAATGGTGCCGCTGCGACGCACAACAACAATCAGAACAGCACCAATCAGAACAGCACCAACACGTCCAACAGCCCTAATCACCACCATCACAACCATCACTCTCATCACTCCAACTCACAAATAATCCACTTCAACCAACCTTTCCCGACGACGGCCACTCCCGTCTCCGCCATTCCAGCCCATCTTGTACCCTCCGGTCAGGGTGGGAACTCGCCTTTCTACCCGACTACCTACCATACCGCCACGGCGAACAACCTGCTGACCGACAACGCCTCCATCCTAACACTCGCATCCTCCTCCAAGCGCCGCCGTCGCCGCTCCTTCGACACTGACGCCTCGGTCCGTGCTCTCGCGCCCTCTTCTCTCTTTGGAGGCAGCCGCGAGTCTCTCCCTCTCAGCGTCCTCAGTTCCAACATGGAAGGCGGCACAACTGGCGGCATGACCGGCGCCACCACGCCCGGTGGTCTATACCGTGGACCCAACGGCTTGGCCAACGATCGCACAAGCATCTACTCTTCTACTACAGGATATCTAGCCAGCGACAGGAACAGCTTCTATTCGAAGCAGGCCATCGGCGGGCCGGGTACTGGAGGAGATGCGGCTAGTGTGAGGAGTGGGCTGTTAGGACATGGTAGGGCTGAGAGTATCAATGGCAGTATTGGTGGAGGGTTAACTGCTGCACCAATGAATGGGGTTGCGTCGTCGGGGAGCTTGGTTGGGCTCACGGCTGCGGCGTCACCCAGTCCGTTGGCCAGTCCGAGGGATAGGGACAGGGAGAGGAGGATCAGTGGTGGGGTTGGTAATGTAGATGAAGATGTCGAAGGGGAGGAGAGGGCATGATGGAGTCTGGGCTGTCTGGGCTGTATGGGTGACGAGGATGGAATGAATAATGGTAAATGCGCTGAGGAATTGGGACGGGACAGGAACATACCAAGTATCGTATGGGATGGTGTTCTGGAACAGGGTAATGGGTGGGACAGGATTCTCGGGTTATATGTCTTGGGCTTAAGTACTGGCGTTGTGTCTTTCTGTCTATCAACTGCGTTATTTTCAACTGAGAATGGGATACCTCTTCAAGCTGTGATGGCCACTATGGGAAAATGGAGGTCCTCTTGACTGGTTTTTCTGAGCTGTTGGCTTATTTTGGGCATCAAAATCCTGCCTCTTGTGTTGTTTTATCTCTTGTACCATCGATGCTTTCCTTCACATCGCTGCATCTTTTCGAGTCCATCTCGTTCTCAACATGTTCCTTTCCCGTTGTTCGTCCTTCAGCTGTACACCTCTTTGGGTGTTCCTGTTTGGCGTCGTCGCCTTCTTCTTTTCTGTGGCTCCTTCCCTATTGGTGTCAGTTCCGGTCTCTGTTCGGTCCCGCGGGGGCGATATCGATTGGCGTCTTCATGTACTGTACACATATTTCGCAACAATTCCTTCCCAACAGAACTGAACTGAACCTGGCATCATACAACGCACTGGAAACAACAAAACTGTATTTCGATAAACAAAACGGCAAAATGTGCTGGTAAATGCTGGGATGCCATTGCCCGGAGTCAAACCTGGGACCTGCTTTTCGGCTCTCACCTGCCTTACCTCGACTTAGGCTTCGCTTAATTACACTTGTGCTGCCGTTACACCACGGGGCTACTAGTATTTACCAGCGATGGGTTGTTGAACTGAGGCCCCGAAAGGGGTGTTTATATGTCCCTGGTTCCTTCACCGGCCGGGAGGGAACTACTTGATCAGTCCACGGGTGAATGATAGTTTTTTGGTCTACTGTGTATGTGAGCAACGCTCGTCATCCGGATTTTGCCGCCTCAGCTTCTAAAAATGATCCTTCTACATCTCAGAGGACGCGAGGGCCCCTTCCCTAATTGTTTGATGAGAACTGAACCCTCCCACCTACCTGTAGTATGGGAAGACTGTTTTGCTGTTTCCCGAGTAATAGATGTAGTTCTCGGCATGTACCCACGTGGGTGAATTCCAACCAATCAATAGCTCGAAGTTGCGGGCCGTTAGAGGCATAGACTGGAAAGACCGGACGTCAACGATATTCCGAACTGAAGCAAGGACGAAATCTCGATTTGGGAAGGTGGGATTTACAGCGTGATCATGCTGTCACCATCATATTTGACTTGATTGATAACGCACTTGTTGATCTTCCGGGCGCAGATGGACGTATCAAGAGGCCGTCCTGTCTCGCCACCTGCTCATTTTCACCGAATATCAAGTGCACTTTGTCTGCCCGGCACGCATAGGGATCGAAGATAGAGCTTTTCTCTGGAAAGATACTTCAGGAGAGCAACACGCCGGTTTTCAGACTGTGCCACAGCTGTCGCAGATATTTGAGACTCATAGGTTTCGGAGAGAAGATGGGGACCTTCGACGGATTCTCCGACATTTTGAACAATATTCGGCGAGGCATCTGACGAATGAAGAAGATGCGCTTGATGCCCTGAGAGGCCTATTGACCAGGTCTCCATTTTTCACCTACTATGGACTGGTCTTGGTGAGGGAGCACCCACAACAAGAGGAAGTAGCACAGTTACCAGTAGACTTTTTCCAGTCTCTTTGGTTTTCCTTTCGATTTGTCGAGGGGGGAGATTGTGAAATCAGAGGACGACAAGGTTTTCCCAGTTGGTCATGGCTTGGCTGGAAGGCCCCGAACGGTGTGAGCTACCACAACTTCGATCCGAATTTGAGCGACTCGAACTCCTACAGTTACAAACTTGAAGAAAAAGTAACATTTTGGGCCGAGGAGAATGAAGGCTCGCACGTACAGCTTGTGAATTTCTTACCATCCGCGGCATCCTTGAGAAATTGGTATTGGTCAGACACCTCGAGAGTTATACCGGAGTTGTCCACCTATCTCTGGGTAGAGAAGGGCTTGGTAATCCAACTTCGGTTCTGCGAAGCTCACAGTTACCTTGACAATGATCACCTTCACGTAGAAGTGCGTTTCAATAACGGCTTACGAGGCAGGATAGAGTCGGTTTACATGTCACGAAAGCGGGATGACCCTCAGTTTCAGAAGTTGATCACAGAGACGTGGGATTGCCTACTCGTTTACAGAACAAGAAGAGACCGCTCCGGGTCAAAATATTCTTGGAGTTTCCTGATACTAGAGTGGTCGGGTAATACGGCGTACAGGGTCGGTACGCTTGACATTGGCGAGTGTTCGATGGAATGGTATCACGCTTTGATGCGACAGGTACCGCATTCTATTCGGAGAATACGACTTGGCTAATCCGTACACAGAAGTCTCGCATCTTCGTCTGCATTTTTCAACCCACCCAGAACATCCGCGTTGCCAACACCATCCTCAGTGGTACGGTAAAGGCGACAAGTCAAGCCCTTCAACCGTAAGCTTGAACGAGTCGTTTCTATGTTCACCACCAGTTAGATTTGCACGCCCACCAGACAACAAGATATCACTCCAGGTAAAGGCAAATAAACATACCTCGAATAACTCCCCGCAGTATCCAAATCCAGCCGTCCGCGGATACAATCCTCGAAGTCAACATCCGCCCAAATAATCCCCTCATCATCCTCCCACTGCGGACCAGCAAGCACGTCTCCAAACGGCGAGACAATCGCCGAGCCACCGCGAGACACAAACTCCTCCTCCGCCTTGGTACCAGTAGACCTATCAATTACAGGGGACTTGAACGTCTTTCCACTGTCAACCTTGAGCGGCTGAGCCGAAGCTGGAGCCGCTGTAGCCGCTGTAGCCGCTGGAGCAGCAGAAGAAGACAAGGAGGTCTTGGCTGTGGTGGTGGACATGGCCTCGTCGTCGACTTCGGCTTCCGCCTCAACTTGGACATCACCTTGCTCGTCGCAGCAGGGCAAGACGATCTCGTTACCGTCTTCGTCGAAGACAGACTGTCTGCGGATCTTCTTGTGAAATTGAGAGGGGTCGGCAACGGCGCTGGTATCGCTTTGTTGTTGCTGGGAGATAACGGGGCCACCGTTGGTCTTGACTTGTTGCTTTCCCCCATCTTTGCGCACACACATGTTGGAGCTAACGACGAAGCAGCGACCTTCGATGGCGGCGGTCCTCATCAAGGGTAGCCATGTGTCACGGCCGTCGGCGGTCGGGGCAAGATAGAGGTTGATGTTCTGCGAGTAGAGCGACTGGCGGAGCATGGGCATGTAGTTCTCCCAGCAGATGGCGGCGGCGAGGTTGATGCGGACGCCGCGGATGACGGTGCTGACGGCGCGCAGGGTGGCGGGCGAGCCTTGGGCCCAGACTAGTCGCTCGATAGCGGTCTGTTTTTGGGAGTTCTGGCGTTAGCTTCCGCTTCACCACAAGGGAAACGGTAAAGACACTCACAGGCATAACCTTCCTCCTCTTCCCAATCATGCCCATCTTGGGACAAACATAAACCGCACTACAGTACAAACTTCCGCCCGCCTTCTCGATACACCCCGTCACCAAGAAAACGCCCGTCTCCCTCGCAATCTTTTCCAACTCCTCCCTTGTTCCATCCCCCCTCTTGTTCTTCACCTTGTCCTCCCCACCCTTCCCATCGGCCTGACCCAGAACCTCATCACCAACTAACTCCCTCCGAACCCACCTCTCCAACCCGCCCGCGCCCCCCTCCCCAACGATATCCCCCAAATCCACGGCAACCTGAAAATATCGGAGGTACTCGTCCCTCCCCTCGGCCGACCGCGAGCCCATGACGCACCCAAAGTTGGTGCCACGCGGGTAGCCGCCGATGTAGGCCTCGGGGAGGAGGAGGATGTCGATATGGTTGGAGGCGGCGCGGCGGGCGAGGTGGGTGATTTGCGAGAGGGTTTCGGGGGTGGTGGATTGGGTGGAGGGGGAGGCGGTGGCGATGCGGATTTTGGAGGGCGTCATTTTGGCGGTTGTTGACGAGGCGGGCTAGGTTTAATTCGTGTTGGTGCTGCTGGTGGTGGTGGTGGTGGGATAGCCTGTTGATTACTCCTGTGTGAAAGTAAAATTTGTATAGCAAGTGAGGGAATACAAAATGAAAACCAACTCGGGGAGCTATCAGGAGCTTTATATCAGATACGAGTGGGAGCTTCCCCTCTTCAGCTCGTAGAGCTATTCCCATGGGGTTAGAGCTCCATGCATGCAACCAAACTAGGTAGTCACCGTCACGATGACTCCCGTTCGGTACGGTCTCGGTCCCTCCCAAGTCCCAAAGCTTCAAAGCTCCAAGCACCGGGTGCTCAGCCGCCAGTGATCCAATTCGGCATTCATCGGCATCACAGTTCTTTGTCCCGTCTTTCCAGAGCTATCAAAGTTCGGAAGCTCCCGGTTCTCCCACGACGGAAGTGGTGAGACGGGAGTCACCTCACCAACGGGTTGGACGTTGAAGGGACGTGACTGATCTGATGCTGCAGCTGGGATCAGGGAGTTTGTCTTAGTGGTTGCCCCCCCTGCTGCCCCCGCATTTCAGGGAGGGCCAAGCCGCTAAGACCGCTGAAACGGGGTTCTGATAGGAGAGTAATCGCGCTGGAAGGGGGTACCTAGGTACCTGTGACGTAACAGCTTTTGACTGTGAGGACCTTGGTGGGCAGCTCGAGCTCTCGGGAGGAAGCCGAACTTGGGTGGACAGACTCTTCGAGAACACCAGATCCGCGACGTTGTCACCGATGGAATCTTTCCGGAAATATACATGCTTGATCGACGGTATTGTTCCATCCTGACCTCCGTCTCCGTCTTCCGAGCCGTCGAGGTGTACGTACCGTGATCCAGCTCCCTTCGTCGTCAAGACGTCAATAACAGCCGTGATGCGGCTATCTTGAACGGCTCCGCTCCGAACGGACCTTAGCGGAAGACCGGGGCCGGACGTTGTAACCAAAGCCGTCTTGGTCTTTATCAGACCGAATGAAAGAGTCACTGCAAAAGATACCAGTACTGTATCGAATAACAGGTACGTACCTTTGAGATGGATGTAGAAATGTCCAAGTGTGGATGGCCCGTACAAGTCCACCACTGTTCCTTCCTCATATTATCATGAGGGCATGCGCACACACAAGACGCACACATAAGTAAAAACAAAAAGATTTGTCCGAAGGAGGATGGTTTCAATTTTTATCGCAAGGAGCGGAAGTTCACCTGCTACATTGGATACCCACGCCAACATCAACAACCCGCCTTCAATCAAATTTCAGACGCACCAGAGAACACCCCAGAGAACGCAACCAGTTTCATGGATCAGCATCAGCGCCCACGCCTCCCCTTCCAGCGGCTTACTCCAGCTCAGGAGAGAAACGCGAAGTTCCATAAAGCACATGAACATGTGCACTCTTGTGCCAAAACAAACGAGCTGGGCATCCAGCAAATCCACCTCGATGCCATCTGCCCGTTAGGTCGGCCTTGTTCCTACCAAAAGTGCGGCCACGGTGCCCAGCACCTCCAGTTTGTGCCGTGTGCAGCCACGTTCGAGACCAACAAACAAATGAGAGAACATTACCGTACACATGTAAGGACAATGACAAAGACTCTACCCGATAGAACGAAGGAGCTGAGCTGTTTCTTCGGCTCTTGCGCCAGCAACCCGGAAGGAGGCAGGCTCAACAGAGGGGGGCCTACCTTCTCTACAGAGGAGGACAGACTCGCCCACATGTGGGAAGTCCATCAAGTCTACGCCAAATGGACGGCCAACGTCGAATTGTGTAACTATTGTCATACATGGCTTTCAGAGCCATATGAATGGCGTAAGCATGCGCCAACCCACATCACCGAGGCAGCAACCATCATCGAGCAACATGGCTACAGCGGAGTGACCACCGGGCGCACCCTCATGCCCCGGATTTGCCCGTTCTGCTACCACGACGAAACTAAGCCAGCTCACCAACGTGTGTATTGCCACGAACGGCAAGGTTATCCTAAACACATTGGTGTCCATTTCGTTGATATGGATAGGACAAAGAAGACGCGGAGATGCCCATGCTTTCCAACGTTCTGCAGCTCCCAAAACGAAATGGACAACTCCGAAATTGCTGCTTCATTTGAAGCATGTTCATCATATCGAAGCTGATAGGCGTAACCGCTGATCGGTGGGTGTACCTTCATGTTCGGAAGCTCTGGTTATCGGCTTTTTTTGTTTGTGTTCGTGGTAGGGACGGAACGGGATAATAACCTTCAAATTACCCAGCCTGTCTAAAAGGACTTTTCACTATCTTAGGACTAATGTATATAAAGAACCAATAATTGCCCATCCCTATATGGCAGGCTCTTGTACGACTATCAGTTAATCCCCCTGGCTCTCCTCCGCCTCCGCCGTCTAAGCAATGCTTTTAAAACGAAAAAGAAAAACTTAAAAACGCCTTTTGTCTGTCACCAACGACGTGATGGCCAACGTATATCGCCTGATGACCGTCTGGTAACCGAAATAGTCCTTTGGATATGGTGTCTTGTCTGAGTGAGAAGGGTTCGAGATTCATCCCATCTTGTTTCATCCCATCCCGTTTTATCCCATCTCGCTGATCAACCTGTCCCAGACCTGTCAAGCTCTCCGAGGCACTATCCGGCCCTCAAATCCCCCCCCCCCCCCCCCTTTTCGCCCTCCTTCCACCAACACAACCCTCTACCTAGGTGGTTTAGGCAACGGCAAGATCTCCACCACCGGATGATCTGCATATTCGGAACCATGCCCTTTATCCGTTCCATCCTTGAAACTACTGTCCTCCTCCGGCCCACTGCAATGGTTCCAGCTAGCCATGCACTGGTTCACACAGACATAGCCAAGCAGCACGTCCTTGCTCTTGGCCGAGACCTGCCCGCGGAACTGGCAGGTGTAGAGCTGCTTCTCGGCCGCGTCGATCAGGTCCTGGTAAAAGGCGCCCTGAGGATTCTTGGACCAGTTGATGCAGCACCGCTTGCCGACCTGCTCGAGGCATATGGATCGGTGGTCGTCCTCCGGGATCATTTCGGATTGCAGGGGGAAGACGCCCCGGACTAGGGTCTCGCAGACGAGTACGTCGGCGGCGTGCTTGCCGGAGCAGATTACGGTGTTGGAACCGCAGCGTTTGTGGAGCTTGGGGCCGCGGCGGATGGGATCCCGGGTTTTGTCGACAGGGGCACTTTTGTCGGTGGGGGTGTTGTCTTTGAACCTGGGTTTGGGAGGGAGGTGAGAATGGGTGTCAGGAAAACCGATTAAGATGGAGGGGGCAAGATGAAGGGGACTAGACGTACCATGATACCAGACCAAACTGCGTTTCGACCTGGCCGGCGAGAATCAGGTCGGGGTCATCATCCTCGTAGAGGATAGCACCGGCGACGTACGAGGCGATAAGGGTCGTGACCGTGACGAAAATCTTCAAGGAAAACATTTGGGAAGTGCCCACAAGGGCCGAGAATTGTTTAGTTTGGTTATCTTATGAGGGTTGGTGTTTGTAGCAGTTTTGCAAAAAAGAAAACAAGAAGAGAAGTTCCAGGCCGTGGATTTCGTGGAAGTGTCCTACTTTGTCGGGGCAGAAAACAAAGTGCAGTTCGGAACTTACCTGACGCCGAGAGAAAAAATGTGCGAGTAAAAACACTGACCAAGGGCGGGAACAAGTTGCTGATCTGGCATCATAAAAAAAAACGTATCATCTGTAGTGTATGCATAGAATTTATCGGACTTCGATCCTCCGTTGCATCTCCTTCGGCCTTGGACGGGCATGGTGGCGGACATCTTCAAAAGCCACTCCGTCTGCGGCCGGAGAGGTGCCTTACATACCAATATGCATCAGGAAATTCACATGTCCGGTTGCTGCACTGCATACCTCTACCACATGCTGACTGACGTCCTTGTCTTGATGTTCGGCCATTGTGGTTGAAGATGATTGCGCTCGAGAATTTTGTGAGCGCTTGCTTGAGCGCTCTCGGGCTTCCAGAGTCTTGTCGCCGTCTTGATCATCGACAGGCCTCTTGCCATTACCATTCTTTGGTGAAGGAAAACTCACACGTCCTCCGTGGCCCTTGGCTTGGACTTCGAAGATCCTCACGCTCGAGCTGTTCCACAGCCTCGCGGACGTTGTCAACATGATTGGGCGGTAGGTCTCTTGCAAGCTTTTTGAGGCCTAGACTAGAGCGAAGTAGTCATGCCAAGCGGAAGCCATGCTGACGTCCATGTCTTGATGTTCGGCCATTGTGGTTGAATATGATTGCGCTAGAGGATTTTGTGGACGACGAAGGCCGAGGTTCGTGATGGTTGAAATGGAAGAGGGAGAAAGATACCTACCTGCCCGCACTTTCCATTCAATCCCAACCAGCCCACTAATGACTACATAGGTGTCTTGTCCGGTGTCGGTATTCAACAACAACAGCCGTTTGGTCGAGTGGCGTAACGGTCTACCGTCCTAACACCTCAGACTCAAACTTCCATCCCAAGTTTCAAAAGAATTCCTGCCCGGTTAGGAAACGATGATGTACATTCAAGTAACCCAAAGACTGAGCGTTCCACATCGTAAGCCTCGTCCACTACCACTCACTGCCCGTCGGGGTTAGAGGGCTGTAAATGGATCTGCAGGTGTGAGCAGCGACAGAAGAAGGTAATGTAATCACAAGCACAAAGAAAGTCGAGAACAAAAAAGAGGATAGGGTGTTTCGACGGTTAACCGTCTCGTGCTCGATTGAGCGGTTGTTGTCTTTTTTTGTACCTTTTGGTACCTTTTTGTACTTTTATCGGAGGGTGAAAGAAGGGGAGGTTTACGTATCGTGAAGTGGTGAGTTCGAGTCCGTGGAGGTGTCTGTAATACTTTTTTCTCTCGTTCCTTCCTACTGTGATGCTGCCTGCCGTATGGGCACTGGGGTTTATTGGAAGAAGGGAATCGTCGTCGATGAGGACGCATTGCTTTGATATTGTGATTGCTGCGTGACATTGGAGCAATGCGCGAGAGGCAGCAGCCATGGCGATGAGAGCATGACTTTGCCTGTGTCTGTGATGAAGTTTAATCGGGTTCCGTCCCGAAGCGTGGACGGAGCGGATGTTTTGCCGGACCCAGGAGTACTTTTGTCGGGTGCGCCTTCCTTCGTTGACAGTCTCCCTGTTTCACCAGAATCCGCCCAGCGCGTTGCTGAGATCAGGAAGGACCAGGACGGAGCCGAGTGAATTTGGATCATCATCGCTTTCCCCAACTTCAGACATGGTTAACAGCGTCTACGCTTCCCTGAGAAAGGCACTCATCACATCGACAACTCTGCGGCTTCCCGTTCTCAACTTTCTACGTCGCCAACAACTGGTTCAAATACCCGACCCAAACCCACAGACGAATCCTTCGAGCTGCGCTCTTCCGACGGGTCGCCAAATTTTCTTCAGGTTGCCGAAAAGATGCCTAATCATCAACGGCCAGGTTCCAGTAAAGAAGGCAAGCACGCCGTGTCGCCCCATTTGCGCCCAACATGTTTCTCGAACGGTTTCTCTCTTCGAATAACCGGACCATGCACTCACTCTGGTTGCTTGCGCCATAGTAAACAACTGTACTATAGAGCGTGTCGTGGCTTGGAAATATCCTGCCCTTTCCAATCCTCAACATATTTGTTTTGAACCTTTCAATTTCTTCCGAGTCCTCCACATAACGCGTTTTTTTTTGCACTCTTCAATCAGTTTTGCAACACCATGGCCTCCCGAGCCAGAGATCCCCACCTTCAGCTGGACATACGACATGTCTTGGTGTGCTTCCTTGGGATCATCAGCTCGGTAGCAGCTCAGAACAGCATTCCTTTGGTGGCCATCTCGGCAGTTCCAGAAGCTCAAACCACCCTCCCACCAGGTGAATTGAAGGGCACATACATTGCTTCCGATGGGTCCCGTACGTCAAGGCTTCTATCTCATTCTTTGGATCGCTTCGTTCTGACTTGCGCTCGCTCAGTGTCTTCTGTGTTTTGTGCACCGGGCGAAGCTTTTATTGTCCTGGCCAACTATGCCGCTTGCTGTCTATCGGGAGTCGCATGTGACTTTGGGGTAGAATGCAATGGTTCAGCTCTAGTGCTTGGAGGGGGGAGTACGAAAAGTTGGTATGTTCAACCCTTTGCGAATTCACTAGAACGTCATGATTCCGTGCCCTGCGCTGACAATCTATCATTGCAGTTCTCCAAAGCGCTGTTTTGGTACCACGATCTTTGACATATTTCCCTCACCAACATCAAGCTGGGTTGATTGGGGGTGTCTCACGGGGGACCCAATCGCTGCAATCTACTTATACGTAGAAACAGCCGTAGAGATAACACAACATGTCACGGTGACAATATCATCGGGCACCTTAACGATCACAACACCGGGCAGTGGCACCGTACTGGTCACCAGAACTAGAACGGTGAGGTCGTCAGATATTCCACCGAACACTGAATCAACCACAGGGCCGGTGAGCTCGTCAAGCAAATCAGAAAATAATTCATCTACCACTACCAGAGATTCAGCGCCTACATCAAGCACAACATTCTACGGGAATCCCGTACCAGAGACACCTGCAAGGCCTGCTTCATCAAGAGCCTGGATAGCCGGAGTCGTGGCTGGACCTCTCCTCGCCTTGGTAGCCGTCGGTGGCCTCCTCTACTGGTTGAGACGACACAGGCAAGGAAAGACTTTGGCAGAGAGCGGAGGTTTGGGACCTGACATTCACGCTAGCGATCCTCCGTGTATTCAAGCGGATTTTGCACAGTCAGCGGAATTGTCAGGGAAAACATCTGATACTCCTCCTGTGTGCGAGCTGGAGGCAACGGAGGTGCATCAGGGACCTTTTCGGGGAACAGGTGGAGCGATGCGATTGTAAGTTATCTATCAGAACACGATGGTCTTATTACACCTCTATGGAACAGGAAGAACTTCGCAAATAACAAGCATGTACGAGCCTGGCTGGCAGGGGAACAGCCGAACAAGATATACAAATGGGTTATAAATGTCAAACATGTAATCCGGTTGCCACTGCACTGTTCTGTCCGATGGCATTGGCTGCCTATGAGTATCCCAGTCATCGATTGCTGTTGAACTGCGCTCCTGCAGATATTGGAGGTCTAGGGAATTTCATTAATTCGGAATGTGATTGTGTTGGAGAGGCCTGTTGATGCCTTCACTGTGATTGCCGCTCTCATGAACGCAATTCGTCACCGATTCAAGTAGCCGCTTGATTTTTGTTACCAGAGGCCTCGCAAACATTGCGGCGGCTTTTCCGATAGGTAGGTACTCAAATTATTATTATTTTTTTTTTTTTTGTTGGATTCAACGGACGTTATGTTCCCGTCCCGCTTTATATTTTATCTTTGACTTTCCAATTCTTATTTTGCCTCGCCCTCCACTCTGTCTGTCGCACCTTCTCCAAATAGGCAATATGATGTTGATAACAGCTCTGCCCGACCCTCCACCGTCAGTTACGACGAGCTCAACCACGGCTGTCGAATAGGGGATTTGGATTGATCCCTATGGAGGCAGTAAGTCAACAAACCCATTCTCTTGTGTGTACGTCGCTTCACTCTGACTGACTTCTCATCTGTCTAGCGACATCTTACCATTGTTCGGAAGAGCAGATCTTCTACACCTCGGCGATCTACGCTCAGTGCTGCTACCCAGCACAATGCCCAAATCAACAACTACATCGATTGGGCTGTAGAGGGAATACCTTAGCGTACCAAGGAGGGCCAGAACACATATGATATTTTCAGCAGTAGCCCATTCGATTCGCTTTGACCCTATTCGGGCACCTTGCCTACCTACCTTATCGTTTGATATCCTCGACTGCCTACCTACCTCGACGATCAATGGGTATAACAAGAAATTGTAATCTAACTAGAAATTCTTAACTTACAGTCAATCAGGCAACCAACCATGGAATTACGCTACACAAACCACTTTGACCTGTTTCCTCGCCAACCACTAGCTGGTTTGATTGGCTGTGTGCCAATGAATCTTTGCGTTAGTACACACTTTATCGTGAAGTGCGTCAAATTCTGACCTCTTCGACCTCTTCAACAACCTCAAATGCTTCGACAGGAGCCAGCCAGCCAGCCTCCCGACCCACCAACCACCACCCCAACAAATAAAATGGCCTTATCCCCCTCAGAACCAGATACCTCAATGAACCATGAAACCATGGAGAAGCCTTCATCATCTCACGCGTGGATCATCACAGCCGGTTGCATAGGCGGACCCGTTATCGCTTTTATTGTCTTTTGTCGCCCTGTTCTTCTGGCGGCGGCGGAGGAAACAAAGAAACAGAAAGAGGGATGAAGATCATCAAGCCGCGAAGACAACGGTGTTTGAGATTGAGGGTGGAAGTCTGGGGCCTGAGCCTGATGTCCATGTCGGTGGTCACGCTTACAACAACAACAAGAACCCGGCTGAACCCTCAATGGTACTCTTAACGGAACTGCCGGCGGATTCTGGTGATACTCGGCAAGGAAAGTCACTGTGTCCTTTGGAACAATGTAGAAGAAGCCTCTGGTTGCGGAGTTCGATACATGTGTATGAGACGGAGACGGTTCCGGCAAAGGGGACGAGGGAGAGGCCTGCTGAGCTGGGGTAGAAGTACAGATTGGAAGCCGTTAATGTTAATGGTAATACCTAATATCGCAGCATGCAATTACGGTATTTCGACACAGGTAGTCCTTAACTCCGTCGCGAGTCGTCTGAGAAGACGAGTGAAGGGGGTGCAGACGTTTTGTAACTGGCGCTAGAAAGCATCCATCTGGCAATACAACTAGTAGGTATATCAGCACAAGTTTGCACAATATCTGACACATACGACCATAGATGGTAGAAAACTCGGGATCCCGTCCGCTCTCCCATAGATAAGCTACCAATCGCCTGACTAGTAGTTGGGTCGGTGACGACCAGCGAATCCCAGGTGTTGTATGTTTTTTTGGTATTTTTTTTGTTGTGCGTATATACCTCCGTCCTTCTCCTTCTTTGTGTCGTGGAACTTGGTTGGCTTTCCGTTTCCCGTCTCCTTTTCTTTTTCTGTCATTTTTGAGAGAACTCCCCAACCGTCGTTTGTGACGAAGTGCGGTTGAACTTTCAGGGATCAGTGCCCCCTTTTTTGTTATGCAACCTTATACCACAGTTATGCAACGATTATACCACTCTTATCCCTGAATTATGCCCACTTGTACACCTTGTGCAGCCGGAGATGTGGGTCCCCGGCAGCTCTCCGTGCCGGCATGGTCCGGAACGGTAGTGTTGTTTTCGCTTGAACGGGCCAGCCAACGGCAACGAGGAAGACAGGGTAAACTGTCTTTGAGATCTGCGGTATGCATGGGGTTGCGGTCACTGCGGTGTAGCTTGCCGAGAGGCCATCAACCATCCACCATCCACCATCCATAATCGGAATGGAAAGAGCCGCGCCGAGAGGCTACTTCGGCTTCCTCCAACCCGGACTGTTGCATTAGCCCGGGCATTAACGTCCATGGCCCTGATTGCTAGAGAAACCCCACCATTCCAAAGGAGGAGCATGGCGTTACTGACGTGTCGGTAAGGAGCCGGCAGGGGGGGTTCCAGATCCTGAACTTGTACACAGCGATCTTCATATCCCGCTGGGTGTCGGAGTCTTTGTGCAAGGAAATGGTCATGTTATCAATATGGCAAGGATGTTTGTGCCGCTTCATAAACGAGATATGAAAATGGATAAAGTTGAGGAGGTGGCATAAGGTATAAGGATTGATGTAGCCGAGACGTGCTCGTAGTATGTATAAAGATCACGACTGTCCTCGACTGGTTATGTCTTGAACACTCACTCTCATCTTTCACCTTCCCAAATCCATCAAAGACACCATAATACCACCACATTCACGAGAGAATACCACCACATTCACGAGAGAACACCAACACATCGACCATGGCCAACCCCTCGGCCACACCCAGCTCCATCCCCTCGTGGATGGAGCGGTTCGACATCACCGATCCCTCCGCGAGGCCCTTCCCTTACCTTGTCACGGCCTTTCTCTTGGCCATCGTCGTGTACTCCCTCCAGGGTCCGAGATATCCCAAGAACATCAAGCACCTGAACCCTAGGGGTCCTCTCGAGTTTAGCGACACAAGACCGAAGAAGGAGTTCGTAGATGGCTCTCGGGAGATGATTGCGAAGTGGTTCAAGGCCAACCCGGATAAGCCTTGCCGTGTCATCAGCGACTTTGGTGAGGTCATATTGTTGCCGCCGCGTTTTGCGAATGAGATCAAGAGTGATGATCAGTTGAGCTTTTCGAAGTGGAGTTATAAGGTTTGTTACTTTTTTCTGTACGTATGAAAAGAGTAAAAGATCAGGGCTGACAAGATGGATTAGGCCTTCCATGCGCATCTCCCTGGCTTCGAAGGGTTCCGTGAGGGTAGCCGGGATTCGCACATTGTCCAAGAGGTCATCATGAGAGATCTTACCAAGTACTTGAGTACGTCAAACTCGTTAGCTCGACTGAAAAGCGAAGACGCTGACGAAGATGACAGACAAGGTCACTGAGCCCCTCGCCGAGGAAACTTCCTTGGCGATTGAGGACATCCTCCCCAAGCACGCCAACGGCGAGTGGTCCACCATCAACATCCGCCAGAAGATCCTCCCCATCATCGCCCGCATCTCTTCCCGCGTCTTCCTCGGCGAGGAACTCTGCCGCAACGAGGAATGGCTCAAGGTTACCCAGGAGTACACACTGGACGGCTTCCGCGCCGCCGAAGAGCTTCGTCTCTGGCCCGCCGCCCTCCGGCCTATCGTCCACTGGTTCCTCCCCTCCTGCCAGGCCGCCCGCGCCCACGTCCGCGTAGCCCGCTCGATCATCGACCCGGTCCTCAAAAAGAGACGTCAAGAAAAGGCAGCCAACGGCGGCAAAGCTGAGCACGACGACGCGATTGAGTGGTTCGAGCGGACGGCCAAGGGCAAGTACTACGACCCAGCAGTTGCGCAGCTGAACATGTCCCTGGCGGCCATCCACACCACGTCCGACTTGGTGTGCCAGGTAATGACCGACCTGATGCATAACCCCGAATACATTGCCCCCCTGCGCGAGGAGATGATCCAGATCCTCAGCGAAGGCGGGTGGAAGAAGACGTCGCTGTACAACATGAAGCTGCTCGACAGCGTCATCAAGGAGTCTCAACGTGTCAAGCCCATCGGCATGGCCTCCATGCGTCGCTACGTCGGCAAGGACCTGACTTTGTCAGACGGCACCTTCATCCCCAAGGGCGGCAACGTGGCGGTCTCGGCGCACAACATGTGGGACTCGGAAGTGTACGAGCAGCCGGACAAGTGGGACGGAAGACGGTTTTTGAGGATGCGCGAGACGCCCGGAAAGGAGAACATGGCGCAGCTGGTGAGCACGGGGCCGGACCACTTGGGGTTCGGACACGGGCAGCACGCATGCCCCGGACGGTTCTTTGCGGCGAATGAGGTCAAGATTGCCGTGATTTATCTGCTGCTGAATTACGAGTGGAGGCTGCCGGAGGGGTCTGATCCCAAGGTGAGGACGTTTGGGTTCTCGATGGGGGTGGATCCGTCTTTGAAGGTTGAGTATAAGGGAAGACAGGCGGAGATTGAGCTTTGAGTGTATCTGTGATAGAATCATTAGTTTTGCGAGTTTGGAGTGGTTATTGGACCTCGTGGACCATTTATGGTTGCCTCACATGTGCTCCGATTGGCTGGTGGTGGTATGACGTCACAGGCACACTTGGTCAAAGACAGGGAAATTGGGACTTGTTTATGTGCGCCAATGGTGTAATTCCCTGTCCAAAACACCTGGTTTGGATCTTGTCTGTGACCTTGGCATGGGCCCATCCCTTGGGCTGGCCATGTGGTGACGGTATTCTAGATCTTGTGCTAATGATATGCATTATTACGGACTGCTACCTATATCTGTGGGATTTTATCTGACATTACCCCAAACTGTTCACTTCTCTTTGTCGCGTTGTGTGTGTGTCTGTTTCGTGTCTCAAGCTCCAGCTCAGTCAAGGACCTTAGTCAGGTTCGAAGGAAGGAACAAACAAACCGAGCGACGGGAACAGGCAGCCCTTCTCCAACCCCCCTCGCCCCCCTCCTTCCTTTTTCCCTCTCCTCGTTTGCCACTTAATCTTGGACAAAGACGGACCAGTGCTACACGAGACACTTCGTTACGACACTGGGATAGCAGGTGCTATCGGGTGCAATGCAGCAACCACAGAATGGAGGAAATGGGCAAGGTGAATACTTCACAGAGGAAGATGTTCGACGGACGAGCACAACATCAGCTCGACTCCCATCGTTGCTCGAACTAGCAGAGTCACCACAGGCACCTGCACGCCCGACAACAGCAGACATTCCACCACCAACAGCTCTTAGCCCCATCAACGAGCGGCCGCCTGCACTCCATGATCAAGAATCACAACCACAAGTTCAGCCTCGTCGACCATCACAACAGCCCGATCTGCTGCCTCACCGTCCAGCCCCTCCTCCTCCCACACAACAAAGTCAAGTTCGAAACGTTCCATTCCAGCCCACTCGTCAAGAATCCGCCATCCGTCTTCGAAGACTACGCGCTCCATCCGAGAGCTCGAGATTAGGGCCGTCACCTTCTCACCCACAACTAGCATCTCAACCCCAAGATGCCCCGGCACCTTTAGCCACAACAGGTCGACGTCGTTCCAGCTCAGAACCCCAACGGCCGGTTAGCTCCAGAAACTGGGCTGATGATCAACCTATCATGAACAAACCGACACCGCTAGTTCCCGATCATGTTGGCGGACAAGTGCCACAGCCACCAGCTGCTCATCTTTCTCCCATCAATGAAGACGTCCTGGCCCGGCCATCTATCAATGTCGAGCCCGAGCACCCTGGTTTGCGCCACCAGGGCACCTTCCGACATCTTCTGCCACGTCGTCGCCGTGCAGATAACCAGGTCAGCCCTGAGGATGCTCAGGCACAGGCAGAACAGGACATATACGACTCGCGTATTGTAGACTTTTTGGATGTTATTGGTATGTCACGCCCCTTTTGGCTTCTCACTCCTCACGATACTAACTACTTTATGCTATAGACCCAGAAGTTGCCACGCTATCGTCCATTACCAACGTCCAAAACTCCCTCTTCGTTCCTTCGTTGGGTAGATTCGTCAACCGAAGGCCGACATATGATCTCTCCCAACTACCAGTTCTACCACCCAACTTGCCCGGTACCTACCCCCCTTCCCGGGAGGATGTTCGTACTATTCGAACGACCACAACCACAGGCGAGGGTGAAGTAGAAGACGAGAGGCCGCATCAGCGTCCAAGTCCACCTCACGTCCACAGTTTCTCGACCGTCCTGACTGCTCCTCAGTATGCCATCCTGCCCAAGGATGCCACTCTGGAGGGATGGCGCGAGGAAGACATCCGGATGCTCAACGACTATGTCCGACATATGCTCCACTCAAAGCGTTCCAAGTTTAAACAGCGCATGAAGGCCTTTGGAAAGTACGTTAGGCGGCCGCTGGGCTTCCTTGTCACCCTTTACGCCTTCTTGATCACTGTGTTCGGTCTTGCTTGGGTTCTTTTCCTAATCGGCTGGATCTACGTCGGCGACAAACAGCTGTACACCATCAACGTCATTGACAATGTTCTTGTTGCTTTGTTTGCCATTGTCGGTGATGGTCTTGCTCCTTTCCGGGCGGTCGACACATACCACATGATCTTTGTGGCTCGCTATCGTAAGTGTTTGCTATTCCATCAAAATCTAGCTCAATGCTGACTTTCATCCAGACCTCAAAACCATCAAGCTTCGCAAAAGGTTGTTGATCCCTTTGAAGGATCCCAATGACGTGCCTCTTCAAACCCAAGCCGCCCTCGAACAAGCAGACCTTGAGCGCGCCCCCGTAGACCCGCACATGACAGAGGTCCGACATGATGACGAGTTCATCCCTGTCCTCTCCGAGAAATCACAAGCCAGATTCATCCACCATCAAAAGAAGCTGGCCAAGTCACACACCTTTTACAAGCCTCACGAAACGGGAACCCACCATGCCTTCCCTATCGGCTTGCTCATTGCCATTGTTTGCTTGCTGGATTTGCACAGTTGTCTCCAGATCACTCTCGGTTCTTATACCTGGTCCACGGATTACCACACTAGAAAGAGTGCAGTGACCACCGCTGTCCTTTGCTGCTCCATTGCTGCCAACTGTACTGCCGGTTTGCTCATTACCATCGGCGATAGGCGGACTCGCAAGAAGGATGTCTTGGAGCGACTCCTGAAGCAGGAACTCACTGCTGAAGTGATGCACAAGATGGAGAAGGAACGGGAGAAGAAGGCCAAACAAGAGGCTGGAGAGCCTACGGGTATTATGCAACCGGCGTTGGCGTTGACGAACAAATTCAGGAAGAGCGAAGATCACGGAGTCAGAAAGAGCATTGACCATGGCACTAGCAAGGCCAGCAGTTCAGAGAGCTCGCGTACAGACAGGAAGGAGACAGCAGGTCGGTTCAACCCTACCGTATCAGCACCTCAGGTTCAGGACCAAGAGAAGCAGGGAGCTCAGAACGGCACTGCGTAATGTGGGAGGTTAAAGGAGGTTTGTTTTATTCGAAAAGGTCATGGGTTACGACCAGGGAGAAAACTACACGGACGGCTCTCTGGATACTATTACTGTTTATTTTGTCTTTCTTTTTATCTTCTGTCTAATACCCTGTATATGGCTTCCCTTCTGTCTACATCCCATCGTATCGCATCCAACAAGCAAGCGAGCCGACCATGCTTTCTCTGTAGTCTTCTCTATATGTCTCCAATCCACTTCTTCTACCTGCATCTGTTTCGTTTTGAGAGCTCCTTAAACTCCTGTGATCACGTTAGCAAACCCAATCATTCCCTTACATCTCAACTGGTCAGTGATAAACATACCTTAACCAACCCCTCCCACCTGCTCTCCCCCACTTTTTTCTTCTCTCCATATGATCCCCCTTCCTTCTCCCTCCTAGCCACCAATTTCCCAACAACATCCACATACCTCCTCACCACTCCCCACTCCATATCCTCATTCGTAATCTCCCCATTCCCCATCTGCTCAAGCACAACGCTCAACCACCTCTCCACCCCATCCCACCGCAACACATGACCCCCCACACTCAAACTATCCTGACTCTTAAGCCGAAAAACAAAGTGCACAGTCCCGCTAGGAAAGAACACCGTCTGTTTCGGCTTTAAAATCACAAACCTCCATCTTGGTCCTGAGACATAATGGTGGGGATCCGCCGCCCAGTTTTCCCTCTCACCAAAAACCTCAGTTTTTGTTTCGGGTGTGGACGAAGCGGTAGACAACCACCCAAACCCAACCATCCCCTCCTGAACGGTAATCCAGGTGTCGAAACCAAAGGCGTCACAATGGGGAGGGGTGTGGTGCCCGCCTTGGGAGAGGAGGGACCAGGATTGGACGTTGGTCCATTCGGACCAGGATGAGGGGGAGGCGCGGAGGCGTTCGGCTCTTTTTTCTGGGGTTTTGGGAGTTTGTTTTTGTTTCTTGGTGGATTTGGATGGGGAAGAGGAGGTGGAGGTGGAGGTGGGAGGGCGGCCGCGCTTTTTGGAGGGGGGTGTGGTGGGGGTTGTGTTTGGTGGTGGTGCTGGGCTGGGGGTGGTAGCTGGGTTGGGAGTGGTAGCCCGGTTGGGAGTGGGAGTGGAAGTGGAAGTGCAATCGGGGGTAGAGTGGCGGTTGAGGGTGAGGTTAGGGGAGAGGAGAGTACTGTCGTTAGGCTCAGGAGTAGCAGTGGACTCAAGCTCAGGAGTGCTACCCCCCTCACGAACAGGCGTAAACCCCCGACTATCCCCAGGCGGCGTCACCAGCCCCGATTCAACCACCGTAGGAGAAGGCGGAGGCGAAATCACACCAGAAGAACCAGCAGCCATCAGCACCTCCGATCGGATATATCTCAACAACTGACTCCCCGGCCCCTGCAAAAACGAAGGGGTTGTAGAAGGTATAGGCGTCGACAAATCCAATACATTCCACGGATCACTCTCATTCTTATTCATCTCTCCATGTCCCTCATGTGCATCCTCCTCCTTCGAGTGAAACCGCGCGCGAATCGACCTCAAAGTTCTGAGCTGCCCAGACGGCTCGGTCACCGGTTGGCCGGGAATCTGAACGGAGACTTGGCGGTGGAGAGTGGGGAGGAGGTGGTTGAAGAAGAGGGAGATTGGGCGGTATTGAGACCGGTCTGTGTTGCTCCCGGCTGTGGCCACCGGTTTTGGTTGGGTTTGAGAGCCGGTAAATGGGGAGACAGCTGGAACAGGCTCAAAGTACCGCTTATCTTGGACGATCAGAAGAACGTTGGGATTGTAGTGGGGAGATTCGATTAGAGCGGTGGCTTGGGCTTGGTTGAGGTAGAGAGCCTCCACTGGACCGGCGTCGGCGTCAGCGTAGGTATTGGGTGTGAAATTGGTCTTGGGGTGCGAAGCATTTTGGAGGAGCGAGTGAAGCAAGCGCTGGGTGCGTTGGCCGTGTGTCGGGACTGAGTAACCGCCATCCTCAATGGTACTGGCGGCAGCGTCAGCTTTGGAAAGCTCCTCCTCGAGCTCGGAGAGTGCTAGACGGCGGTAAACGTCGTCAAGGAGCGGGTCAGGAATAGGCGCGCCGGTGTTGGGGTCCAGAGGAGGGTATGTGGTCGACGCTGGGGACTTCGCCTTCCCTGAAGGCGGTTTCGTCGTGCGTCGGCGCTTGCGTTTGGGAGCGTGGACGTGGATAGTATCATGATCGGAGAGGCAAACGTGGATGGTATCACCCACCTCGCTCTCGTGGGAGAAGGAGGCTTTGCGGCGGATGGCGACCATCTTGATCTTGATGGCGGGAGTTTGTATTTTGCTTCTCTGCTTTCTGAAGCTCGATCTGCTATTTCCAGAACTCTGCTGCTGCTTGAATTGAGTAACAGAGCAGTTGGTGTTGAGTTTCCTGCTTGTGAACAAGGGTGCTGTTCAGTTGGCAGCAGAACAGAGAAGCAAGTTCGATACGGTCGCAAGGGGATATAAGGCGGCTGGTTGGTATTGCCCCCATGATTCATTCGGCTTTGAGCAACATCACACCCCCCAACGAACCAACGGAACTTTGTTATCTGGTTGTTTTATTCTTAGCTTTAAGGTTGGTGGTTTCTTCCGTTCTTTGTCCCATTGTTCAACGGCCTTTATCTTGTCACCCCCTGGCAGACAAAGATCTTGTCAGCGGGATCTTCTCCGCCTTGTCATTCCAGACAATGGAAGAAAAACGCCACCCAGGGGCCGTTTTTCTTTGTAATAGCTCTTGCTGGTCCATCCCTTGAGCAGGATTGCTGCAAAGAAAATCATTGCAACAACTGAGGAGGCGACTAATGCGGAGTGTCCACCCAGCCAGCTCTGGCTTCCATCACGCCAAAGGCTCCTCAATTGCCCTCAACAACTCCTTCGGCATGCTCAGATACAGATAGTGACCACAATCAAGATAAACCTCCTTCGCATCTGGCCCCAACCGATCGCGCATCAACTTTTGACGGGCCATGTGCATCCCGTTGTCCCTCTCGCAGTAGATATACGAGCAAGGGATCCCATTGCTCCAGGGTTCGTAGGTAGAAGGCGTGTTGAACAAGCCAACCGAAGTATGCGTGACCTGTCTACCCCAGTATCTCTGCTCCTCCTCAGGCAGATCGTTGAGAAGGACGTCGATGGTTGGTTCCTCATGGAGGTAGGTACGGTCACCCTAACAAAGGTTGCCAGTATGCTTGAGTTACCATTCTCACGTCATTTGGATCATGGGTGACAGTGGACTATATATACCTACCTATGCTGAAGAAGCTAGAGATAGGAGAGAGTAGTACTCCGCTACCACGACGCAGCATTGCCTGCTACCTGAATATGGTTAAGTGTAAGTCTAGAAGGTGGATTGTTGGTTGCGTGTGTAGTCGTACGTGTGTCTAGTCCAAGGAGGTCTCGTCGTCTCGATACTAGGCTGACGAACGATGCAGATGACCCCTTTTCAAGATAACAACGTCATTAGGTAGAAGATGAAACGTCGAGAGCCATGGCAACGCGGAGCCGCCTTAACAGCTCGACGACGTCTATCGCCGTGGAATCCTTTTCCAATTTCTGGCAAGACGCCCATAATGATTGTGGACTCTTCGTTGTGAGTGGTACGTCAGCTTTTAGCTCGTCGCTTCAAGATGCCGACCCACACAGTCGTGCAAATAAAGTGCCCGTTTGTTCACAAACTGATTTCCACCCACAAATCAAGTAGGAAGAAAAAAGAAGAAGGGAACACAAAGAGCCGACGAAGGAGCCGAAAAAGAGAAAGGAATACCATACGTGCTATGGAGCAAAAGAGAAAGGAAAGACATACAACACCTGGGATTCGCTGGTCGTCACCGACCCAACTACTAGTCAGGCGATTGGTAGCTTATCTATGGGAGAGCGGACGGGATCCCGAGTTTTCTACCATCTATGGTCGTATGTGCTTGATATGCCTTAGACTTGACCCTATGAAGGGGCTTGTACATTGAGACTTTTCACATCACCACCGCTTGAGCACCCAAGACCATCACTAAATCACATCGCGATATCGGGTTGTCAACCAAGAGAGCGGCTGATCGAAATGATATCTTAAGACACGTGTCCTCCTTTGAATTCTCTTACATCTACTCAGCAATAAGATATATCCTACAAGCTACTTCGACAACATGCAAATCTGATTATGCTTAGAACCACCAAGCAAGCCCACGTAACCCACACAATCGTGGCCGCTCGGACAACGTTACAAAAGCCACCTCTTCGACCCATTCGCTCAAAACTTTTCGCTGTCATCAGCCCAGATACCATGCTACAAGACTTAATAACAAGTTGAGAACGCAAATAAACAATAACTAGCAAACTACCATCATGCTCGCTGAATCGTGAGTCCACCCAGTCTATCTCCGCGGACAAATATGGCACCAAGCGAGTGCTCCAAGCCCATCCGTAAAACCGTGACCGAGACAAGAATAAGAAGCTGGGTATCAAGATAGCAAAGGGAAAAGCCTCCTCGAACCGTCTACCATCCCCTCCTCAAAGCAAGTTCTTCCAGCGAGTGTCCTTAGTAAGGCGCACCGGGATGACCCAGAGACTGGCGCGAAGGCTGACAACTTTCGCTAATACGTCCAGCAAGGTGAGCAATGCTGGACAAGGTCTTCAGAGAGGCATCGTGAGGGCTCTCGCGGCTAATAGCGAGCAAGAGTTCCTCCACCTTAGCCTGGATCAGAGACATGACCTTCGGGACGGCCTCGACAACTTGATCTTCCTGTAAGAGAACGGACTGTTAGCAATCATAAATAAAGGCAGGAGCACAGTTCACTGCGTTGTGGAAACACTTACCAAGTGGGGAAGGGCTTGTGCCATGGCGTAAACGACCGTTTCGACAAGAGCAATCTTGGCCTGAACCTTGGGGCTTCTGCGGGAAAGATTGCTGACGATGCTGGCTCCCACGGAAAGAAGGAAGATGGGCGCCAGACCGGAGAGACAACGGGGATCATACTTGGAAATGACCTGCTGGAACACCTCCTCGCTCTTATCCTCAGCCTGCAGCCAGCGCATGACTGCCTGGTCGTACTGGCCTGCGCTCATGAAACGATCAATAGTTTCCAGCGTGTTGTTGAGCTCCATCTTCTCGCGATTCTCGCGGGGAGTAGGAGAGAAAAGCCCCTGTTGCTCCTGATTCACGAACTGCTGCTGCTGGTGTTGAGCCATGCCATGAATAGACTGGGTGTGTTGCTGCTGGTGAGCTTGGGGCGGCGCATAGGCGACCAAATCACGAGAGGGTCCGCCAGCCTGCTGGTGCGAGCTAACGCTGCCACTGGCACGAGAATGCGTGTGACTGTGCGTAGGCTCCTGACCGACAAACTCGCGATCACGGTTCTGCTCATGAAGCTGTTGCTTCAGGGTGCTGAACTCCTTTTGCATATGAACCTGGGACGCTGCCAGAGCTGCAAGCGCAGTGGATAGCTCTGTGTTTTGGGCAATGAGGCGATCGAGCTTCGCGTCATCGTCTCGCTTCCGCTCCTCAAACCGCGCAATAGTCTCGCCCATCCGTGTGCTGATATCTCCTGCGATACGTTGGTGAACGTCTTCGGCTACACGCTTTGACAAGACAGGCAGCTGCTCGCTGAACGACTTCGCAAACTGGTTGGCGACATTAACGTCCAACCGGGTGGCCACCTTTTGGAGAACCTGATCCGCAAGCTTGTCCACCAAACTCGGCGCGATGTCGGCCTTTTGGAGCGACTGTGTAAGCAGAGAGGGGAGTCTCTTCTCGATCTCCTTCTGCATCGCGGGCAGTTGCTTGTTCAGGCTAGAGTCGGCCTGATCCTTCGCTACCTTTTCGACGGTGGAACGGATGGCGGGAACAACGGCATTGTTGACTTGATCGACGATGAGATGCTTTAGAACAGTTTCGGTGTTGTCGTTAAGAACGTCCGCAACGACTTTAAGGACTGCTGACTGGTTCTTAAGGAACAGGTCATCACGGTTATCCATGAAATTGCGCACCCAATCCTGCAGCCAACCATGCAGCTGTTCGCGCTGCCGCTTAAACATGTCGTTGCAGGATGACTCGAAAACACTGGACATACGTCCTGGCATGTTGTTCATGTTGTTCGAGATGCGCGACTCCATATCGGCGATGACTGTGTTGAGTTGTTCCTGAGAGATACCAGAACCGTTCAGGGAGAGGTCAGAAAATTGGCTGGGGAGGTTGAGAGCAGAAGAATCAGCATTTCTAGCAGATCTGGCCTTGACTTGAGATGAAGTGCGGCCAATTGTCGGGGTGGCTTGTTGCTCTGCCTGGCCATTGACAGCAGAATCGCCGGCGGCGGCGGCGGCGGCGGCCGCAGCAGCAGCAGCCTTCTTCTTGCGGCCCTTCTTCTCTGCCCGCTCCGGCTGATTGTTGTTTTGAACGGGAGTTTCGGTATCTTCCTTGCGATCAGGCTTGACAGTCGAGACAGAATCAACTCCCTTCTTGTCATCACCCTGGGATGACGGCGTCTTCTGCAAAATCTCCTTATTGGGGCGCGTGGCGATGCGAATCTGGGGCGGCGCGCTTGTCTCGGCCGGAGCCGGGGCCTGTTGAACCTCTACTGGCTGCACAGGAGCAACCAGCTTGGAAATCTTGACCAAGCCGACCTTTTCAGCATCGGCTGGGCAGATGACCTTGTTATCCTTGGACCAGCCAAGCTCACCGTTCTTGATAAAGACACAGGTGACACCTTTGGAGTGCATAGCATACAGCTCGAAGAGGTTCGCTTCATCGCCATCAGTAGAACCTGCGGGGTTTCCAAGAATTCCGAGACTCCGCAGCACACCTTTGTTGGCAAAAGAATACTCCCGGATACCACTAATAACGGCAGTAGCTTCGGGCTGCGGAATCGAAGGGTCCTGTGCAACAAGTCTCTGAATGTAATCCACCTGTGAGAGGTTCTTAAGACCATACTTGGGGGCGGAGAGATGAAGGAAGTAGATCGAGTTGCGTGTAGGGTGACCGACAACAATCATACTTGAGCGAGCATGATACATGACGCTGCAGACGGCGTCGGACTCCTTGTTGTGGGGGAAGTTGAACTCTTGCACAGCCTTGCCCAGGGCAAGATCCCACAGCTGAAGGGTGTGGTTTTGCTTCATGCCCACGATCATATACCGCAAGGCAGCGCGCTTCTGATACGGGCGGTACTTATCCAACAACAGGACGGACGTAGGCCAGGCCTTCTCGCCCTCTGGGGTGGTGGTCAAGGTCATCAAAGGATCCTTGATTTCCAACGAGGTGTGGGCAGGCATTGGGTTCAGGGGATCGGAGCCTTCCTTGACAGCGGTCAAGTCACGGACATCCCAGAACTTAACTCGGCCCGACTTGTCCAACGTGACCATCAGTGTGTCATCCTGGCTGAAGGTGAAATCCTTCCCGGCCTTGCCAGTGTTGATCTTGAGAGAACATTGTTTAAAGAGTCTCTCGGTGTCGACAACACGGTCATGGGCGTTCTTGAAAAGATTGTTCTCGAAGATGAACGAGGGCCAAATGATATTGATAGATTTTCCGCGGCCAACGGCAAAGTAGTCGGGATGCATAGAGGAAGGACGAGCTCTCGTCTTGAGAACTCCGCCGGGCGCATCGCCGCCCTCTTGTGTCGACAGAGGGGGCAGAGCGAAACCGTATTGCTCCGGATGAGCGTCTTCCAGATGATCCCGGTCACCGTTCTTGAGCTGGACCCAGTAGACTGTGCCGCTCACACCTGTACCAATGATGGCCTCCTTGGGGTGCTGGTTCGAGGCAGACGACGAGATGGCCACATTAAAGATTCTATCCTTAGTGTCCGTGAAGAGCTTCGCGTCCTTACCGTCCTCCTGACGAATCACCCGGAGGCCACCAGCCTTGGACATACCATAAGCCATGTAGCTCTCTGATGCCGAGACAAGGTTCCGATCAATTTGGTCGAACTCCTTCTTCAACCTAGCAATGTCCAGAATCGCTTCTTCGCGGAAGACAGGGCGAACTTCATCCGTTTCCTGGACACTGATAGTGATCCAGGGTTTCAAGGGGAAGTTGTACACTTTGATAGGTGCCGCTGTCTCCTCAGTCACGACAATCTCGTCGGCTTCGGCACTTTCCCAGCTATCCGCAACCGCGCCCTGGGCGGCTTGAGCCGCCTCATCCACAATATCTCTGACTTCCTTGGCCACTTCGGCATCGAGAGCAGACTCGAGAACATCCTTGTTCTCGTTCTTCTCAAGCTGTTTCTGGATGGCCTGAGCGGCAATTTGGGCAGATCTGGCAAATTCCTCGTCGGTCTCGGCGCTCATCATCTGCTCGAGGTCCTGGGCTATTTCAGCCTGGGCGCTCTCTTCTTCAGCACGAGCCAGCGCCTCTTGGGCTTCTCTGTCGGCCTGCTCAGCAAGCCCGACGACGGCTTCAGCAACACTCTCCTTCTTCTTTTCACCTTCCACGTGGTCTTGGCCAAGTTCAACCTTGGCCTCTGAACCTGGGGAAACGGTGATGATGTTGGGAGCGACTCGAGGCGCACCCGCAGACCCATGGGGAGACGATACATGTTCCAGCTTCCGTCTCGTGTGGTCGGGGCTGCCTGTGGAGCTATGGTCGCTTAAAGGCCGCTTAGGATCATGGGGATCAGGCTTCCGCAGAATCTGGATAGCAGGTGCTGCCGGGGGGCGACTGGCATTGGGATCCATGGCAGAACCAGCAGACGACTTGGGAGTCCTCTGGCTAGGGGAACTGACCGAGTGGTCGTCATGCTGACCAGAGAATCCGAATATCCCCGAGCGAGCGGCGGACGCGGGTTGCGAATGCTGCGACTGCGGGGTCGAGCTGAACTTGGGGGGCGTGGATTCCAAACCCTGAGGCTCGAAATCGAACTCGGATCGCGACGGCACGGTTCCGAGGAGGGTCATATCAGCAGATTTGCCGGCGTCCTTCGAGTCGTCCTCGGCCGGGGGAGGTATGAGAAGACTGGATTCGACAATCTCGCTCGTATCGTTCTGGCTTGGCTTCGGCTTGCTCAACAGATTCAGCAGATATTGCTGAGTGTTGGAGGGAGGGGCGGGCTGATTCCAGGACGAAGAGGAAGCAGGCGCCTCTTCCTGCTTGGGCTGTTCAGGGTGCGCGCCACGCATCAAAGCGGCAAGAAGCCCACTAGGATCAGAACCGCTCGGTGCAGGCGCGTGAAGAGTAGGAGGCGGAACGTTGTAGCTTGGCTGAGCTTCCTGGGAGAACTGCGGCTGGCCCTGGTTAGAGGAAGAGCCTTGTCCGTTGAACTTGAGAAGGTTCAACAATTGAGCGGTCCGATTCTCGCCAGCAGGAGGGAGGCCGCGGGCGGCACCAATTGGCTGCATCAGTCCGGGTGGGAACTGGGAGTTATTGAATGCGTGGATAGGCGGCGTCGGGGCTTCAGGGAGGAACGCGGCGGGATCCAAGGCGTTCTGGAAGCTACCGGTCAGAGCGGGAGAGTCAGGTCCATAGTAGGACTGGCCGGCCTGGGGGCGGTCGTGGACGTGAGCGTGGCCGTGGTGTCCGTGGTAAGCAAGGTGGCCATACTGGTTCGAGCCATTAGGTCCAGCAGCCGGATTAGGGCTGGTGGAGGACTGTTGGCGACGAAGCTGAGCCAAAAGCAACTGAGACGCGGCAGCGCGGTCGGATTCGCCGTCGCCCGAAACGTTGCCACCGGGCATGTTGAAGTTGTTGGGCATCATGAGGAATGGCCGTTTCTGGCTATCGACACAATTTGGTATCCAGACAACAAACAAGCAAAGGTGGTCTTTTTATTTTCTACCGCAAGCCGCCTTCCGGCAATGGCAGTGGCAGAGAAATAGAAGGCTCGGGACGTCGAGGGGGTCGAAGCGATGTCACTGATGACGGACAGTGACGGCGACGAGGGGGAAGGGCACCGAGAGCGGCGGTTGGGGTTGTGCGATGGACGGTGCTCGTGTATGGTAGGCTCTGTTGGCTTTCGTTTGTCGAATTACCTAAACCAAACGTGACGGGGGGGGTGGGGGGGGTTGTGACTGGGTTGGTCGATGTTGGTGGGAGGAGGGGACCTCAGCTCCAGCTGGGACTCTTTTAAAATCAATGACGCTGTTTTGAGGAGCGAGGGTTAGACAAGTGACGGGAACCGAAAAGAAGCTTCACCAAGCTCGGTCGGGCTCAAAGCTGAGGCTCAGGGTTAGAGCCCACGACACCTGCCACCAACTGCAGTGTGTTCCGAGGGCCAAACAGAGAGCGCGAGCGCGAAAATACAGCGAGCGGGAGTTGGGACAGGATCACTCACGTATCTAATTAGCTGCTTGATTTCTCAGCTCCAGTCTGCTGCAAATGAAGGTCAAAAGTCGCACGCGCAAAGAATCTGACAATGGCCAGTGTGATGCATTCGCGCGAGAAGTTGACGATGTTGGGTGAGGAGAGGAAAGGAGGAAGAGGTGAGAAGAGGGCGATGGGCCAGTTCGTTTTGTTTGGTTCCGTTTGGCGGGTTGGCGGGGGAGGAGGAGGAGAGAAAATGGAAGCTACAGCCACTGCAGTTGAGGAAAAAAAGGAGCGGGACCCAGAGCCTTGAAAATGACGGAACCTGAGGAAGCTGCCCGCACCGCAGAGATTGCCCCAGCCTCAGGCCCTGAGATTGGTTGGATTTGCACCCGTCCGTTTGCGAGAACTGGAACATTCACTGCTGCTTCACTTTTCCACTTTTTTTACTTTTGCCTTCCGCCAGTTGGCTCCCGTCTGCCACAGTTGACACCGACAGTTGTGAGGCCTACGGTTAGGCGGATGTGACAGCCAGAAAATCATCCATTCTGCAGTGGCATCCAATGTCCAACTGTCAGGGCACTGGGCCACGCACCTGCCTGTGACGCACAGGCCAAGCCAGACTCAAGCCAGCCTTCTGGGGAAGGCGGTACCCAGTGGATCAGGCACTGGGAGGATACTTTGTATCCTCGAGCCAGATTCCTGGCCAGTTCTTAGCTTAGATCATCAACAATCTACACACATTGCACGGCATGCCCACACCACCCTGACACCAACACTTCTCAAGGCTGGGACAAGTTGACGTGCTTCCATTGGGCCTCCTGCCGTCTGGGCATGGTGTTCAGCCAATGATGGCCACGATGGTCCGTGCCACTCTCTGCTGTCGAATCCGATGTTGAGCATTGGATGTTCCGACTCTGACCTGCACATGCACCTCAACACCTACCTAGCGCGGGGAAGACATGTGCATCACGACGGCATCCAAACAGATTCCGTCTCTGCTTCTGCACTTCGAATCTGTCGTGGGTGTGACATGATAATGCCGCATTTGCCAGCCTATGAGGCTGTTGGTGATATCAAAAGTCGAACTCTGACTGCAGTCAACGGGAATAGAACAGGCCTGACTACTGGATGGATTGCACCGGTTGAACGGTAGCGTCTCATGTAACCTCGTTCTCGTCCAGAGCCAATCTGATATCTACTCGTTGACCTTGGACCAAGTTTAGTACCTATTAGACTGACTGTCTTGAGCCCTTGGTTCACAAATGCTAGTCAGCGGTGGCTGGCAGTACCCAACTAACTGCTCAGGACTTCTTCATATATCAGGTATGGAAGCTGAGATGAGACCGCGACTTCTTCTCTGAGCACATGAGTAGACTCTACTCTCCTTTTCTCAAACTCAATCCAAGCTCATCAGCTTCTTGACGATGGCCAAGATGGACGGTCGTCGGCACTCAACCACGTGGCTTATGTAAGCAAAAAGGGATCTCAAGCTCGACCCCGGCGTCATGGGAATCGGGCCCGTTAAAACGACTGTCTCTCCTAATTGAACGACTGTCCCTCACCACACAAATCCATCGGCCTTGGCGCGGCTCACTGCCAAGTTTGACGTCCGTGGTACTTGTGTCCAGGTCGCGCTCACAATTACTACCAAAAGTTATGACCAGAACCATCGTTCAACACCACGACGTTCAAAGCTCAAAACCGCGTCCTTTTCAACGTCAAATTCACATTCATACGCGGGGGCCTCTCGCCGGCCCCCTACACCCCCGGAACTAACCCTAACTAACCCTAACCGCTAACCCTAACATTAACTAACCCTAACCCTAACCTCCGCGGTAGGCGTCTTACAACATATCAGGTACAGACAGTCGTTTTAATATGGGACACAGTCGTTTTAACGGGCTCGATGGGAATTGCAGCCACGGCAAATGGAATGCAACTGAACTGAAAAATGGCAGGGGCAGCCACTTGCAACGCCCCACCGAACGGTCCCCGGCCCCAGCGTCATTCCCGATTTCCGACCTGACAGGGCAATTGCGCAAGTGACAGTTGCAAGTGGAAAGTCCAGCAGATCGTCCCGTCCGCCGCGTCAAGGTTCCTTTGACACTGGAGGACCCCGAAAACTAAACAAAAAAAAGACATTATTCTTCCCTCGCGAATATCGCCCTACCGCGCTCTGCCTGTCGCCGTGCAATCACGCTGTCAATAGAGCTTCCGCGTTCTTTATCCGCCCGTCCCAGATCCTCCTGCTTGCTTTGCGCCTGGCGAATCGAATTTTGGACGGTGACGGAATCGCCAACTTTTCCACTCTTTGCGAACGAACGAGCAAATTTTGAACCTCCTTCGGGTCCCACGAACCAGCCCGCCACGTTGAAGTCCGGGAAGAGTGTGCAACACGGCACATTACTTGCTCGGGTCTTCTTCGTCGAGGTACATACCTTCTCCAATCTCGCGCCTCGAATCATACTACCGTGTGCACACGCTCGTTCATCTCGAGTCCGATTCGATATCCCCGGCGGTTTACCAATCCACATACGCTAGTACGGCGAACAACCCGAGCGGCGTTCCCCTTTGATCTCAGTCGCGCCGTCTGTCAGGTCTCTCGGGTGATTCCAGCCAGGAAGGACACGTTCATTCGTTTTCCCCACATTCGGACAGTAACACTACCCGTCCAGTTGCCTTTGTGCAACAACCACATAAGCAGAAAATGTTCTGTCTTCGGAGGTTCGTCAGAGTCTATCTGTCCAAATCCCGGCGCATAGCTAGTTTGGAAGGAAACTAACGAATATCGCAAATCCAGTTGGCTCCCACTGCTCTTCATACCGACCAACGCGTCGCCCGCCTTCATCCTCGTCTTCTTCATCTGCACATACTTCCTTAACCGACCATGCATATACTGCTCCTTCCTGCTCGTCATCCTCTTCCTGACGTCGTGTAACTGGTCCGACCGGTGCTTCTTCGACGTCAGCAGCAACTGGTTCCAACCAAAGGAACCGAATCCGACCACACATCATATCTACGCTCCTACGCATAATGGCACCAGCACAACCATGGTGGAAATCCCAAACAGTACAGCGGTCGTGGTTCTCGACATGTTCAACACGACGGTTGGCACGCTGGCGACGGCCGCGATGGACAAGGCGGCCAGGACGAGGGTGGAGTGGACGGGCTTGGGACTGGAGTGGTTGAGGAGTCTGCTGGGGAGGAGGGAGTGGCGAATCGACTGCTTGGACCTCTATATCAGACTATAGGATGATCTTACGGACGTTAGCGGAAAAGTAATAGGAGTGGATAATTAGAACCTATATCCCATCACATGCTTGGCCTGCTACTTCTTGTATGCTCGCCATCCTCCGTTCGCACCTCACATCGCTTTTTCATTTTGTGGCCCCTTCTGTGGTTTTTGAACCTTGAGGATAAGCGGCCACTGCCACTAGAATTTGTGCCTCAATATCTGGATGGTGTGCCGCCACTCTTACCTCTGCAGAGATGATAGTCGTCAAAAGGGGGCTTCTGTTTTACGTGGTGTTTACCGTTCGGTAGCCAGGCGGCCCTATGAGCTTCGCCTTGTTGGAGCTGTTACATATTAAGCATCGCAAAGTATACAACGGAAGCGAATAATGTCTATTAGCGGTATATAACTTTGTCAGGAATGTATAGTCTGGCCGGCTTGTAGGGAGCTTACAGATACCCATAGCGTAGATATCATCATGATATGTGCTTACATTTCCTGTTCATAGGTGGCACTTAATAACATGGGGAAACCGCGTTCGGGTGTATACTTGGCGACGTTGATCGATGTAAGTGTCCCTCCTCGCTCCCTGAGAAAATGGATTGTCGCGAGAAGGACTTCACTGCGTTCATGATCTGCCAATGGTAGGTACTCAAGAAAGGCTCCAACATAACGAGGTCATCGAATCTCTTGAGTTCCAACATAAAACATGAACTGACATGACAACTAGAACGAAAATGGAACTCCTACTTTCGAAAATACCCAACATACAATGAAAAGGGTTACTTGGCATACAACACATCTGCAGTAGACTCAAGCCCAGGCCAAACAAGAGCTGATGGGAAGATGCTCGATACATTTAGCAAGTCATCCATTGTGGCAGCCCAAAGACGAACCGTCCTCCTCAAGCCTGTCTACCTCTGAGCATCTGAATGGGATCTTGCCAGATGGCGACAGTGGCAAAGCAAACAAGAAGAAAAAGATAGAACAGGTATAACTACAGAGAACATAGTTTCGGATTGTCTCGGTTCTCCGGTTCAAAGATGTGGTCGAGCTCTAACTGCACAACAAATAATGGTCCGTACAGTCATGAGTGTCCCTTCTCACCCTTTGTCTTGACGGGTATCATACAAATAAGGGAACATCCGGTGATTGAGAGTTAAGGACAATAGGAACTGGTCTTTCTTCAATCTCTCTTTAATATCTCTTCAGTCTCTCTTTAGTCTCTCTTCAATCTCTCTATAATCTCTCTTCACTTTTCTCTTTATTCATTTATCTACTCCTCTTTTTATTCCTCTCCGGTCCCTCTTCAATATCTCTTCACTCCTCTCTTTACTCCTCTCTTCATTTCCCTTTACTCCTCTCTTCAATTTCTGAAGGCGAGTGCAAGGGGTAGAATTGTTCCGAGAAGACCTATGTTTAAACCCCCAAATCTTTGTCTCTTAGCAGTTACTAAGAAGTTCCTTAGCCTGAAAATGTTAGTCAAGAAATGTTGCCTACCTTAGGGAATCACTCGGCTAGAACATCGCCTCTATAAACATTCAAGGCACACTCAACAGTGCTTGTGAGGGCGCGTTGCTGATAACGAGCCATCTTGAATTCAGAGTGGTTGGGAGAGCTGATAGGATCGAGGTCTATGTCCCGTTCAGATTCCATTCTGTTCATGATCTCAAACGAAACTGTAGAGTCGTCCTCCAAAAGGATTTCAAAACCACGAAACCTCAACTCAGCCACAACAACTCCTCTCTGAGATGTCGAGATGTACCAGTTCACACAAACAACAGCAGCCGACACGAAGCAAAAAGATAACACATAACTGAGAGATATCATGACCTGCCAAAGCCTGATTACTTATCAACAACAGAAAGAGAAAAGATTTTTAAAAAAAAAGAAAAAAAAAAAGAAAATACCAGAGCATCAGAACCCCTCCAGGACCAGAACAAACAAACAAAAAATCGTTTTATCACTCGGATACCGGGAGTCGAACCCGGGGCTGTTGAGAAAGCAATCACTCTTTTATAGAAGAAGTGAGAGTCAACGATGTTACCGCTACACCATACCCGATCCATAAGTATGGAGAGCTTCTCTTTGCTCTGTTTGTTGAGGGAAGGGTAGGGGTTGCTTGGATTATGTAGGGGGTTTTTGGTCCTTTCTATGTGGGAGTAACCCTTCACATGTTATGAGAGTGTGTGGTTGTGTTTGTGGTGACTGGTGGTGGATATTTTGTGTTTATCGAGTGTGGTGGGTTTAGGGCTGTGGCTGGCACGAGTGGACTGGAGATACTTTGCATGACTCGTGGTGTTGAGAAGAGCCTCACCTGGACCTATGTGAGCGAGACCCACATGTTGGTTTCAGGAGACCGAGCCATTTCATGTTTGCGGTCTCTCTGGTGATTTTATTGTAGCTGAGAGTCGTGTGTAGTGATTACCGAAAGAGTCAACTTGAGGCTATCGTCGACTCCGCGTTGAAAGCTAGACTCGCCGGTCTTGCGATGTTTGTCAGTCCGTCGAGTGAATGACACTTCACCTTTCTCATTTTCAATACGTCCCTTCTCAAAGAGAGAACATCTTCATACTCCCCTTGCTACGTATACGCGATTCGGACCATGCTGTGTAAATCATCATCACCGCAACTTCCTAACACGACGTAGTTTTCAGACAGCTATATACCCTTATCTCGCCAACGTAGCCGCATCAGCCCATCATGGGCTCATAATGACGGCGTTGACAACACCCTCAGAACGGAGTTGTGTGAGTAACACAAAGAGTCCCTTGGTGCATCAGTTGGCTATTATTATCCTACCCTCGCCTGTTATGAAAATCGACATTTTACCCCTCACTCACGAGCCCTCGAATAGACTGATCTAGACCTCTGAGATCTTCAATTGACCGGCACCGCAAGATGTAACTCTGATAGAGGAGGAGGGGTTGAGGCGGCTATCGGAAAGGCAGGGCATAATCCTCAAATCTCCCCGACCTCTCCGCGTAACGTGGGGCACGGCACGGAAGCCTGGGGGATTGGGGGAAGGAGAACACGGGGAGACGGGGTCAGGGCCGAACGGTTCCTCTTTCTGACTTCTGAGTTCTCGTATCGCTGTCGTACCTATCATGAAGTACGGTGAAGGTGTGATTTCTTTTTGGGTGTGACAATAGTGTTATGCCGTGCTGCCGTAGACGCCTTACGCAGTGTAGAGATTCTATGTGCGACACTCTGCCAGAGCCACACAGGGGCATCGGGATGCAACCGAGTGCGAGAGGGTTGCCGTGGGTGTTGTTCACTGGTGGTGAGAAACGAAGTTATAACATCCGCAAGGAAGGGGGGTCTATCAAAATCTCTTTAAGTGTCCAACTTTGGATCTCTTGGCATTCAACTTTCCCGTTCCGTCTGATCCGAGATGGGACTTGAGGTTATTCGCAACTCCGGAGCGATGGAGACGGACAAAGACAATGGTCCCCGATGGGAAGTCCGAAGGAAGTCCAACGTGGGGCCCGGCCGATCCTAATCCATCAGCCAAACTCGTCCGAATCGCATGCAGTTGACCCGTCGGAATGCCCTCGTGCGTGTTTTTTTGATGAGATGGCATTTCCCTGGCGATGCTCGTCCGAAATCCTTCCGACATAAAATGGAGAATTCTCAAAGCTTTGCCCTTTGAGGTGCAGTGATGTGCATCATTACTTCCCTATTAAGACTAGTGTGCACGGTTGATTTGGCAAAGCAGGGTCCTGCGCAGCTGCGCTTGCCTTCCTGGAAGCGGCTGAGACAGGGGCGCGCCGCTTGCTGCCCACAGGAGCCAGAAACGTGGACTCCGCGATGACGTCGTTGAGTGCCGTGCATGCAGGAGTTCGCAACTTTGCACAGTGGGGCATGGAGGGTCTGGGGGGTCCACCGGACAATGAACGTTCCCGGGTACACTTGTACATTCACACATTCAAGCACCAACTTCAACATGTTGTCTCCCCCTTACTGCGCTCCAGAATCGCAAAGAAGTCGACAAGTTCCCGGTATTGTCATCTGGTTTCTTGCCAATTGTTGCAGAAGCTTGAATTCTGCGACTCGCTCGTATAAGGTGCTTTTTCAAGCGGATTTGAGAGGGACTGATGCCTTGCACAGATTCAATGCAAGGGATCATCGACAGACACCCCCTTTGCAACGAAATCCCGTCTCTGGACAATCTGTCGCAAATCTCGACAAACCTGGCGGTGACTGCTGCAGATGAGACGGTCTCTGGAGATCTAGAACGTCTTAGCTCTGTCCCAAAATCAAGGTCACGATTGATGAAGGTGGACAATTCTGGGCATTCTGGGCACAGGCCCGTCCCAACCGTCCTCCTTGGGGGTGTTTCCTGGGTGGGATCCCTAGAGTTACGGCTTTAACCACGCTGCCGACCACTTCGGAACATAACCTCCCAGCGTGTCCCAACGGGCTGATCAACATGCGGAAATGGCGCCATTCCACCCCCATGGTGCCGCCGAGAGCCGTGAGCGCGTTGTTTCCTGGATTTTACTGTGCCCTCCCGCCCTGGTCCACATGTCGTGAACACCATCTGGATGGACGGGAGATGGCCTGGAACGGAACAGCTGAGGAGGGACAGGACCCCTAAAAATCGAGAAATGGTCCCCACGGGGACGGGATTTCAGGCCTGGCTCTGCCCGAATGCACCGGCTCGTGGTTCTCGTACTTCTACTGTGCGGCGGCGCACACACGACACGATGCCGTCGACGGGAGGTATCGATACCAATTCCACCTCCCACGCAAGCTCCTTGGCATCCCCTCCGAACTCCAGGCACGGGATCGACGTTTTTGAACGGGTTGCGCGGATATCTCCAGTTTTCCAGAACCAGATCGCATTCTGTCCATGTGCCAGAGGGTCGGCGGTTCTACTGGGATGCCTTGGCTTGCTCCATTTTCAGACATCTCGTGATCGAAAAGGATAACAGGAGGGATCCATTTGCCAGATGCCGATGTTGGTTTCGGGCAGCAAACAGGCCACGCCAGGATGAAGCTAGGTTGGCTGTCGATGACAGTTAACGGCGGCAGCGTGATACATAATGACAAGCACTATAGCGGAGGACAACCTCAAACGGGCTTATAGTCGGGATCAAGAACCACAACGGACCTGGGAAAACAGGAGATCAGTCGGATCTTGATAAGCACATTGTGCACCATGAATCGGTCTCAGTGTAGCGTGCCTGACATGCAACTGCTGGAACTGTCCGATGGTGCTTCGATTGCGCGATCATGGGAACATGGGAACGGGTTTCCTCGTGGCCGGGAGGGCAGGACCCTGATCTGCCTGCTCTTCAAGCAAGGCACGATCCCCAATGCCCCCCCATTCTCAATGCCAAACAAAAAGCATCCCATTGTAAGCTTGCAGTTGAGTGCCGCGCTAGCCAAAGCGGACCAAGCAGTACATGCCACCTCAGCGGGTTCGCTGCCCCACGACACTACCAAAGCCATGAAAGTTTGGTGATCATTCACCCCCTGATCTCCCCTGAAACAGCCTTGGGCGGACATGTGTATTGGCACGATACCAGACAACGGAGCCAATGCTCCAATGCTCCAGACTCGACCGACTTCCATGAGGTCAAATCTTGCTGTCGACAACAAGAGAGAATTACATAGAAACAGTGGGGGAGTAAGCTCGGTGGAGCGGATGCGACTTTATGGTCTCTCGAGTCCAAGTTTTTGGACGTTGTGGTTGTAGTGATGAACCTCGAGACGGACATGGGACGTTTAGTATTTCCACTGTGGCATTGGGAGTGAGCTGAGTTTGGACGTGTTGGAGTTTTGGAGCAATGGGACAAACTATGCAATGGATGATTCTAGATTTTTGAACAGATATTGATTGATGTTGTTCCCGAAGGCTTTAGATTTTCTTACAACCACGTCGCCAAGTCGCAGCCGTCGGTTTGTCCCATCCATTCGGTCCTGCCAGCTTTGATTTGGATGAGCTCGATGCGGTCATAGTCAGGCCAGAAACCCCTACGTTGGCGCCGCTACATCTTCCACATGTAACTTTTACCTCCAACAGAAGTTCCTGATCACCAATTGATTTGGGGATTTGCAGTCCGAGTCCCAAATGGAGCAATGACGTTGTCATCCCCGCCCAGTCACTTGTCGACATCCCGCAGGGCAGCAGCGGGCGGTAAAGGACAGCGCGGCTGCACGGCGGAGCTTGCCCGTAGAGCGAGGTACAGGTACAGCACTAACTGCAGTCCACTGCATCCCGTGGGTTGGAGCACTGTGCCAAATCCTGTTACTCGGGCAAGCTTCCATTCTTCTCTGCCGGTAGCAGGTACATTGCTGCTAAGAAGATACAGACCCTACCTAGCCCGGCCGTCTTCGCGTGGCCGCTAGCTGCACGTGCCCAGCCTGTCCAATTCCAGCAGACGACGACGACCATAACCGCCATCGTCCTTGTCGTCGTGTCAATGCTAGGGACCTTTTCTCTCGTCAAGCAGCTGATGGTGAAACATTGAAGACGAAGAAACAGGCCGAAAGGATCAGAGTCACGATGTCTATAGGAAGGGGTAAACATCGTGTGATATTTTTGGAAGTCGGGTTCCTTGAAACTGGTGTGCTCGTCCTTCCTGTTGGCCAGATTCGGAGACACCCAAAGACCCATCCAGAACACTTGTTGACGGAGATTTTCAGGCACCCTCTTTGACTCTGAATTGCTTAGTTTCTTGATCCATTGACGAGATTCGGAGGTCGGCGATCCATCTAGAACCTCGTCTCCAACGAGTCACCGTACTCAGTAGTAAGTAAGCGCTAGACGGTTGAATCAGAGGTGGGAGACATTCGGATACCAGGCCAGGCAGTTCGATCAAACACGGATACGTATGGTCGGACTGTAAGCTTCGACGGATATCCGGGGCGCTGCTACCAACTATGACGACAAGTGACGCACATTGGCCCTGGCGTATCTGTGTGTTTGACTGTTTGTTGGGTTCCTCCACCATCACCTGAAATTACATGATATTTCTATTATTCTCCATCCTATCTATACGGTTTCGAACAATGGACACCCGGTTGCCGTCTTGAAGCTGGGACAAACCTGCAAAATGGTTCAACTGCTTCAGCATACATACGCAGCATACATACGGCGCATATACGTCAGGGTTGCGCCGGTATCCGTGACCGAGTGCCGTACGGACAGATATGATGACAGTGACGGCATTCCGCTTTCGTCCGGACTATTTGGAGACACATCGGACGAAGAAACTTCCCTCTCCTGCAGTGTTCCAAGTGTTAAACTGGAATTGCAAGCTAGACAAGCATAATGAAGCCCTACGTGCGTAGAAGTGAGAGAGGCGACAGAGACAACAAAACATATGAAGATGAGCCGGTAAACTGTAAAGGCAAGGCTTAGTCTGTAGGAATTTCGCCTCGACACCACTTTATCAAAAAAGACATCTCGTCACTGATGAGTGGGCGACCCGTGGATGAGGTCAGCAAAGCGACGTCAACGATGACAACGTTTTGGGGGAACTGCAGCAGCGCAGATCATTGCTTCCATCCAGTTTGACATCAAACTTGTGCAGACATTGACCCCTTGTTCAAACCCCAACCATCCCCTGGCTTTGACTTTTGGCGCACAATTACACCCCCTCCAAACTGATTTTGACCATTCCCATAAATGTCTCCCTCAACTGGCCGACCTATGCCCATTTGATACCTCATTCAGCCCCAAAGAGGAATTCGCCGACTCCAAAGAGGTATAGAGATATTTCTGTAGCAGGTAGTAATCTCAAGGAAAAAGGCCTACGAAACGAAAACAAAGTTGGACAAGTTTCCTCGGCCGCCAAGCCGAACCTGATCGTCTTGTCAGTTTTCCAACAGCGATCATCCCCGACGCGACATCAATGGAACAGACCCCGCCAGCCGCCAGTGGCCAATAATTTGTACTGTGCTGAGTACGTACAGTATAACCTCCCACACCCTTGAGTCTAAATTGCAAAAGAGACGAAACGAAGGCGCGCGTGAAAAGTGTACTGCAGTTAGTCGCAACAAAAAGTCGGTTGTGTTCAATTCCGACATCCGACTTGGCCAGAACAATATTCCGAGTCTATTTACAAAACTTAGCCTCATTCAGCTTCAATCTAGAGGCCGATCTGCGCCTCGGAAGTGACCCAGATAGCAGATCCTTCTAAGAGGTTGTTGAGCCGTACAGAAACCGACGACGACATCACCGTACAGGGGCGCTCTCGGAACCATCCCCACCTGCGCGTCAGGGGCTCCACAGCCGCCAGTTGGACTTGTAAAGGTACTTGTACCTTTTACCTTTTGTTCTTGTTCTTTTTGGACAGCCTGTCGAGGTTATTGTACCCCACTTGCAATCCACAATCCACCCACTCTGGGGGACCCCGACACCACCACGATCTCCAGTTCTCACACACACGCAGGACACACAACTCCCCTAGTCCCCTTCCTGTCAGGTCCGTCTCTTTTTTTTCTTCTTCGTCTCTTCTCCCTCTTCGTAACCTCTTCCTCCAACTACGTAAAAAGGACAACCATTAACACAGTACTACACAGTACGATACTCGGCTACCCTTCAACATCACATCTCGACCCTCAAAAAGGAGTCATCCAGGACAATTCATTCGACCGCTACACTACACTACACTACATTACATACGTAGACACTGCAGACTGTCTCACGCTTCCTGCTGCTGCGATAACAAGTCGACCTTCCCAGCTTCCCCACTGCTGCTGAGACAGGGTAGTCGCCTCCAGGTTCCTGTCAATTTCACGCCCCTCCACCGTTCGGTACATCCCATCGTCTTCTGCAAAGAGTCCACCTTGACGACGAAACACGGGCGCTCTCAATTGTACCGACCGGCTCCTCTCCACGAGTCTCCTCCACGGTCTCCTCCCCTCGGCAATCCACCTCCACTAATCCTCCCCTGCGCCTACGTAAGGTACCTCCTTGTCCACCTTCTCTCCATAACATCGCATCGAAAACTTACAGCCTTTCCTGTCGACTTGCGCTCCAGGGCTTCGTCTCTGCGACATATATCGAGCCACTTGCGTCGCTTCGCCTCCAAAGCCTGCCGCCGACCTACGTACCCTGCTTCAATACCCAGACGAGTATAACTACCTACCCCTTATCCTACCTTTACAACGTCGGTCTCGGCGACAGAAGATGGGAGCCTTATGAAACGATCGAGGGAAGAATTATTTGTGGCGGAACGTAGGACGAGACCGCGAATCTTCGTCGCCAACATAGCAGCCATGTCGCCGAATCAGGGAACCAACACCCACTCTACCACAACCACCACCGCCACATACCTCACCATGAAAACACCAGGGCCCCATTCGCGATCAAATTCGAATTCCCAGTCCTACTTTACCCACAAGCCCACCGGCACGCCGCTAGCCTCGCCGCGCATCTACTCCGTCGGCCAGCCATACCCTCCCAGGCTCTCTCCCGGCACGTCCGCCCAACAACAAGATGCTCGTACCCCGAGCCCTAATTACTTTGGCCTCTCGGTCGACCATGCCGCCGATCCGCTGGAGTCGGCCGTATTGCCCACCGAAAACTGGGCCTCGCCGTCTTCCTCGGTGAAATCATTCGCGGCAGCAATACCGAAGCCATTGCCCCTAGATGCGAACCCCGACTTCGAGGCCTTCAGGAGGCAAATAGATGCCAACCTCGGGAAATCGTCCTTCAGCTTGTCGGGGTCGCACTTCAATATTACCATGGGCCCGCGTACTCCCGGTCCCTCAACACCTTTTGGCTTCAAGAGGCCAGAGCCGCCCAAGCGACATAACCTAAGCCTCGGTGCCGAGCCCACGAGCGGCCACCTCCCCAGGCTGTCTGGTCTGGGTCTGCATGGCCCGCTCCCCAACCTCAAGTTCAACAAGGACATTCAAAACCCCAAACAACCAGGCGATAATGATAGTGTGCATGATTCCGCCTATATCTCCGGGGACTCGAAGCGAAGCTCCCAAGCCTCCCTCAATGCGCCTTCCTTCTTCAACATGGGCAGGCACGAATCACCAGCGCAGATCGATCCTCCTTTTGGAACCCCCGTAGATTGGGGAAAGTCGGCCCATTCCATCTCCCGAGTCGATGACCGCCACCCGCGTTTGTCCATGTCATCAACAAAGGCCGAGCCACCAATGCAGCAACGAAGAGCGGATACTGTCCCTCCCAACCCCAAGGCAGCAGCGAACAACGATGGGCCAGCTATGATAGACCCGGGTCGGCTGAAGGACCTTATGGACCAAGGGGATGATTCAGAACTCTTGTTGCTCGATATTCGGGTCTCGCCCCAGTATGCCGTATCCAGGGTAAAGGGTTCTCTGAACCTGTGCATTCCGACAACGCTACTGAAGCGAGCAACATTCAACTTGCAGAAGCTCCAGCAAACGTTCTCGGCAAACCAGGATCAGGACAAGTTCTCTAACTGGCCCAACGCAAAGTACCTGGTCGTGTACGATGCTTCTTCGTCCGACAAGCGCGACGCCATGGGCGCCATCAACATGATCAAGAAGTTCACGAACGAGGGCTTCTCTGGTTCAGCAACTATCCTGCGTGGAGGATTCAGGGCCTTCGCCGAAACATACCCAGACCTGATTGACCGTGGGTCATCCGCTACCACAACGCCAGCCCTGTCTCTAGGGCAGGGTGCCGGAGCTGGTCCTGGAGGAGCCAACATTCCGCCTGTCATTGGCGGTGTGATGTTGCCCACCACAGGGAAGGGCCCGAACCCCTTCTTTAACAACATCCGACAAAACCAAGATCTGGTCGATGGAGTTGGGCAGATGGACATTGGTCTTCCTCAAGAGCTCAACAAGGAGACTCTGCCAAAGTGGCTAAAGGAAGCAGCCGACAGTGGTGACCATGGAAAGAAGGTGTCGGAGAAGTTCCTTCGCATTGAGTTGAGGGAACAGTCTCGGATGAAGGACGCTTACTCCGTTTTCACTCCTGGTCGTAACCCGGACCCTAAACTGCACGGAAAGGTGCAGCTGTCCGGAATTGAGAAGGGTGGAAAGAACAGGTATAAGGACATTCTACCGTTCGAACACGCGCGGGTAAGGCTTCAGGGCCGCCGAGATGGCGAATGCGATTATGTCAATGCCAGCCACATCCAAGCAAGCCGTAGCAACAAGCGATACATCGCTAGCCAGGGCCCGCTACCGGCTACTTTCGAGGTATGTCGACACTTGACAAGGAACATTCTAGTTTGAGTGCATCAGCAGCTGACTGATGGTCTTTACAGGATTTCTGGTCCGTCATTTGGGATCAGGACGTCCGTGTCATCGTCATGTTGACGGCCGAATCCGAGGGAGGGCAACTAAAGTGCCATCCCTACTGGAAAGGCAAAGACTTTGGTCCCATCAAGCTCCGAGTACTGTCAGAAAAGAAGGTGTCTTTGGATATTGACAAGCACAGACAAGGCTCTCAAGCCGGCGTGCCAACAACGTCAGACTCCGCCTCTTCGACAACAAACGTACCTTCCGGGGATGCTACGCAAGGCGCGTTCCCCTGGAACCCAGCACAAGCTGGCGGAGCGGAAGGTGGCCGCCGTCGTGCCAACACCACAACGATGCAGCCAAACCTCGACGGCACGCAGCAGTCCGCTGCGGCTTCGGCAGAGACACCATACGTCATCATCCGCAAGTTCGCCCTGAGCCACGGCGCTCACCCCTTCCTCCCGATGCGCGAAATCACCCAACTCCACTATCCCTCCTGGCCAGACTTTGGAGCGCCGGCCCAACCGAGCCACCTCCTCGCCCTGGTCGAGCTCGCCAATGTCATGCAACGAGCGGCACCCGCCCTTGAAACCTCTGGCGCTCCTCCCTCCGACGAGATGCAGGTCGACGTCAGGAACTTCACCAACCGTCTCAAGCGCGGCGACTCGCTACCCCTCGACCCGAACGACGCACCCGACCCGAACGACCACGCGCGTCCCATGCTGGTGCACTGCTCCGCAGGCTGCGGCCGGACAGGCGCCTTCTGCACAGTTGACAGCGTGATCGACATGCTCAAGCGTCAACGGATGCGCAAGACCGAGAAGGCGGATCGGCGGATCGATGACCGCTTTGGCGGGCGACGGATCTCGGAAACGGACGGAGAGGTTGACGGAGTCAACCCTTCTAAGCGACAGGCCACTGAGAGTAACCGTGACTCGGACGGCGACATCCCCATGGGTGGACATAAGGGGCTTCAGTTCGATCATGGGCCCGGCGGTCTAGGAGGGATGAAGAACCTGGATGAGAGCAAGGGATTCGACTTCGGCGTTCCACCACCAGCACCAACCGAGACGAGAGAGGGAAGTAGCAAGGATGACCAAGGAATTGACACCACCTGGCTCGATGACGACGGACTTGACCTCATCGCCAAGACCGTTGAGGACTTCCGCGGTCAGAGATTGAGCATGGTCCAGAGTCTAAGGCAGTTTGTCCTCTGCTATGAGACGGTCATCGAGTGGATCTGGCGGCTGGAGGAGCGTTCTCATCATACCAGCGCTGGTGGTGCCGGTGGGAAGAGAGGAAGTAGCAGAGTTAGGAGTGGAAGTTTGGCTCTGTGAGATATCACAAGAAGGTGAAGCATTGTACACAAGTTGGTCAGAGTCAGGTCAGTTGCGCATCGGGCCTTTTTCTTTTTAAGGGGTTCCGGTTCGGCGAACGGACAGACGGAAAAGCAAGAAGCATTTTGGCACGGAAAGGGAAAGGAATGGATGTGAAACGGGATGGGAAGGGATGGGATGGATACATCATATGGTTCTTAATCGGTCGTTGTTCCCCTTATAACACAAGACGGTGGACCATATAGCGAACGAAGGAGAGTGTAAGAGAGAAAGGGTTGATGGATGGATGAACTGAGGAAGTAAAGGACGAAGAGATGAAGATGGTGTGATGATGAAAGTCTTCCTTTACTACACTACTAGCATATTTTCGGTTTGGCTGGTCGGTCGGTGGGAGAGCGTGTCATCCTGTTACTACTGTTACGTTGTTGTTGTTGTTGTCGTCTTTTTTTAGTAGTTCTTGTTGTCGTTGTTGTCGTTTGTCTACGCATACCTCAGTTACCCAGTACCCCATCCGCACCTTTTTCTGTCGTTTACTATTATTACCATTACCATTACCATTACCTTTACCATGATCACTACTGAAGCCTTACTGGTTGGTGTTGTGTACTTGGAAATGGCATGTGAATGGGCGTTCTTCCGGTTTGTGGTTTGTTAGTAGCTCTTGCATGGCGCGGTTTCGTGGCAGTTTGGCTGGGAGTTTGTAAGACTATGAGGGTTCGCTACTCACTCACGGGCAGCCACGCATGCAGCTTACAAATAGACTTTGATACTCGAGACACCTAAGCCACTCCAATGAACAATTTTCTCTCACTTTTCGCATGATCTGTACGTCGTCGTGTGACAGTTGTTCTGAGACGCGGTGATGATGACCCAGTGCAAATAAAGGCAGCACCAGGGAGGGCCCAGGATAGAGAGTCAATGGTAATGTTCCCATCGCTACTTAAGCTACTTCAATCTGTTAGTTCCGCTAGAGGAGGGTACTAGGTATCCCGCTATTGCCAAGGACCGCTTTGAATCTTGTAATATACAATACGATACACTTGGACAGTCTATGTAGACGGCAAAGGCAGTCTCAAGGAAAGCGAACAAGCCCAATCAGTTACTTTTCCCATAAAAAGTAATATTGTATTCTGTATCGTATCGTTGGACGCATAAACCCTTCTTCGTCCCCTCCTTCCTTTCAACCTTCCTTTTCCCCTTTTCCCTTTTCCAGTACGGGAGAAATTAACGCCACAACTTGGCCAACGACACCTCCTTATCATCATGCTTATTCAGAATCTTGGCCGTGGCCAGCTCAAAGTCCTCCTGCGTGACGTGCACGCGCCTCTCGCGGAGGGCGTACATGCCGGCCTCGGTACAGACGCCCTTGAGCTCGGCGCCCGAGCACCCGTTCATCTTCTCGGCGATCTTGGTCAGGTTGATGCCGCGCGTCAGGTTCATCTTGCGGCTGTGGATGCGCAAGATGTCGGCGCGGGCCTCGACGCTTGGCGGGGGGAACTCGATCTTGCGGTCGATGCGACCGGGGCGCAAGAGGGCAGGGTCGAGAATGTCAAGACGGTTGGTGGCCATGATGACCTTGATGTTCTTGGTCGGCTCGAAGCCGTCGAGCTGGTTGAGGAGCTCGAGCATGGTGCGCTGGACTTCGGAGTCGCCGCCGGACGAGCCCTCGACACGCGAAGAACCGATGGAGTCGATCTCGTCCATGAAGATGATGGAGGGCGCGTGCTCGCGCGCCATGACGAACAGCTCGCGCACCATGCGGGAACCCTCGCCGATGTACTTTTGCACGAGCTCGGAGCCCGAGACGCGGATGAACTTGCAGTCGGTGTGGTGGGCGACGGCACGGGCGAGCAGGGTCTTGCCGGTACCGGGAGGGCCGTAGAGCAAGACGCCCTTTGGTTGGGCAATACCTAGCGACTCGAAGAGCTCGGGGTGCTTGAGGCCGAGCTCGATCACCTCCTTGATCTCCTTGATTTGCTGGTCCAGACCACCAATCATATCGTAGGTACTGTCGGGCACCTTTTCGACCATCATGAGGGACACGAGCGGGTCTACTGAGGAAGGAAGCATCTTTTCGAGCTTGTACGAGTCTGAGAGGAGGGTGACGCGCTTGCCGACGGTGAGCTTGGTGATGTCGACATTGTCGGATACATCGACGACTGGTGGGCGGCGGGGCAACAAGTTAGTACTTCCGTCGTTCATCCACCCGTAATACAGGACACAGCAGAAGGAGGGAGGGGAAGCGTACCGTATTTGCCCTCCGGGTGCACCTTGACGAGGACCTTCTTTGTGCTCATAACCTTGACGACCTCACCCACATAGGACCCGGGCTGTTGTAGCAGACCAAGCTCTTCCCTGAGCAGGCGCACGCGCGAGTTGTAGTCGTTTCGTTGTGCTTCGAGACGGCGGAGGACGGCTTGACCCTTGAGGATCTCGAGCTTCATCGCCTCGATCTTGTTGTGGTAGTAGTTGTCGAGCGCCATGGTGACGGCGTGTAGGGAGAGACGGAGCTCTCGCGGTAATGGGTTGTTTGTCTGGTTGTGCTGTGTAAGGTGGGATAGGTTTGCCCTTGGATGCTCGGTCGGGATTTTGTCGTCGCTTGCTCGTCGGGGTCGTGTGTTGCGATGCGCAGACACTCGTTCGTGATGGTGGGTTGTGGTGGTGATGTTTACTAGTGGTGGAATGGTGGAGGTGGTGATGGCGTTCAGCGATGCAGCAGCCAGCGTCAACGAAGGTCACCGAAGACAGGCAGCTTCAGGTCAACGCAACACACCCGGCCGGCTCCCAATGCCAAGACTCAGCTCCCGCCTCTATCAGAACGCCATGTCAGGATAAGGTAGGTACGTACCGAAAGACGGCAGAGGCTCGTGCTTTGTGGGGTTACACGTGACTTTGTGGTTCCAGACTCGCAGGGGAGCTTCAGAAGGTTCAAGTCTTGAAAATGATGTCACTTTCATCCATGCTGCTGTGGCATCTCGCCAAACTCCAAAAGGTCCCCGTCATGCTACGGTGCGGTCCCGTCACGATTGCTACCAGCACGCATATTCACCTTTCCCTGCAGATGCTTGTCATCCAGCATTGAGACTCGCCGTGCACTGCGTCTTTAAATTCATCTTCTTTTTCTGAATGTGTCAACTCTCATTTCTTCCATTTTAAGCTTTCTACAGCCTGTGTAGATGGCACACAAGGGCGCACGGCACATGTCACTGCACATGTCTCATTCCCATGAGCCTGTCGTTCAGCTACCCCTCTTTCAGGCGGTTACCTTATCAGTTGGCTTCTTATTGTAATGGGCGATCCTTATCCTTCCCTTCAGTGTGACTGAAAGAAATTTTTTTCTCCAAGCCGAAATAGCTATTGATAACCATTTCTATTCTTGGTGAATGAGGGAGAGGACGGTCGCTTGACATGGTAACTCGATTCGACCATGAGAATGAGCAATAATTTTCCTACCCATACCGTCCTGAAGTGCATACGTATACCCGTCGCAGTCATGCTACACCGTGCTTTACTCTCACATCCCTCGATTCACATGGTGATACTCGATGTATAGTGAGAGGTGAGGCGGCCCTGCGATATCAGCTCAGCTGATGGAGTGGGGGTTGTCAAACAGGCAGGCCTAGCAGGGCACAGAAGTGAGAAGGGGTCACCCTGGTGAGCCTAGGATCAGTCATCCATGACGGTCCATGACGGTCCATGATGACTTGAGACCGGCGTCGACCGGGAGAGGCCATTTGGCTTCTCTCACCCTCCACAAAATGGTGTCAGCGAACCGTGCTGGCCAACCGGTGCACGCGGCGGTCACATCGAATCCTCCCTCGCGCTGTTCCCGTCTTGGTTCCAGATGCGCCAACTTGCCAAGGATCGAGACATGGCGGCTTGAATTGAAGTCTTTTGCGTAACTGATACTGTGCTGCAGCAGTGTAGATAGAGATGGAATGAATAACATGGTATTTGGAAAAGAGAGAAAGTGACAAGGACTATTGTTTCTCTTTACACGACTTCAGGGTCCTGATACTACTATCAAAGCTTCAAACTCAAAGAGGAAGGCCGTTATCTGTTGCAACGTCTGTGCTCGAGTTAAAGTGGTTGCAGTTGCAGCGACAGTTACAGCAGCAGCGGCACCTTCCGTAATGTCAATTCAGGCGTCATGCTGGTTCATTTCTGCTCTCGGTGTTAATGTTGGTGTTATCCAAACTCTTCCCCAAATTTCCATTTCTGAAAAAGTTGACTCTGTTTCCAACTCTTTCCAAGACTTTCATCCCCAGTTGGCATAGTCTTTCAGCCCGATAACCTCGGAAAAGTCTCTAGCGTCTTCCGTCTTTGCGCCCAGCCCAACACGCCAGTGTTTTGTCGAGTGTTGTTTTCATCTCCATTATTTTTCAGGGTAGGGGTACAGCTAACCATAACAGCCGAGCTGCCTCCAAGGAAGACGCTGCACAGTACGAGCAGGGGCCAGCAGTCGATCCTTTCCTGCTTCACACTGACAAGCGCTGCAACAAACCTCCAGTCCACCACCAACCAGCAGCACCACCAGCTTCGGGCTTTCGCAACCAACTCGGGTCATCAGGCCACGCCCACCAACCGTCCACTTTTCACACTTGTCGCATTTTGGCATTTCTGATTACCTTATCCGTCCTTTCCGTCTTTCTCATAACAAACCTCATCCCGTCCACCGTCGCGGCCGCCAGTTCGAGTCTGGAGGAAATCCGATCATGAACCCTTCCTTCTCCACTACTTGGTGCAACTGTCGTGCCATACCAACCTAAACTACGAATCTCGCCTCACTGTTCGCCGAGTCACTCTGATCTAAACTCAACATCCTTCTCCTAGCTTGTCGCCAACTCTCTACGCTGCGACAGATACTCGCCATATCTACCTACGGCTTCCGCTGAACACCTCGAGGTCGGATCCTTCTCTTTCGAAAAAAGGACGGAGGGAATCAGCATCCACAACACCACTACACCACAACCCTACGTGCATCGCTTGATCCTGGTATACTTCCTAGCACCACAAAAAACAACGCCCCATTGCTGTTGATCACCATCCATTGGCATTGCTATCCACACACAACCCCTCACCATGGGTCCTCCCTCCCATACGGGCGACGAAGACCGTCCCGATCCGTCCCCCACCAACACGCGCCGTAGTTCGCGCCTGGATCCCATCAACACCACCGGAGCCCGACATGACGATGCCGGCATGAACCCTCCGGATACCAGCTTCCACTCCACCGACATTGTGCGGAGGTTGCCAGACCCTACAGGCCCTGCTGGTGGGTACTTCTTCTGCCATCTTCCCCCACTGCCCACCTTGGCATCCTTGGGGATTCTTGGACTTTGTTGGAGGTATCGTACCCTCGCTGACCATATCATGCACATATATAGGTGCCGTTCACAGCCCTACCGCCGCCAGCATGGCCAATGCCGAGGGCGCGCCCTCTATCACTGCCTCCGAGCGTGAACGTACCGTTTCCCGAGCATCCCAAACCGGCATCCCTCGTTCTCCCATGGTAGGTCCCGATCGCGGACGACCACGACCTCGCAAGCCCCCAATGACACGACGCACTTCGTCCAACGTCCAGGCCCCCCATCGAGGCGAGGTCTTCTCCGTCGATGACGACATAACCGAAGTCGAGGCTGATGCTGCTGAGCGCCAGAAGAGCTACAGTGGCTCTACAGCCCGCAGGCGACTCCCACCTCCTGCTCCCTTGTCCCGAGTACACTCGATTCTAGACGAAGATGGAGCAAACGATAGCCGCGATCGAGATCCCCCGGACGTCATTGAAGAAGTCGACACTCCGGCCCCGGAAGAGGAAGTCAATCTGCCTCCTCCAGCCGAAGAAGATAGCGCCGAGGGTGAGACCCCGGTCGAGGACGACGATGGCGATATCAGTGACGCCGAAAGCTTCACACTGAAGGACCGCCAGCAGGCAATAAACGAAACACACCCCTTCGGCATCAGGCTATGGAAACCAGCCTTGTACAAAAAACACCGTTCGGTCCAAAAGACGGCCGAGGGAGATATCCACTCGTCACCTGGAGGACACGTCAGTCGATGGCTGCTGTTCTTTAACATCATGTGGACCTTGGCCTTTGGCTGGTGGATGTCCCTCATCGCTTATACGGGCGCCATTGTCTGCTTCGTCTTTGCCGCCGCTCCTAGTGGTCGAGAGTACGGACGAGTCCTCTGGGGTCTTGGTGGCTACCTGTTCTATCCATTCGGCAAGTTCATCCGCTTGGAGCAACAGGATGGCTATCTGGACGAGGACCAGGGCGAAGGCAGAAGCATCAGCGAGTACGAGCAGTGGCAGAGTGGTGACCTCGAGGATGGTCGCCTATTCTTTGGCCCCGAGCGAGACCGGTCGATTATTGGTCACTCCCGCCGGAGTCTGGACTCGGAACCGGACGAGACGGAGAGCCTGCTCGGCCGCGGTCGTGGCCATGTTTCCGATTCTGACCTTCCTCGTATGAAGAGAAGACTGTTCGGCCGTGGTCAATGGAATGTTGGGCGAGTCATCTACTTCCTTTTCTTCTACACCATGATTATGCCCTCGCTCTTCATTGTGTCGGCAATCTGCTGGTTCCTGGTGTTCTGGATTCCCATGGGCAAGGTCACCATGCTTCTCATCGACCATCTTCGACGCCATCCGCTGGCCCTGTGGTTCGAATCCGATATTTCGACTGCCCGGGCCTCCACCACGCCGCACTCTTCCATCCTCATTTGCACGTATCGTGCTGTCGGTATAAAGTACTGGAAGTATACCATCGACGGAACCAACATTTTCCTGGTCAACCTGATGGCTATCGTCATGTTTGTCATCTTTGACTGGATTGTCCTTGAAGGAATTTTGGAGATCCACAACTTCCTTACCTCGCCCGCCTTTTTGTTCGTCGCCGGCCTTTTCTCCATCATCCCCCTTGCCTACTTCATTGGTCAAGCTGTTGCTTCCATCTCCGCACAGTCGTCGATGGGCTTCGGTGCTGCCATCAATGCATTCTTCTCTACCATTGTGGAGGTGTTTCTCTACTGCGTTGCTCTGCAGCAGGGTAAAGCACAGCTGGTCGAAGGAAGCATTGTGGGGAGTATCTTCGCCGGTATTCTTTTCCTTCCGGGTATCTCCATGTGCTGCGGCGCCATTAAGCGCAAGACACAACGCTTCAACGCCAAATCAGCCGGTGTGACATCGACCATGCTGCTATTCGCGGTCATTGGCGCCTTTGGTCCGACTTTGTTCTACCAAATTTACGGAACCCACGAGCTTACCTGCCAGGATTGTATTAACTTTGATCATCCCAGGGGCTCAGTAAGAGATTGCCGTCGTTGTTACTTCTCGCAGACCCCTGCTATGAATGACCGCTTTTATCTGGAGGCAGTCCGTCCCTACTGCTACATCGCCGCTGGCCTGCTGTTCTTGTCGTATATCATTGGTCTTTGGTTTACTCTTCGCACCCATGCCGCCGTTATCTGGAATACCGATGCGGATGAGAAGAAGCATGAGGATAACACAGCTCGCAACAGTGCCCGACCTTCGACGGTGCAGCATACCTCGCTCGGTGACACCACAGGTGCTGACGTTCGTGACTCGCATCTCTACAAGCGCATTCTCGGCCAATCCCTTCGCCAAGTCGGTCACCAGGGCCCCTCGGACGAGCCGCAACGGCCAGGTTCGTCTGTCTCAGGAGGGGCCAAGACTAACGGCACTCCCCATATGGTCCCTCCCAAATCGACTGGATACGGTGCCACCGACAGTCAACATGCGGCCACCATCCTTAACATACCCGGCTTCTCTGATGCCGAGAATAACAATCTCGTGCACCAGGTCGCTGAAATTGCAGCTACCGCCGCCACCGTGGCAGCCAGGAACTATTCCAGCCAAAGACGTACTTCGCACCTCGGAGGCTCTTCGATAACAGGTCAGCAACAGTCGGCCCCGGGAAGCCGCCGCGGCTTGATCCGTACCGCAACTTTCCCGGATGCCGATGAGGCTGGCGGCGAGTCTACTACTGCTGCACACGCAGGAGGTGGTCACGATGCACCCAATTGGAGCCGGCTCAAGAGTTCTATCATTCTCATGGGAGCCACCGTTCTCTATGCTGTCATTGCCGAGATTCTGGTGGACACTGTGGATGTGGTTCTTGAAAGCTTTGAGATTGACGAGAAGTTCCTCGGCATTACGCTGTTTGCCCTTGTTCCCAACACCACTGAGTTCTTGGTAAGCTTCGGTCCAGCCGGGGTTTTTTTTTTTTTTTTTTTTTTTTTTTTTTTTTTTTTTCAGAAAAGGACTGATGCTAACTTCTACCTAATCAGAACGCCATCTCCTTTGCTATGAATGGCAACATTGCGCTCTCCATGGAAATCGGTTCAGCATATGCCCTGCAAGTCTGCCTGTTGCAAATTCCGGCACTCGTGCTATTCTCCGCCATCTATCCTCCGGATGTACCGGTCGCAGATATGGCACGCTATACCTTTAGCCTCCTCTTCCCACAGTGGGATATGGTCACAGTCATCCTGTGCGTCTTCCTTTTGAGCTACATGTACGGCGAAGGGAAGAGCAACTACTTCAAGGGCAGTATCTTGCTTCTGAGCTACCTTGTCGTTGTTATTGGCTACTACTTCAGCGGCTACAGCACCGGACTCGAGAAATCTAATGCTGGCATCAGCCGCTTCGACACCCTTGGTGATGACGGACAGTACATGAGCTACAGCTTTAAGACTGTTGGGCGAGGTACTGGTGGTGTCGCTTACTGAACGATTACTGGACACCGAGTGTCTCATTTTGTTTTGATTTCACGATCAATACCCTGGGGAGCATTGGCCGCCAACAGTTGAAGTCAGCACAGTTAAAAGTTTTGGAGGCGGTCTTTGGGCGACCATGACTGTATAACGAAGCCCACAGACTGTTTTGTTTCTTCTATACATTGATCGTCCTGCTCATTCAAGGGTCAAAATTCCCGGGGAGTTAAACGGCATTCAGGGGGCATTATTGGCTTTATTTTTCTTTTTTTTCTTTTCCTTGCTCATAAAAGCACTGACTCTCTTGAACACCATTGGTTGCGTTCATTCATGTAGTATATGTTCAAAATTGCTTCTTTCGTTAGCATGTGGGATTTCTTTGTGGTGGGCTCGATGGCATACAAGACTATCCGCAGAATGGTTGGAGACAGAGAGGACGAGGGAGAAGTGTTGAGTGTGGTGATGATGATACGAGGGATCATGAGATGGGTCATGTCATTAACGGATGAGAACAGAATACAGTTACATTTGCATCTTCATTTTCTTGTTTCCACTATTATGTCATGCGATGGGCCTGGTACATGTTTAGACGTTTTGTGAGTACGCCAACATTCCTCTCTCAGCGGTCAAGTCATATTTTTCACTAACCGATTGTGATATTACAGAAAGTGAAGAAAAAAGATCGACCACAACTGACACTTCACGGCTGACTGCATGCCGGGATCCACGTTCTAACACTTTAGGCAGAATCCACAGCCTACTATATACCGAAATGCTGTTTCGCGGAATCAGGTCAGGCGGCCAGTATTCCAGGGTGGTTCGGTGTCTGCTTAATGAACCCGGGGAGGCTTGGCATTATCAGAAACAAAGTAAGTACATAAATCTTTCTTTTTCGGAGATAATTGTATGTGCGATGATAGATGGGGATGGAAGAAATGCTAATATGGACGAAACCTCTTCAAATTTGACAGGTTACACTTGGAAATGGCCGCCCATCCGCGAACGAAACGGGAAACAGATGGAGGTAGGTAAGGTAAGGTAAGGTAAGGTAATAACTCCTCTACGTACGGGTTACACGAGCTATACCTACCACCACCGAACAACTTGATAGTTGATCGTTGACAAGTTTGACAAAAGAGAGCCTACAGGTTTTCCTTCCTTCCGGTCGGTTGCGTTCCAAAGAGATAACTAGCCTAGGCCTTGATGGCCATTTCACTCATTGGCATCGCCTTGAGCCCTATTGTTTTCATCTGTCAGTTTACTGGTCTTACGTATGGGAAATGGGAGGAAGAATTAATAGCGGAGCTGGAAAAAAACGTACAGCCATCAACAGGCTCAGGAGCCTGCTGCTTGAGAGTGCAAGCGTTATACTGAGCCGTAGTCTGGGCCGTCAGGCCAGCAGACGGGCAGTCCTTGTTGAGATTGCAGCCCTTGTCCATGGCCTTTTGGAGGGAGTCACCCTTCCAGCCGAAGACGTAGTCACCGTGGGCGGCAGCGCCACTGTTTTCACTTTGTCAGCATCTCTTTCCCTTCACATCAAATCAAAACCACTGCGGGAATGAGACATTGGGAGAAAAAGAAACATACCCGAGGTTCATGCTATACATGAACGCAGGACCCGAATCAGGCCACATGCTCTTGTCGGCAAAGTTCGTCACGTTCCACATGAGCTCGTACATGATCTGCGGCAGCTTGACGGGGTGCGTGGAAGGGCAGGAGCCACCGCCGTTGGCGCCGGAGCCGCCACCGTAGGCGACGTGGGACTTGTGGTCGGGGGAGTCGAGGTTCTTGCCGTCCCAGCAACTGTTTTTTTTTTTTGGCCAAAACGTCAGTTTTACGTTCCAGTGGAATGGACGGGACTAGAGAAGGGAGGAAGGAAAGAAAGGGAAGCGTACGTAGGGAAAATGATGGTCTGGCGGATCATCTTGCACTTGGTATCTTGAGGGATGTCGACGGTGTCGGAACCGGTGCAAGGGGCACCGCCGACGAATTTACCCTCGTTTGTCGAGGTCCAGCAGCGGTGGCAGATGTTGCCGGAGGAAACCTTCTTGGGGTCGGTGTTGGCGGCGTTACCGGCGAGCATGCGGAAGCCCTGGGGTAAGTGGTTGTTAGCAACTCATGGGGTTCCGGAGTAGGAACAGATATGGCTGAAGGCAGTCAGTCACTCACCGGCTTGAAAGCAGTCACCTTGCCGCTAGGGATATAATACACATCAAGACCACCCTTATTGACAAGCTTGCCCTGCGGACTGCCGTTACCGACCTGAGGCACGCGGTGATAGCTGCCGTTCTTGGCCTTGAAGAACATGACGGCCGTCCAGTAGTTGGACAGGTCCTGGGCGAAGCTGCACGACGTGCAGGTCGACTGGCCGGCCAGATCGTGCGAGCCCGGGTCCATGGTCAGGTTGAAGGAGTTGCCGCCGACGATCTGGTGGAGATGGGGTGTGTAGCGCATGCCCGGGTTGACGAGAGGGTCGACGCGGTCCACGACCAGCTGAGAGCAGGCGAAGCGCAACATGTTTTGCGCGACGGCACCGTTTGCCAGCAGCGCCATGGCGGCGGCGAGGGTTGCCCAAGACTGCATCTTGTCTTTTTTTTTTGGTCTTACTTTCTTCAATACAACCTGAAAGTCGGTTCGCGGATGGCTGGTCGGCGGTGAGGCGACTGTTGCTGATGGGTAACAGCTCTAGAAAAAGGGAACTGGTTGCTGCTGAAGACAAGATATCAAGATAAGAGAAGACAGAAAAGGAGAGCAAAGACGACGAGGGAGGATCGCGATGTCGCACGACGCACTTATACATGAGCACCGATCGCCTTTCCCCCTTTCCTCTGATCTTCCTTTTTTTCCACCAGCCGGATTCCCTCCCTCAACACCATGATGGAACCGTGGTCAGCCGTGACCAGGTTGACAATGTTTCCTACCTACCAAAGACGCAGGATGATTTCAGGCTCGCCGGCAAGTTACTAACTGCCGATGCTACGGAAACAAGGCCGAAGGTCTTCTTCTCATTTGGGTATAATATAAGTGGCTACATGATTGGTCTACAGGCGTTCCAAATGTCATTGTAGCCACTGCCGGATTCGTGGACAATTGTCGTTCCTCCGGACGACCAGGTATGTTAGAGTAGAGGTAGGTAGGTAGGTATGTTTTCGTGATCTTCATTTTGATAGAAACATCCTTGACAAAACCTAGACCATGAGACTGACCAGGGTTTCTGTGTGGTAGTCGAACAGACAGACAGAAAGAGAGAGAGGTCTGGAGCGGGTGAATTGAGCCTCCAACCGGATAAATGGTGGCCACGCCTGGTATATTGCTATACATACCAGGTGCCACCACTTACGTCCACGATGTCTTTGCCACTCAAGCAGGAAGGTCATGCCTGCTCATATGTTCCTCTGTCAGTGGGAGAACAATCAATATTGCGCCGTCTGTACTCACCCTACCACTTCCACCAGCATCTCTCCCCCCTGAAGTACCTCTAATCAACACAACAGCGGCAGAGGCAGAAAGATTGTGCTTCGAAGTGACGTACATACAGACCGAACCAACTTTCCTCGCAGTTCGGAAAACGTGGAGACTGAAGCTCGCACAAAGAAGCCACCCGCCCGCCATCTGGGGTTTTCCCATGGGGTAAAAGAATCTGGAGTAAGGCATAGACATGCCATGCTGCCCGTGAACGTGGAGGTGTGGGAGAGACAAGCCGATTGGATGGCTCCATCCGTTGTCAACCAAACGAGTCTGTCAGTCTGCACACCTGAGCCGCTTCGGGCCTTTCAGGCATATGATAGTATATCGAGGCATATGATCTGGGCGACAAGTGGCAAGACTGGAGTGTAGAGGGGGATGCTGGATTCTGGACTCTGAGCTCTGGACTGTTAGGGCGTGTTTGGCAACTGTGAACTGAAATGTTCAGACCCTATTTTTTCAGAGTGCTGTTTGGAAGCGCTCTGAACATTTCAGTTCTGAAATCGTTCTAAAATCCCCGTTCTGAAATTCCAAGCCCCACTCTTGGGATGCGTCCAATTAGACTTCGTCAAATCCTCGAATTTCAGAACCAACTTTCAGGCCCGAAATTTTTCTGAACTGGATTCAGAATTTCAGAAAGGCCCGTGCAACACTTCTGAAATCCATTTCAGAGAACCCATTTCAGAGGGCCATTTCACAGTTGCCAAACACGCCCTTACAGTGGCATTGATGGATGGGTTGCCCCTTGGGGTTTTGGGTGCTTCCCCCGCATGGGTTTGTGGATAAAGTCAAACTTTGACTGGGATGGCGTTTCTGCGTTGAGAGTTTGATATGAGACTGGCAAGACGTGGGAGAATTTTGAGTGCTGGTGAAGATGGGTGAGAGTCTTGTGTTGGTGATGAAAGGCCAGGCAGGAGACTCACTACAAGCACTGCCGTCAGTCCGCATTTGTCTCTAGATGAGACGTTGATGAAGTTATCATCGAAATAACGCTTGAAATGGAGCAGATGTAAAAATAGTGCCCTGAGCGGCCGGTCGGGGTTGCTCGGATTCAAGGGGGAAAAATTGAGAGATCACAGTAGAGTGAACAGGATGCGAAGGCATATTGCCCAGAACGACGATTTGGAAGCTGTTAATCAAGTCTGAATCTTCTGTTGGCGAATCTTCATGATAAAAATTTCTTGGCTTCGCTCACCTGATGCTGACACAGAGTCATTGGTGTTGATATCCAGACTCCAGGATCCAGTTTTTAGATTGAAGATGTGACTGGTCTCGAAGTTGGGCCACCAGCCCAACCCAGCCCACCACCACCGGCCTTATCGAACGCGTCAGAGTTTCCAATGGTGATTTGCCGGAGATATCTTCTTCTTCTTTAACCCGGTTTCTTGGTTGCATACTGCAGGGTGGACATCGAGGCTGGAAAAAGGGAGAACAGGAACGCATGGGGGCCTCAGACTTGGACCTGAGCGAGTGCAGTTACTGATCCGGACCGATTCTGGAAGACACTCGTCATTATCATTTCAACCAGGTGCACTGTGAGAGAAGTGTGGCATTGAGATCCGAGCTATCCAAAAATTTTACCAATTGCCAGGAGAACTAGACGATATAAAAACCTCCCGCCCTTGCTTGCTTGCCCGTGATTATGATCATACCTTCCGCGACAGAGACCCTTTGAGCGGGTCTTCACCTAGGTTGTGTGGGGACACTCGCATGCAGTTACTCCTTTTCGCTCCCGCCATTGACATCTGCATCTCACTTTCCTTGGCACTGAACACGCTATGGGAGGGACCTGAGGGAAGACCATTCCTTCCTTCCCTAGAGATCAAGTGGAATCCCACCCTCTTCATCGTCGAAGATCCTTCTCCCAGATTTTCTGTGGGGCTGGAAGTCGTCATCGTCCTTTCCAGCTTTACTGCCGAACAGACCAAATGGCAAGCGTATGCAACATTGACGATGGCCCTTGCGATCCCTGGGAAATGTTGCCAAGTACCATGCCCCGACGACGATGCATGTGAGAGCAATGGCAACGACGATGAATACCCAGAAGTACTTTGACACGACGGCTTGGCCTCCCTCGGCGTCCCATGAGAAGAAATTTGACGAGAAGATGGCCTAGGTGCAAGTTGTTGTCAGTTCCAACTTCCATGCCTTTGTTTATAGCTCCTTGAACACTGCTAAACCCTTCGCAAAGAGACACGGGTCGTGACATACCGCAACGGTTGACATGGGTAGGAAGACCATTGTCAGCAAAGCGATCGATCGCATCTGCGAGCTGTCTTTCTTCATCTCCTCCGAAAGACCGGTGTTTGCGTGTGCTAGCTTGGTGTTGAGTCGCGACAGCTTCAGGTTCGTCTGGTTGTCCTGGAGTGAGAAGAAGCTCCAAACCTAGAAAGTGTATCGCATCGTTAGTCAGCTTTGTGTGCTCTCTGAAAGTATTTGTCTTCCATCCATCACTCGTACCGTCTGCATTGTCAGTGACATGTTGTCCTTCACGAGATGGCAGTCGTTGATCTTATCATCGAACTCAAACATGATATCCTGCAGCCTTTCCCGAATCTGTCTCCCTGCCCTTTCTAGTCTCAAGTAGCCAGATACGCCGGGAAGGGGAGGAAGCCCCTGCTGCGCGTGGTTTTCCTCGCCATACAGCGTCGTAGCGCGGGAGACTGTGCATGAGCCAGGTGCCGATGACAAGGTCGCTGAAGGGATGCGTGTCAGACAGCCCTGAGAGAAGGTGGGTGGAGGTGATGACTTGACACTGGTTTCCACCATGTCCATTGCCGTCTCAAACTTCTTCAGCTGTCGCTTCACGGCCATTATCAGGCTTACCAGTTCCCTGGACCTGTACGTTGACTTCAACACGTCTGTCATTCTTTTCTTGTCCATGTCTAGGTCAAGTCCCCTTGCGCCGCCGACGTTTTCTAACTGGTTGTACTCGTAGTTGTTCCGAAGTTCGAAGTTGTCCAGAAGATCCTCTACCTGATCGACCAGACGAATACGTTCGAGTTCGAAGAACAAGCCGGGCAGGAGTAATGGGTGGTTGTGCTTGAGATCACACGACCTGATTCTTCTTACTATATCTTCCTTCTGTCTTTCATTGCATCCGTAGAACACTGCAAGATTGAGATCAGTTTCAGTGAAGTACGTCGTTGACAAAGCAATGTCGTTCGGCAATGTCGACGAAGTTCGCGCTGTGCACGCTGTTTGGAGCAAGTAATGGTTAGTCCACAGACCCTGATTCCTGGCATACGAGGAATGGTTGAATCATACTTATCATCGGTCTTCTCTCCTTACTTCCCTTCGGAAGATCGTCATCGTCGGAGTAATGGCGCTGAGCAGAGAAGTAGCAGCTCAATCTACCGATCGTCCGGGTAATCCTAGGATGGAGATGAAACTCATGCACGAGTTGTGAGAGGATATCATCGCTCTTGAAAGGGAGATAGGATACCGGTGACTGTGTGTTTGCGCCGTCATCGTCATCGTCGAATATTGGCTTGACCCTGTTGAAGATTCTATTGCGTTATACCGTCAATAAGAGACGCCCTTTGCCTTTGATGCTTCCTTGAAAAGGGCTTACACAGAAGAAAGAGAGGTGGAGGCAAAGAAGAGTTCTCATTTCCTTACACAGCACATATGCCAGAGCCCGGGTGGCCGGATGAAGGGAGAAAATCCAGGACAGCCTGACCGGGACAAGATGTTAACTCATCGATCAGATAAAACGAACTTTGACGGTTTCGATGTTCAATCGGAAGGGTTATTTACGTTCTTGAACCAGGCCTCCCATTCTTCACTGGTGCTCAGTGTCTTGACCTCGAATGTTGGACCCTGCTGTAGATCGTCGGAAACAGATCAGCTATAGCCCTTTGACTGCCCGCATTGCTATAGACTGTCCCAAAATGACTTGCTTCTTTATCCACAAGTTTCGTCACTATCGTCGCCTTTTCGCCTGGGAATTGGCAAGTGAAGTTGGAAAAGTCGCGTTCGGACCACTCGAGCGAGGTACGGTCATAATCCATCTTCGTCACGGACAACTGTTCTCTTCCATGCAATCACACCACAGAACTATGAGGGGCGATGATGAACGAGGGACGTGAAATGGCGCTTATGTTTGCCTGAGGTTCTTGTGGCAAAGGATCTTGTGACGAAGGACAAACCCGACAAGGGTCGCTGCGACTCCGGGTGATTCTTAAACCGGTTAAGCCAAAATCCCCGCCAAATGAGCCGGGCGTCTCACAAATTCTGTGAGAAATGTCGCAGATGATGACCGTTGGAGGAGGCTGACTGTCAGGCACACTTGAGGAAGTGAGGTGGTGGAATCGGACTGGCGATGTAACACGAATACTCGGCGAGTGAGACGAATCGTAGAGATTTTCCTCTGCTGTCTCTGCCTCGCCACGATTTCCGCACGTGTCCCATGCAAGCTGACATGGAAAGCCTCGAGCCAAATAATTGGTTCTTCATCAACCGGGAATTCGTGGCGAAGCACCACGTTGTGTACGCCCCAAGAAAGTAGGATTCTGCTAGTGAGTGTTAGTGGTTTTGCGGGGTCATAGAGCCATTGCACTAAGTATCACCGCCTGACTCCTTCGGTGGAATGCTTCTCGTTGCTTCTCCTTGGCCAGCAACTTTACTCTAATTGGGAATGTCTGCATTTTCTTTCTGAACGAAAACCTGCAGAGAACCGTCCGCTCATCCCGAGATGTTTTGTGTAACCTGAAGCATCTTATTTCTCGGCCGTAGGCTTGATTTGTTTTCTTCTTTTTCCCTATTGCTTGCCTCATGCACCGACATCTTACTGAAGCCCTGCTGGTTGAATCCATCAACAATACCGTTACATTCGACATCTGACGAAACACAGCTCAATCCAGTCTGACTTAAAGAAGAGAACGTGTCTACAGTTAGGCCTATATTGAGAAACCTGATCTCTATCACCGCCACCGAACACCTCACCAGCCATCGCGTTCGTACACCATGCTTTCATCGTCGCCAGCGATCATAAATCAGGCTTCCCCGGCTGCACCAGTCCAGTGGCATAATCATGTTCTGCGAAAGAAGTACCGAGATCCTCTCAAGCTCAAGCAGGCTTTGACTGCGAAGTACGGGGAAGGGAACTATAGGATCAAGGTACGTACCTATCCTACTTTGTAACCGATTGGTCGGGATTCTGTTTTAACCTTTACTTACGTGTGAGCCGGAACAGGTCAGGGCAGATCGGTGGATTGTGGCTATTCCTAGAGAAATGAGTAATGTTCGTTCAAAACTGCGAGCTTACCGGATGGAAAGACGAAGTCTTTGAAGTTCTGCTGCTAATTAAGTATGGCTTGCGCGTACAGATTGAGATGGACGAGCTTGAAAGTTCGGTCTATTCGCACTACTAGCGATGCTGGGGGTATCAAGGTTTAACAGGCAATCTAGGAGCGGGATGTAAGGAAAGAAAGCATTGAAAGCAAGCGGACTTGAAAAGAAAACAAAAAAAAAACCAAATACCAAGGCGTTCTGCCCGAGAAAGTATGAGTGTAATACATGGTCTTTCCCATGATCCAGCTCGATGTAAACATCAATAGTGGGAAACGTATGATAAAAATAAGGGGAAAATAGCCACTAGGCTTTGGCTCCAAAAATCAACCAGCCGCTTTACTTGGATGTGCCCAGCCAGCTGTTGCGATTCCGGCGCGGCGCGACCGAACTCCAGAACGCCTTACAGGTTAACCAAGCACTCATTGCCCGAGATTCTGATAACCAAAGATACGATGTGCAAAATACAACGCCTTTCCAGACGTTCCAGCCGTGGCTTTGAGGCTGAGACCTCACGAATGTAGAGCTGTACGGAGGTTAGTAGAGCGCCTATGGTGGTTTGATTAAATGGAAGACATAACTTCTTGACGGGGACTCACCACCGTAGTAGCTTGGATCGCGTTCACAAGCCTTTCTGATAACACCAAGCTCTCTAACGAGCTTCGCAACATTGATTCGATCATTTGGATACGGGCTGAGCATCTTCTCGATAATATCGAGAAACTGCTTGGTGTACTCGGATGCTCTCTCGTGTTTCCTGAGCTTCACCATCCACTCGCACACCTTGGGCTTGATGATGGCCGTGTCGCCTTCGATCTTGAAGAAAATGTCCGTCGCGAATCCGTATGCAGTATCCTCGTCCATGCGGTAGTCAGGAAACACCTCATAGACAGCGTCATAGCCCAAAACGTGCCATGTAACGAACTCGAGGAACATGCACCCCAGCGAAAAGACATCCGATTTTCGAGATATGCGACCTTTAGCGAGATCAAACTCGGGCGCTCGATATGTTGCTGATTTTTCAAGAGCTTTCGGGTCAGCATTGGATCGAGAATATTTGGTGTGAAGGCGACCAAGTCCAAAGTCAGACAGTACAAGCGTGCCGTCAGCTTCAAAGTAAAGAACGTTTTCAGCTTTGATATCGCCGTGGCGCCCATATAGCTCGCCTTTCCCAGCCGGGACCTCGTAAAATTGCAGCGTGTGTTCTCTTTCATTGTGAACGCACAGCAGAGCAAGGGCAAGCTGGTGGCATTGTTGAGCCATCCACGGAGCGATGGACAGGCGGTCCTGTTCATTTTTGGGCTGGTGAACTTCCCAGTACTTCCAGAGGTTTCCCTCCGCCCAGGGGAAAAGTAGGTAGAACACTTCACTCCCGCCATCTTCTTCAATGACAGAAAATGTAGCGAGAAGTTTGATGAGGTGGGTGCTTTTTTGGGCTTTGACGGTGATCAGGGAGGCCAGTTCCTTGTCGAAGGCCTCTTTATCGGACGCGTGCAGCCTCTTTAGAGCGAAGGTCAGCTCTTTGTTTTTACCATCATCAGACTGGAATACGGGTTAGCACCTGCCCAAATAAGGTGAATGCCTGCCGGCAAGAAGGTAGACAATGGATGCGCTTATTGCAACTTACTCCGAGATGACCAAAGTCAAAGTGACTTCGATCAATGATGATCCTCTTAACCTCGCCAAAGCCCCCGTGAAGATTGTCATCCTGATCCGTGTCTGGTCTAAGCTTGACATTGTTGCTTGCTTGCCCAGCTGAGCCAGCCCGCCCCTTAACCAAGCTCCTGTCGGGTGAAGGAGAGTCGATTGTGTATGGCAGGACGTCCTTCGGACCAAGACTGTAGTGGACATGATTCTTTTTGCCTTTTGTGGGAAGTTTGAAGTAAACGGCATTGAATGCGTAACTGGCTAGTACCATGTGCTTGCAATCTTTCCCTGAGAGTTTTCTGGTCTTGCGACCAGGGAGCCGATGAGAATGAGTCTTGTTCTGACATGCAATCTTGCCGTCAGGGGTAATCGAGATCAAGGGTAGGCATCGATCTGACAGCCTGAGGCTATCCTTGCCACTTTCGTTCTTCCAAAGCTCAGGCAGTGACTCATGTAGTTGTGTATAAATAAACAAGAGGAAGACCTTCCAGCAACGGACTTCGTGGAGGATACGAATACAAAGTCGCTGATGACCTTCCTCTGGGACATCCTTCCACAGTTGCTGTACGGCTGCGAGGAGACGTCCGGGAGTGAATGTCTCTTGGAGAGAGCCTCGGGGAATGAAGAAGCCTTTTCCTTTCTCGACTTCCTTGGCTTCAAGTTCTTCACGAATGATGTCAAATATATCTGGACCACTATCTTGGGGTACAATGTTGGTGTTCGATCGTTCAATAGGATGATCTTCGTCGTAGTACTGGTTGCCACGATCGGAGCATTTGTCGACACACGGATCGGCTAGTCCGATAGCTTTAGCTCTTGGAGCCATTCTAGAGGCTGTTCGGTGGCGAGAAGTATGCGCTGAGTCAACGCAACAGGCCTTGTGTTGTGCAGGAAAGATCTTGGTGGTGGGCCTAGTAATCTTCTAAGCAGACTCTGAGTCAACCCAAAGGAAAATGCGTGGGGCAAAAGGATAAAAGGCGAAGAGTGATGTTAACTCCGAGAAAGGGTACGGTCAATGAGGTATAAAGAGGAGGAGGACGAAGTTGATAATGAGTGATACTCCAACAAAAGCAAACAATGCCTAGGTGCTCACCCAATGTAGTGAAATTCGTCAGTTGTTTGAACAACAAGCGCCATCGTTCCGTTTTACTCCATTGTGCAATACGACGGACGTATGGTGGGTTTGACAGGGTAAATAAGTAACTAGGAGTGAGATTTACAATGGCCCGCGGCCCATCTGAGAGCTCCAGGTGGTGGGTGTGATATAAGGAGCCTCTTCGCATCGTTATGATAAGGCATCCAGAGCCTTGTGTCCGTAGTTGCGGCTGAGCATCAACAATTGGATGCCTTGAGACCTGGGAGGGGGTCGGCAATGGGTATTGTCTGCAACGAAGGGCCCTTGATACACAACCAGTGACTGTGCCTTCGGTGTGCGTTAGATGGGCGGTTATCAGGCTGAAGGACTTCCTGTCCTCTTTTCCTATCACACACAGAGAATGGAACGGGATGCGTGATGTTAGCACAGCGCGAGACGGCTTTTGAGTGTCAACAGTCTTCTCACCGGTCTCCTAAGGTAGCATTGTGGCGTCCCAAAGCCTCCTTCTGGCGTCCTTCAAAGGTTATGGATGGCGGCCTCTCGCCAGCCTTACTTTGCTCCTGAAACTGAACTGCCTCTCTGCCTTAGGTCAGTTGTTGTGTGACACTCATCCCGTGTGAGGCCGTATGCAAGTCTACTTCCAACACTCCTGAGATTCTGTGAGTAGACTTGAAGGGCGCAAGGCATTGAAGGCCAGGGCGGGCCGTAATGAATGCCTTGAATACAATACCTATAAAGAGCTTTGAATGGCCACCTTTCTCTTCACTCTTCGCCCACCCTTCGGATTCAGCATATGCACCAGCCTCAATCTTGAGTGAGGGTATGAACCGCTCAAGCACCAGCGGTGTGTTTTGAGGACATGATCCTCACTGAGCTGAAATGTCAACTCTCTGGAATAAGCGTATTTCAGTCTCTGCGACGTGGAACACCGAGGTCAGCACACTTGTTTAAAGAGAACTGCTCAAATATTTTCCAAGGCTGTTACTGGCTGTTGTTCCGGGTGAAAAATGCATTACGGCCTTCGACAACTCATCAGATTTCTTGCCAACAGAGGAAGGTCATACCTAGGTAATAAAGTCAGGTTGGAGTGAGTGGGCATGACCCAACCCTCCAATGCTGCGCCACTTCAGTGCATTAGAAAATTGCGTGGGATGAAGAGTGTGACTGGTGACACTCTAAGCAGCTACACTGCCACTGTTCGCTAGCCCAGTTTGTACTCCCTTCCAATCCCTCGTGTGGCTTGGCTGCCTGCACCCACAAAGCTGATAAAGGAACGAGGCCTCTTTAGAAGACCCCTTAATTTAGGTGGGCAGCATAAGGTCTATGCTTCTGATCGAAGATGTCAACTGATTCTTCCTCAAGTTAGTTCAACCGCTCAGCCTAACCACCGAGTCACCTCAGGGCTTCACATTGTCACATTCCACGCCCCCCCTTGCCACGTAGACCCATGGTTTACGGTATATCTTCAAGCATCCAGACTCAAGGGGACTTAGTGATCGGGAAGCGTGAATCACATCCATCAGAGCCTTGGGATAGACCCCGAAGAGCCCACACATTCACTGTACTACCTGCTTTATTAGATCAGGGAGTGAGACCACCCAACCCCATTAGCTCGTCAAATTGCATTCTTCACCGCAGCCGCGGGTTTCACAGGCCAGAGCTGAACACCAACCTCCGAGGCTGAATGGGGGCGAGGCAGATATCCAAGTGCACTGCCACTTTTTGATATTTCCTATTAATGCGATGATGAATCTTGCTGTTGATGATGGGAAACAGTATAGCCACCTCAAGCTTCTGCTACTCCCAAGCCTTTGTTGCCTCTCGTTCTGGTTAGCCTATTGAAATCTGCCATAACACACACAAGCCGCGTCAAAGAAATTGGACATACGTACCACTCTAGTACCTTCGCGACAGGATTCAGGTACTCGAAGCAATAGCTATGGCTCTATACCGCACAACAGGGAAAATGACGACCGTCATGGGACAAGCAAGATACCTCGATACAGAAGAAGGAGGCACCATTGTCGAAATACCTGCTTGCGCCGTAACCGCAGAAGAGTTGAAGAAAGAACTCGAAAGGCGGCTTATATCATCACAGTATACCATCCAGGTGAGTGTCGGATTTCCCCTGCGAGATTGATGTTGTTATACGTTATGACGTCTAACTGTCTTCCATGTCAGCTCAGGAGAGATCGATACTCAGTCACGCTGCCACATCACGGAAAGCAAGACATACTTAAATCATTACGATGAACATACCACTACCCCTTCAATGTTCGAAGTAGCCACGTCTCTACAGTGTCCAGGAGACGCTGCTTAAGTCCCTGCGAGATGATTGAAGAAAAGAGTTTCCCAAAGTCAGCATCACAAAGCACCCTCATTTGATAACACAACGCTTTTTGTACAAGACCTACCTTTGCATACCGACACACAATACTGTACTTATTTCCCTATTACTCCCATGTCCTCCCCTATGGCACTTGACAGCGCCCCATATCGCATTATTTTCAGTCATGTCACGAATCTGGAGCTACAGATGTTAGCACGTATACTCAAAGGGCAGCTTTCGTGTGGTTTTCATTTGGCGTTGAATTAGGCATAGAACTCATAAGTTTGTTGAGATTTCTCAGGGAGCAAACCGCGGAAAATTGTACAAGACATCTCACGGTCTATTAACACATAATATTGAATACACTGGTCTTCTCATCTCATCGTGTATGTCCTCAGGTGCCGCAAGGAATCTTGAAACTCCCATTCGATGACTTGCTGATGCTTAGGAGAACGGGCTGTAATAGAACACTCGAACGGCAAGGGACTTGAGTTGAAGCCATCGGAAAAGGCAAAACTGCGGGTAAATCAGTATGTCAGTAACAATCATTGTGATTAGACAGAAAGGAAATTTATAAACAGATTCACTCACATGTCAACTTCAATATCTTCACCACGCTCATTCTTCGCTGGACTAACATTGAAGCCCCATAGTATCCGTGCAATGTTTAGAGTCACCGAAGCATGTCCCAGATGCATACCGGGACAGATACGGCGTCCCCATCCAAATGCGCTGTGGCCAAACGGGCCCGGATATTCACGTTGCTCGAGAAAACGTTCTGGCGAGAACTTGTGCGGGTCAGGGAAGTTATTCTCGTTCAGATGGACTGAAACGATAAGTTAGTAAATACTGCCAAAAACACACCGTCAAAGCTTTTTTTCTTTTTCCTTTTTTTTTAAAAAAAAAAGAAGGCGGAGAGAAGAAAGAAAAAGAAATAAGGTTGAGCACTTCCCAGCCCATACACCCCTCCCCACAACCCCGCTTAAGAAAAACAGACCAGTAAGGAAAACAGAGAAGTGAGAGCGTAGCAAGATGGGTACGATTGCGAGGTGATGGCTGTACTACTTGGCTAACTGAGAACGAAAAGATTGCGTTGAAGAAGAGAAGGACAACAAAGGAGAGAGGGTAACGGGAACCTCCGAAGTCCCAGAACCAGAGACTGACCCTGGCGGAGCATGTGAGTGTACCTTGACGGCCACATGAAGCTAGCGGTTATGGAATACGGAAACAAAAAAAAACAAGAAGAAGAAGAAAACAGGAGATATTAATAGAAAAATAACAAGAGAAAAGACGGATAAAAAAGAAGCACTAAAAAAATCAATAAAGTAGGGGAGAGACAAGGATAAAAGGAACCACAATCCTACAATCACGGAGAAAAAAAGGATGGATGACAATCGAGCGATAGAAGAACGAGAAGCCAACCGGACCAGAAGAATAAGGAAAAGGGCAGGATGAAACGAGATATAAAGAGGAAAAGAAAGAAAGTAAAAAGAGCTTGAGCACTCACTACTCCAAAGAGGCGCAATAACCGTGCTCCCCTTCGGTATAAACATGTCCTTATACGTATCATCCGCGATACTGGCATGTGGTGTGCCCCCAAGAACAGCAATAGGCCGCCACCGCAGCGTTTCCGAGACGATAGCAGCGACATACGGGAGTGATGCCACATCTTCGAAAGTCGGTACCCGATCATTACCAACGACTCTATCCAGCTCGGCCTGGGCCTTGGGGATAAAGTCCTTGCCAAACTTGACGCAGGCGAGGAGGAAGCTGGCTAGGGAGCCGGCGGACTGTTCAACCCATGTTAGACTAGACGCTCAAGTGATGGGTTGGAAACTCGTACTCACCGTCTCAACTCCAGCACCAAACGGTGAACCAGCAGCATAGGCCAGCTCAAGGTCATTCATGCCATGGTTCTTCTGCTCGTTGATCAGGTACGTGGTAAAGCAGTCTGCTGCTACGCCTCGCTTCATCTTGTCTTTGACCTCGTTCACGAGACCGAGATACATGTCGACATCCTTTTGCCGTTGCCTCAGCACTTCGGCCTTCCATGGCGCAAAGATGCTCGGCAAATACTGGAGGGCCGGATATCGTTCTACGGCAAACTTGCCTGGGATGCTATGAGAGGAGTGATATATTAGAAGTTGCATGGGTAGAGAGGAGAGCTGGGGCCAACATACTTGACAGAGGTTAGACGGCCCATAGACTCAGCATTGGCCCGCACCACAGCATCAGTCCGAACATCTTCAACCCTTCGCCCATACGTGACTGTCACAATGACAGAAGCAGCATAACGCTCAAAATGGGTCCGAAACTCCTTGGGGTTCGTGAGCAAGTCGTGCATCAGGACCTTGGACTCGAGGTTTTGGATAGGCCGGTAAGATTCACTTTGGCGCTGCATGAAGCCGTTGTGTAAGGCTTTACGCCAACGCCTCCAAAAAGCCGAATAGGGAGCCATGAGACCTCGCATGCCTCCAGACAAGAGCTCGCCGCCCATGATGAATCGTGGGCGGGACGAGTAGATAGCTCCACGCTTCTCAAGCAGGTCCCAGGCTGCCTGGGCGGAACCCAAGATGATGGTCGGGGTCGGTCCCATCTGGAGGTAGACAACATCGCCGTATTCCTTGCTCAGTTCTTGGAACCAGAGCCATGGCTTTCGAATACCGGTCTTGATGGTCTTGGGTCCTGGAGGGAGCTGTGAGCGGTGTGCATGAAGCCTCCATCGCTGCCGCAGCTAAAGTACTCAGATCTGAGTTAGCAAGCTGTTTACTAAGTTCGAGGTAGGACTTTACCATACCGCTGGAAAGGAGAGCCCAAAGAATGACAAGGCAAGGGCAAGGACCAAGCCAAGAATGATAGTGCCAATCATCTTGACCGTGCCCTCTTCCACTTGAATAAAATCTTTGATCGTATGGTACCTTGGAGACACACCTTGGGGGCAGAGGTTGATCTTTCCCATGCCCTGGTTAAAGAAGGATTCCGGCCACCAATGTTGAGTGTTGGAACTCGCCGTCGGAATCTTTTACCGAGTTGATGCGACGCGGCGACCTATACGATTGTGTTGCTTGCTTGATCGGCTCTCCTCACACTAGGCTGAATCCAGGGTGTTGGAAGAGAGGTGCGTGAGGGGTTCGTTGTTAGCTAAGTGCCTCCCGCTCAGATGACACCGGCAGTTCGGCAGATATAACCTCCCCAAATCCATATAAAATTGTCTCCGTGTAACATCAAAATGCAACCATAATGATACTGTACTGTGGCTTACCGTTCAAGCTATCTTCTGATTTAAACCAGCGTTCCTCTTTTCTCAGTTTCAGTGACTACTTGACCCAAGCAGCGTTGTCAAAAGGTGAAACATGGGAGGCAAGATCACAGAAACATGGCTCACAAAACCATTCTTGACTTCGATCTTCCTAGGGCTCGGCGGTTTCCTCTACGGCTTGTACGTAGCTTGCATCTTGATCAAGGCTCGGAATATGCCACGTTAGCTGACTCGAACTTGATGACAGTGACTCGGGTATCATCACTCCAAGTCTCGCTCTGAACTCCTTCCTGAAATACTTCGACAATCCCGATGCCCCTCTCCGAGGAGCTATTGTGTCAGTTTACCAGGCAGGTGGTAAGTCTTCACTTGTTCAGAACTTTGGACGGTGGTGGGAGTACCGTGAGCTGATTTTACGCCAACTATAGCATGGCTGGGAAGTGCCTCTGTTGGTATAACCAGTGATAGGCTCGGAAGACGGAAAGCGATTGCGTTCGGGTGTGCCTTTGGGGTCCTCGTGGGTGCACTGATGACCGGTGCGGCACATGTTGCTATGCTTATCATTGGTCGCATGCTTGTTGGATATGCCGTCGGTACAATCACAGGCGTTGCACCGGTCTTTGGAGCAGAGATTGCAAAGGTGCGTACGGTCTTCTGTTGTTGTCAATATGATGCATGCGAGACGCTTTCTCACAAAGTCTTCTTTAGACCCATGAGAGGGCAAGAATAAACGCAGTTACCCAGATGAGTAAAGTAGCCCACATCTCAAAAGGGTGATTGAGATTTACTGACCTTCTTTCTCGCTGTAGTGTGTGCTTGGGGCTTCTTTGTCGCCCTTTGGACGGGAGTAGGGGAAGGCAAGTGGCATAACTCCAACCAGTGGAGGCTCGGTTTTGCTATCCAGAGCATTCCAGCCCTCGCTCTTGGAGTCGGAGTCCTGTTTATCAGTGAGTCGCCAAGATGGCTTTGCCTGAAAGGCCGTCATGAAGAAGCAGAGAAGGCCTTTCGCAGCTATCATCACAACGGCTCCAACGATGAGTGGTGCAGGGAGGAGTTCAGCCGTATGCAAGCCAACATTGCGATCGAGCTACAGGCTCGAGGCGATCTTTCCTGGGCAGAGCTCCTCAAGACGCCGGCCTTCAGGAAGCGTCTTTTTGTCGGATCCTTTGTCTGGGCGTCTGCGATGTTGAGCGGCATCAGCTTTATCCAGTATTTCCAACCAGCCATCTATGCAACACTGCAGTATAATCAGGATCAGCAGCTTCTCATAAGCGGGCTATACGGATCGGTGGCTCCGGTGGCGTGCCTGGCGTCCCTGCTCTTCGTGGACCGCATCGGTCGAAAGAAGATTCTGGTCTCCAGCGCTTCACTTCTGTCAGTCTGTTACCTGATTATCACCATCATCGCTGCCGTCTTTCCGGCCCGACCAGGGTTCCCAACAAACGAGGCAGCTCAGCGCGGTCTCATCGCCTGCATCTTTGTTGTATCGGCCAACTACTCGGCTCTTTTGGGTCCGATGACTTGGATCATTCCGTATGTAAAGCCCTGCCCCATGTTAATCGTTGCATGGCTGACATGAACTGTCTCTAGGCCCGAGGTCTTCACCACCGAGTTAAGAGGCAAGGCAAATGCCGTCGTCCAGGTCCTGCATTATTCCATTAGCCTGATTATCACCCAATGTTCGCCCATTGCTTTGGCTGCAGTAGGCTGGAAGTATTACGTATGAAGCAGAATTTGTGCGAGTAGTAAGACGGGTGACCTGGCTAACGACACACTAGATCTTCTTTATCCTTAGCAACGCGCTGTGTGCGATTGTGTTTGCGCTTGTGTATCCCGAAACAAGAGGTAAGGAGCAAACCTTGGTTCTTGATGTTGGTAGACGCAGCTGACAACGAGCTCTTCTTTCTTTGCCAGGCAAATCGCTTGAAGACATGAGCGAGATATTTGGCGACATCAAGCGAAGGACGGAACCAGAGTTGGGCAACGCCCGTACAGCTCTGTCGGACAAGAAATACAGCGGGATCAGCGAGTATGCAATCGAGAAGACGGAGTCGAAGCAAGAGACCGAGATCCCGCCCGCCGTAGGAACCAGAACTGGGCTTCTCGGCAAACGCGTGGCGCAGTGTTATTCGATTGATGTTTGCAGAGCCCTGGTACGGCTATATTACAAGCGGGATATGGCGGGGCATACAGAGGCAGACACTCTAGGAGAAAGAATGATCAGCATGTGTCCATTGTACAACCCAGGTAGGATCAGATGAGGCTGGGAGAGAGTATAGAATATTGTACCTTGGCCCAGTAACTTAAGTCGTCAGCCCTGGCGCTGCCGTGTCGTTAGCATCATCATCGCCGATGTCGTGAAAACGTCAAGGGATGATGATGTTGCCTTTTTGCGGTTTGGCTGACCTTGGGTGGATGGATTGGAGCGGCTGCTTGAGGTTTTTTGGAATGTTGTGTTCTCTTCCGAGGTCGTTGCAGCGGATGTTTTGGTTAGATCAGTCGGGTGGGTGACGCGGGAGCGGCAATGCGCGACATGGCCGGCCTGGACCGCGCCCGAGTGCATGTAAGTGTTAGTGCAGTACCTAAGGTGTGGGGTAATTTTTGCCGCTAGTGTGTAGTAAGCTGCGGGTAGCAGGAACGTGTGGAAAGAAGAATGTACTGTCCTAACTGGATCCGATTACAGAAACACAAGAGTGACCCGCGAACGTCCCCGCTCCCTACTCCTCTGACCTTCCCGTCAGCTTGTCTAACAAAACATCATCTACCCCTTGGGGAGTGGAGGTCAGTTCCTGTCTGTTTCCCCAACTGCAGTCATACTCAGTATCGAGACTAAATCCCAACGCCAAGTACAGGAAGGATCACTGATGGGGTCCGGTTAGCGGTTTATCGTGGTATTTTCCCTAGCGAAGGATCTCTAACCGAAGAAATGGCTCGATACGCCTGGTTGTTTGTTAGCTCTCATGCATCAAGCGAGGTGTATTGGGGGCCCCTCAACTGGGGGCCAGTTTCCCGCAGAGAGCTAAATGGGATGATGGTATTATACGCACAACTCGAGATATATGCCTATATAACTCGTGATCTTTACCTCCTCACGAGTAACTCTTGTTCTGTCCCCTCATCCCCTTCAGTCCCGTCTTTCACACTCACAGGAACAGAGCCCACACTGAACAGATCCGTACTCGTCAACCATTCTCTACCATACCCGACCTCAGGACATCCCTCTTCATCGAGACCCAAATACCACCATGCCCATCTTTACTATCCGTTCTCTGGCCCAGCTAGCTCTGGTTGGCATCTCAACCGCTGCTGCCATTGCCTCCTCTGCCATCACATCCACCCCAGATGGCCTCATCATCCGCAAGGTCCAGCTCCCCGATGGCACCACCATAACCATTGGCGAAAACCCCAACCTCATCTTCACCCCAGAGTCCCCCAATGGCTCCAAAGACATGAAGCACAAGCGAGTGGACTGGCAAGAACTCGACATCAGCTCCCCCATACAAGACTTCTGCTGGGACGAAAGCAGGCCCCAATTCAGCTACGGGTCCTCCGCGCCCTTGGCAGCAGACTGCCAGAAGATTGTCGATTACTATTCCGGCGTCAGGAATTCCGGCGTGAGGGGTAAATGGACGTTGTATCCTTCCGACCTTGAGAACGGAAAAGGTGTTCCACTGGTGAAGGTGGATGGCTGCCAATTCCAACTCACACTGTCAGGTGAAATAGGGCAGAAGGTGTACTGGGGGGACAATGACTTGGTGTACTATGTCAGCAATCAACTCAAGTATGCAAAAGATGGACGCGTACAGGCGGAGGGCTTCACGGCTTGCTACGTGATGGATGAGAAGAAGTATGTCCAGTTGAAATGAAGGTTGGTGAAAGCCTAGATCACATGTTTAGATGCATGTAGCGGGTGGGGTTATCGGGCAGCGGGATGAGATCAGGAAGTGGCAGTGGAGGCTTTCCATGGTGAGCGAGTGGCAATCATAGTAGGAGTGAGCGCAATTTGGACGATCAGGCACAGAAGTTTGAAGAGTATGTCGATATCGTACTAGAAACTGATGTATAAGTAATGAAAGAGAAGAAAAGAGGTTGAGTTTCTTGGACTTCAAGGAACTGTCTAGGTATGTATCTATCTTATCGGTTATCCTTATAGCGCGGGGGCTATCCTTATCGGGTGTTAGTCGTAGTAGAACGGAGGAGCAACGGGAAGGATGGTCCGTGCACGGATACAGCGCAATGTAATCTGACACCGCAACGCTTTCCCACTTGACCACAAAACAACCAAAAAAGCACACATACAATCCGACCATGTTTCCTCGTTTTCAACCCTTCGGCTTCTCTACCATCCCAAATCTTATTCCAGTCACTTGACTTGATATCATCAAAGATTCGAAGGGCCCCCTTGATACTGTTGCGAAAACAGGTCCATTCCACCACCATTCAACCCCCAGTCAAAAGTGGAAGCATACATCCCTCCCATGGCCATTTGAGGATCATCAGGGCTGACCAGCTCCATATGTCCTGACTGTTGTTGATAAGCCGGATGCTGAGGCAGAAGCCCCCCAAAGTTCATCTCTGTAGGCCTTTGTGGCTGCGGCTGTGGCGATGGTCCGAACATTCCCCTGGCCTCGGCTCGATGGATATCATTCAATCCGTTCATGCCTTGGGTTGGAGGACAATAATTCACCATCTCGATCCCTGAATCTACCAGATCCTGTCGACCATGGTGAAACCCGGTAACTTGAGCTGGCTGGTTCAGGTTGACGACCCCATTGCCGTAAACGCCAAAACCGGCCTGAGGATTGATGGGTGTTCTGGGAGTGACTGGGCTCGGAGTTGCGGGAAATTCAAGCTCTCGACTCTGACCAGGGCCGAAGGGAGGTGCGACTACGCCGACGCCCGTCTGGACAACCTGTCCCTGGCGTGATTGCACGATCCCCGAACCAGTTAAGCCGGGAGCCGCTCTCGTTGCCATCAGCTCTGCCTGGCCTACATTCGCCCATGACTCGGCGCTGTTGATCGTCTCGAGAGAAGAAGCCAGGCTTCCTCCGTTGCTGTCGCCGTTGGTGACCCCTTTCTTGACAATCGGCCTTGGAACCGCAAGTTGATTATGTCTCTGGCCCTGTTTCTGGCTCACCGGGCTTATTGGGCTTTGGGAATTCGAAGATCCAGCTCTCGCGTTACGTCTAGCGCTCCTCTGGCGGCGGACCATGTTCGTTGGCTTGCGACGAGAGATTTCCAAGACTTGGTCAATGTGGTCGTAGAAAATTTCAACCAGTCGCCCCACGCCTTGTTCCTCTGGCTGTTGGTTTTCAGAACGTCTCAGCTCTTCACTCCTGCTCAGCGCCTGGACAAGGTGTGGGCGATAATTCTGCAGGTCTCTGTAAAACTCTTCGCGCTCGACTGGGGGCTCAAAATCTTCATCCCCACTGTCAGCAAACCAGTCCGCAAAAAGACATGCCCAGAAACAGAAGGGCCAGTATGGGAAAGCACTCACCGGGATCCGGAACGACCTCGCATAAACCGAACAAGTTGTGCCAGAGGTCTTGCCAGTTATCAATCTTGCCATCCGCCTTCCGGTTATTAAGCAGAAATTCATGTCGAGCCGTGATGCCATCCTCCGGATTGCGGCTCGCGGATCCCTCTTGTGGACTGCAGATTCTGTCATTGGGCACTGCCATGTGCGCGTCCAATGCTTCACGAGACCCCAAGTCCTCTTTACACCTGCGGCAATGGTGGACGGAGCCCGTTATCTGTTTATGATGGGTCTTGATATGACGTCTAACCAAACAGCAAGTTAGCACTTCAAAACTTCCATTGGGGACAGGCATGAGACTTACTTCAGCTGAGATATGTCGCGATAGTGCCGAACAGCACAGGCTTCATGGTCGCGGATATTAAATTTCTCGGGGTTTCTCTTGCGGAAGGGACAGCTCAGCCTCTGATCCTCAGGCCCAGCCGTCATTTTTGTTCTTTTATTCCCACCATCATGACCGCCGCCGCCGAAACCTCGATCTCCGGGACCAGAACCGTCTTCATGCCCCCGGCTGGGGTACCCGTCACTGTCGTCGTTCGGTCTTTTCTGTGACCCATTGTTCGCTCCGCCACAACGGCCCATTCCAGAGTTTGAGCCGCTTCCTTCTTGCCGGGCCGGCGCGATGTGACCCGCTCCGCGAGGCAGTTCTTGGATGCAGATGGCGGAGTTGAACAGACTGTCATCCGGAAGAATCCTTGATAGCTCATCCAGGCAGTAGCTGACGGTGTTGTACGCTTCACCAGCCGCATCGGTATGTGCAATGTCGTCGTACTCTGTACCGAACGCTTGCCTAAGGATTTGTTCACAAACGTCTTGGATCAGCCCCGCGTCCAAGATGGGGCTCTGGGAAGTCTCCATATCCTCCGGCTCATCGGGACCAGGGGTCATGATCAACGGAGAAAGCCCTTCGGGCGTTGACCCGTTCCCGGTCGTGGGTGTGTCGACGTCTTGCGGAACTTCTTCTTCTGTCGTATCTTTGTGCATGTTTTCATCGGTCGCTTCATCAATTTGTATGCCTTGGAGGTTTGGCAAATCGAGATTGCGGGATGGCTCTGCATCTGGTACCAGTGATTCAGATTCCTCCTTCAGGCGGACCGGCAAGACGACCTTTGGATCACCTGCGGACTCCGCCCGTAGCTCTGCGGTGATCTGGCTGACAAACGGCTCTTCAGGATGCGTGGCGTCGGAAGGAGGGCCGACCTGGCACAGCCCATATTTGCTCATACTGTCTTCCCTCCTGAACTTGGGCAGATGTCGGACTGGGTCTTGCATATTCTTTCTAAGCTTGTCCTGGTCCCGAAATGTTCGTCTCGGCTTCAAGTTCGGCAAGAAGAAATGCTTCGGCAAGGATGAGCCCTCAGCAGTGAAGTTTGCCGGTACTGTCGTCATATCCACAGGGTGATTTTCCAGTTCTGCTTCCGGTCTGAAATATGTCCCAGCATGGAATGCCATTGGAGCGGGTGAGCCACACCGGGATTCCATCAACGAGGGCGACGAAGAATATTGAGAAAGGTTCGTTGCTCCGAAGGAGGCAGTGGTTGGACTCAGGGGGTCTGGCTCGGTAGTGTTGGTAACTGTTGAGGCGTGAGAGAAGATCGAGCAAGTCGTATCTGAGCGCCGTGGTACAAAGGATCTCTCCTCCCACTCGGTCCTCTCGCTGGTGTTGCTCTTGATATCGTCAAATTCCACTCGCTTGTTGGGTCGGTCTTGAAGATAGGGATCATGGGTCGGTTTGTTTGTGACTGCAAGTTCCGGAGAGGGGCCTGCCTTAAATGATGGTTGATTGAGTTGTCCCCCTTGCCCCGTTACCGTGGGCCCTTTCAGGAGGGAAGTCATGTTGGCGGATGGCTGAGTTCTGAAATCTGCCGACGATATGGGGCCCAGTTATGGCCAGGTGAGCACTGGGCTACGCGGCCTGTCGTTCTCAGACTGGGGAGAAAACGTATGGTTTTTTTTAAGTTTCGCTGCAGAAAGCTACGCTTGCTAGGCTTTATGTTGGTTATCTACTTCGTATTCGCGCGGGTGTGCGCGAACCACAAGGCGCCTTCTATAAACTACACGCCGGAAAGGAAGCAGGCCAGTCACTTCGAAATCGATCAGTTGGGCAATACTCTCTCTACCTAATGGTGGACAGACGACCCTTTGAGAGGCGGATCGACCCGGACACATCCCAAGGGCACAGCCGAAAGCATAACAGTCGGTTCTGCATAAGAATACAGGTAATAGAGTTTGAACAATCATCAGTGGTCGAGATATCACAACACATTGGAGGCCTTACAGCTCAGGGGTCCTTAGATGTGGCGGTGCGGCGCAAGAGCCGGGGGGCTCACCGAACATTTCGAGGCTGCTGAACATTGCAACGGCCTGATTGGTTTAAACTTTGGTGTTTAAACTACTATTTGACGGTCCTACAACCACACTTTCTTTCGAGGTGAGAACTGACACGACTCGCCTTACTCCTAGATTCTGCGACAAAGCTCCGAGCTGACTCCAGGCTGATTCCGGGCTGCTATCCACACTCAGCCGAGTCTCCCCAAGCCACCAGTGAAACCACCTGTCCTACGCTACCCTCAAAGGGCTGACTTGGTTCTATCAGGCTGTCAGCAGCAATCAATTGTGATTGCACTACGGCACAAGTGCATCTTATCAGCCTCCAATTCGCCCAATTAGTCCGTTGTATGCCTATGAGTATGCCCCAGACCGCCCAAACGCCGGAGTCCTAGATGACTTAATCACTCATGGACTGATTCTTCTTAAGATGGCTCAAATCTCCCGAATGCGTTCTCATCAAGTCCTTTTTGACCGATGCGTATGCTAGGACTCGGACCGATCTCGGACTCTTGAGGTGAGGCCGGACCTTCCTCTTTGAACGTTCGTTACGCATCGGTCCATGTTGTGGCCCGCGAACTGTCAGAGCCAAGCGCCTCTTACGACTTCACTCTTTCCTTTCGCGACTCTCACATTCAGGACGGCCAACACTGGCTCTCACTTCCCTCTTAGCAGGGGTGAATGCACCAGTCCTCGATTTCACTGCGCATTTTCTCTTCTATCCTGTCGTTCCTGTCACATACTTCATTGCACCCGCATCTGTTCACTGCTTCAGGGGTGGAAGGGAGCCTAGGGCTGTCTGCTAGGCATGTCACACCTCCCGAGTCTCGACGGCTTCCGGGTTACTATCTGACGAATCAACTCTGTTCAGTTCATTCAACTTGCTTTCAATCAACATCGTCTCAACCCGTTCGGTTTGTTATGATTCTGTTGGGTTGTTGTTGCTATTGACTTGCCCAGCACGGGCATTGACATGGGCTCACAGCCAGATCGATGCGAGTATTCTGCCTCATGACTAATAGCAGTCACAGAGGATGGTGAAAAGCCGGCACGCTGCCAAAAGTTCTACGGAGTTCGAGTCCTATCTAGGGAAACTTTCAAGGTGAGAACATAGAAATCGAAAACAAAGATAAAGTGCTCTTTCTAGCTGCCTGAGAACAAAGTCTTTTTTCTCCTCTCTAAGTAGACCTCAAAACACACCATATTTTCGCACGCTGTATATCGTCTTTGCCGATCTAAAGCCGTTCTTTGCACAGCGTACAAAAACCAGTACATAATATATTGCCATCATGAACACACACTACAGCGGCGGCGCTGGCAACACCGGGGGCGGAAACCGTAGCTCATACGGCGCGGCCGGCCCCATATCGGGAGCCGGGGACCCACCCGCACCGGGCCAAGCTCCGAGGTGGGACTTGTCTCTCTTTTTCCCCAAATCCCAAGATTCCGTCTCACCTCTTCATTCCTTTAATGATGAAACAATCCCATCTTAGCCGAAGCAGTTATCTAATGCAGTTTGCATAACCAGAAGAAGAGAACACGGCCCCATGATGAACAGATACCTCCACGACACTACCACTCAAGTTTCGGATCGGTTTTCGGGGCATCAGGACCCAATCAGCAACGACCATCATAGGTGGGAGGTGTTGCAAAGAATCGAAAGTCAGAAATTAGAAATTGAGAGGTTGGCGAAGATTGCGAAAGGCAACTGAAAGTAGTTAAGGGGGCACACTATAACTGTGTGCATCTTTGTATGATATACGTTGAAGCGTTGGAAATGAGAAACAGTTTTTGGTTTTGTTCGCTGCATCTTGAAAGTCGAGTGGCAGTCCAGACTTTTGCGAGTTGAACCTCGACTCGAGCTCCAGCCACTAACAGACAGCTCAGCTCAAGCTCCGACAGCTGGCAGACGCTGCGCCAGTTGTAATGTCGTAACGTGAAAGCTTGGCACGGCTGTGACGAGCCTGGAGTCTGGCCGGCCACGGCAGCGAGGGTCACGGGCCACAACATCAGCGGCAGATTGGCAAAGGCTCACCAACGCTCCGAATCACACTATCTGAGCAACATTTCGAGACACTCTGCAACACCACGCCAGCCTCTGAAAAGGGTGCAAATCTACTGGGAAGATGCTCAGACCTTCATTATCAAAGACTTTGACGGCTTCTAGCCCGCCTTAACCGGTTGGGTGGCTGGCCTGGACAGTGCCCGTCGCGGATCTCTGCGTGGCTTCAACCTTGGGCAACAGGTATGCGACTCCCCTTGCATCACATGGACTCTCTTGGAAGGCTTTATCTTGGTCTCATTGCAGAGGTCTCTGCATTCTCTGCAAGACCGTGTCAGCCATGGCACTTGCGAGGCCGAGTTGGGGTTTGGCTATCTCTCTCGAGATGGACCTCACTGGGTCGTCATGGCTGGCTCGAGGCCTCGGCCTTTTGCTGGAGCTTCATGATATTGCCAAGCCTCGGAGCTTCCTTGGAATTGCTCAAGTGGTCTGCTTGGCTCGCCGTACCCAAGGTTACCCCGAGGTACCCTTTGCGAAAAAAATCAGCAACAGCGACAAATCAGCACACACGGCAAAGCATGGGAGCTGGCTGTTAGCTCGAGCTTCCCTTCCCTTCTGTACGGGCGCAAGTCTCAGGCGCGGTTGCGCTCAAACACGGCGGGCAATCACCTGGAAGGACACAACAACAAAGGTTCCATCAGTGGCATGCATCATCGGCCCTTCTGAATTTTCGAGTGTCTCCTGGCGCCAACTTCAACACCAAACCTCGTCGTGATCATCTTCCGGCCAGAACACCACTTTTCCATCCGCAAACCCCGCTTCATCCACTTCCACCAGTTCCACGCAAATCCCGCGCCGTCGCCCCGTCAATATCAACATCGAGCATCGTCACGTCAACCGACTTTATTCTTGACACCTCGTCCATTCACCCACCCCGCCCATAACCAACCAACCACCCCGTCCATCTCCTCAACAAACAAACACAATGGCTGGCGGAAAGGGCAAGTCGTCTGGCGGCAAGAGCTCGGGTGGAAAGACCTCGGGCGTCGAGGGTCCCAAGAAGCAGCAGAGCCACTCTGCTCGCGCTGGTCTTCAGGTACGTTTTTATCGTCGACGAGCTTCATGGCTCTGTTCGCTTTCAATTCCTGCTCCGATCTGCACCATCGACGTCTCCTCATCAACCAACTTTTTTCGCTCGCATCCGCCATCCCTGTCGTCAGATGTCTATGGAATCACGCCGATACACCACAACGCGTCCACCGAGCCCCCTACATTTCCGAGCAACACCATATCGCCAACCTACGAAGAACGCAAACTCGCTGCCATACATGTCGGTCGCACGCAATCTCGCCGGTGCCTAAAAACATTGCGCCCCGTCTGCGACACTGTTTCGGCTTGATATGGACGCGTTGTTCTGTGCACCCTTCTCTCGCCCTGGCCCCGCACCCGAACCTTGATACGGTCTCCAACCTTGGATTTCTAGCTCTGACGACGGGGCGGAGCTGCGGCGTGCACTTTCGTCCTGTGGAGTTTGTCGTGTTTCTGATGCGCCATGCTGACTTGAATCTATGTAGTTCCCTTGCGGTCGTGTCAAGCGTTTCCTGAAGCAGAACACCCAGAACAAGATGCGCGTTGGCGCCAAGGCTGCCGTCTATGTTACTGCCGTGCTGGAATATCTGACTGCTGAAGTCCTCGAACTTGCGGGCGTAAGTCATCCATACCCCATCCGCACGCCATTGCTCGGCGACGAGGAGGCCCTCATCCTCCAAGTTTTACTTGGCTCATGGCTAACTCGCTTGTTTCCGTTGTACAGAACGCCGCCAAGGACCTCAAGGTCAAGCGTATCACTCCCCGTCATCTTCAGCTTGCCATCCGTGGTGATGAGGAGCTCGATACCCTGATCCGCGCCACTATCGCCTTCGGTGGTGTCCTCCCCCACATCAACCGCGCCCTTCTCCTCAAGGTGGAGCAGAAGAAGAAGGCCAAGGCTCAGGAGGCTTAAGGAGATATCTGCACCGAAAAACTCAACGTCGCGCACGTTTCGGATACTGTCTTGTATTTCCTTGGCCCCGCTCCGGGCTGACGGGCAAGACAGCGACCGGTTTTCTTCAAGGGATGGACGCGGGGTGATACAGGGGGACTGGGGCTTGTCTTTGTCAACACAACCCGCCGCCGTTGTATTGTTGGGTATTTTCTTCCTATTATTTTTGTTGGGATACGCACACGGGTTTGGGGCCCACCGAATCATGGCTGGAAAAAGCCGAGCACTTCCGGTGTCTGCGGCGGTAACAAGCGCAGCGCATAGACGACGGCGAACTTCCCTTGCGACACTTCCAGCAGGGTTGTGCGAACACACACGAAAAGCGAGGCGTTCTTTGTCATTCAGCCGTGGAAGCCGCCTGGGAAGCGAGGAGCAGGGAGACCATTCGCTGCATGGTGTCGTCTTGGAGTGCACCGCACACTGGGAACAGCGAGCAATCTCTCCTCATCACGGCGCGGCGTGCGGCAGCAGCTCTTTTACGATATCTGTAACAACATGAATCTCCTTCATCGTTTCTTTTATGGTACGACTTGGCCATGAGGCCTTAGCGAGGAAAACATCAGGACACGTTACATGAACGTGTTGCCTGGTACTGGTGCAGGTAGTGGCGGGACAAAAGGCTGCAAAAGCCTCAAAGATTTGCGATACCAATTATTATTCTGTTCTCTCTACAACACGAGAATCATACCCCTATACGTGGTGACTATCTTGTCCGGTCTCATGATGTGCTGCCTCGAACGACCATGAACCTGATTACGATAATCACATGAGACGAAGCAGGTCAAGGTATATCCAAATATTGTTATCATTCTGGAAGCTAATTTGGTAAACTCTCCTTTAGCAAAGCCCATATGCCCTATCGAGCCATGAACACGGAACCCCTGTTGGCAAAGATATCAAGACGTCATTATTTAGAGCTTTACCCTCCAATTTGCCAGACTCCCACCCCCAAGATACTTCACTTTAGTGACTTTCCTCACATGGCCATCTCATCAATCTCCATTGGGCCAAAATCGATCAACGAAGCAAACGACTCGTATGTGCTCGGGTTAGCAATTCCCAGAGCGAGACAGCCTCCAGCCAAGGGCGAAACTGGAGAAGCCGGGATGGTCTCCGGATCGTTCTTCAACAGCTTCGCAGGATCAATGGTGGTATCATCCGCAACCACGGTAATGTAACAATCCTGTCGAGAACTGCAACCGTCTACCCTAGAGTAGGGCTCAAGCATGGCAATCGTGAGGTTCCCAGTGTTGTCATCCTCCGTGCCCTCTTGCGTTGTCTCCTTCCAATTGGACTTGACGGTCGCCTCCTTGACAAGCAACCCTTCATCTTCCGAGCTTGAAGAATCAGAAGACGAGCTACTGCTGCTACCGGCAGAAGACGTCGACAATGACGACGAAGAAGATGAAGAAGAAGAGGAATCACCATCCTTTTCGGTCTGAACATCCCCCATCTCCACGTCCTCCTCCTCCACACACTCCACCACCGGCTCCAACTCCCACTCCCACTTCTTCTTCCCACTTCCACTCCCACTCCCACTCCCACCTCCCCCATGTCCCCGTCCCTTCCTCCCACCACCCCTCGGCCCTCCCATCCTCCTCTCCCGCTCCTCCTGTCCCGCCCTACTCCTCCTCGCCCCCCACGCCCTCTTCATATTCTCCCTCTCTCTCTCCCGTTCCTTACGCCGTCTAGCCTCGATGGCGTCCTTCTCCCTATCGTCCACCCACACCAACTTTTTGCCCTTCCTGTCGATCCTGGCCCGTCCTTCCTCGCACGCGGCGATGACGGTCTGGCGACACTCGGACGGGTAGTCGCAGTGTGACCAGCAGTTGTGGGTGCGCTCGACGTACATCTTTTCTTTGGCGCGGGCGATGGAGCGGGTTTCGAGCTCGGGGACGTGGTGCCAGGCTAGGGTTGGGCCAGAGTTGAGTGATTTCTCGCATGAAGATGAAGATGAAGAAGGAGAGGGGTCAGTGGGGACGGGAATAAGATGCCACGTTGCAAAGTCTTGGAGGCGGGCGGCGGTGGCTTTGTCTTCTGCGGATTGGGAGGAGGAGGAGGAGGAGGGGGAGTCGGCGGTAGAGTCTTCGCTATTAGAGCTGGAGCTGGAGGGGGGAGAGGGAAAGGGAGAGATAGAGACACCAGTAAGTCTCCTCTTCCCACTCGTCCCCAACTTCCTTTTTCCACCGAGATCGTCATCATCATCATCACCACAAACAACTTTGAAAGCACGCCTAGTAGCAGCACCCTTCACACTCCTTCTATAACTCCCCCACGCCGACCAACCCAGGTAATCAAACTCGGCGGTACACGGCCCTCCTCCCCTTCTGCCACTTCCGCTTCGCTTTCGTTTCTTCCCCTTCTTGTCTCTCTCTTCGGACCCTCCTTCATTGACGGCAGGCATCAAACAGCAAAAGATGTGTCCACACTCCAGGCATCTCCTTGTGCAGGCTAGCCGGTACACAGATCGGCAAGAGTGACAGGACCAGAGCCAGGGGTAGGGAGCGGGAGGTGGGAGCATGGGTGGCGTTGTTGGTGGTGTTGGTGACTTTTGTGTGCTACTGGTTGGTGGCGTATTTCTGCTGCTGGTTAGACTGGCGGGTGACGGGAGAGTTGGTGAGAATTTGGCTGTGTTGTTGTTATTGTTGCTGCCGTTGTTGCTATTGTCGGTGGTGCCACTACAGCCGAAATTGCTGGCAATGGGCGAGTTGGGACTGTTTTGAGGCTTGACCTTTGTGGGAGAGTTAATCATCTCTGATATGGAGCCGGTGACGATAGTCGGCTCTGGGATGGTGTCGAAGATGACGAGCCTGGGCGGCTTTGTCTTTGCATTTGGTTTGGAAGTCATTTTGTTTGGTCTGCTGTGTGTCCTTGTTGAGCTGAGTGTCCGTTGAGTTTGTTGGTTTGAAGGTCTATAAGGAACAGAAAGAGGATTGGCAAGCTTGTTGGTTGAAAAGAGCGGGAAGAAGCGTTTTCTTCAACTGACGTGCAGAGCGGGTGGTTGTATTCTATTGACCAACAGAAACAATAAACTGTAGATAAGAAGACCGGAAGAACAACAATATCAACAGTATCCAGCCTGTTGATAACGGCAGAACTGAATATGAGACTGAAGCCAGATGCGATGAAAACCGGGGATGCAGTAAAATCGACAGAAGGAAGGCGCTCAGATTCCGACCCGGTAGTGTAGAGCTGACAACATGAGAACTCTTGGGCCAGGACGTACGTTAGATTGCTTATATGATGTGCTTCTCGTGGGGTCAAAGGTTGCAGAATGGAAGGAGATCAAAGAAGCTTTGGGATGGCGGGTGTCTCAACAGAAATAGACCTTGCTACTCGAGTCTGTTCTTTGTCTGAATGTTCCCGCTAGAACGCGCCACGCGGAATATGGGGAACTTCTACGCGGGCTGGCGAGCAGAAAATGGAAAAACGACAAAGACTCGGCTTCAGCCTCCATACACTGGAATGAAAGGAGAGCATATGACAATGCGTGAGCAGATCAGTCAGCAAAGATCAAAGACGCCATCGGGGCATCGGATGTAGACTGGGGCAGTATGGGCCGCTCCTAAACTGAGTAACTTGGCACGGCTGCTTTGACACGTACTGTAGATGGGCTCTGTGGAGTGATTCAAGTTAACTTTGTCGTTTCTGTATTATCTCCAAGTCTGTATCATATGCTCGTCGTCAGCCTTTTCCACCTTGCTCAAAAGTGTGATGCCAGAGTGACACCTAGTGGTTCGGGTTTTGGGAAGCCCAGCGCTACCACCATTCTATTACCAAACTCAAGCCATTGCAGCCGCCATTAGCAGCAGATGTTCCCACTGTCCGGCAGTGACCCTCTAGTTCTCGCCCAAGAATGGCATCACGGTCTTTAAAAAGTCCTCCTTTCCATCAACAAAGGACACATGCCCAGCATTTGGGATGACCTTAAGCTCAGCCTTCAGGCTCTCCGGGCAGGCATCCCGCAACTCCTTCATCTTCTCGGGCAGATCGGCATCCTTCTCGCCAACCACGAGTAGCACATGCTGAACACAGTTTCCAAGTCCGGGCATCAAGGGTCGGATATCGAAGGAATCGGACCTCAGGGCGGCAATACAGGTCTCGAAGCCATCAACGCTGGTCTGCTTCATCAGGGAGTGCACACGCTCCGCCTCAGTTGGGTTGGCCTTGATCCAGTCTTGACCAAACCAGCGGTCCATAGTCTCGGCCACGGCCTTCTCCATAGATCCGTGCTCTCTGGCGGCAGCTACACGGGGGCCAAACGCATCGGGCACACCAGCGTTCTTGGGCGAAGCAGAGATGGTGTCGCAGATGACGAGTCTCTGGACGACGCCGGGGTAGCGGCTACTGAAAACGACGCCTAGGGCAGCACCCATGGAGACGCCAATCCAGGCGTGCAGTGAAGGGGTGAAAGCAGCATCCGGGGAGTGATGGCCATGGAAGGCAGAAGCGACGTCAGGGCTGGTTAGAAGGGCGTAGACGTCTTCGGCAAGAGAGGCGAAAGTGGTGGATGAGAGATCATCGGGCACACCCGAGGCGCCGTGGCCGGGATGATCGTAGCGCAGAACGCGATATCCTGCATCGTGGAGGCGTTCTACGATGTGGTACCAGAAGCGGTACTGGGAGGAGAGTGAGTTGGAGAGGAGGACGGTGGGTCGGGTGGGCTCATTGGAGTAGGTGAGCTCGTACGAGATGGTCCGTCCGGACGGGAGCGAAAAGACTGCCATTTCGTCTTTTTTTGTTGTTGTTGCTTTATTCTCTGGTTGAGGGGTCAAGATATGGTGCAATTTTAAACCGAGGTTGATCAGTGAGTTGAGTGATCAAGTCCGAATTGGTTCGATGACGGCAGGCGGATGCATGCGGAGGTCAATCTGGGGAAGGTGGGGCGGGTCGGCGGAGGGGTCTCGTGGTGGCCGGGCATCCCTTCTCGGACGGATTGACGGACAGCGGTACGGAGCGGGACACGTGCGGGGTTGCTGACGACGGGATCGGCCGGCAAGGTGGAATCAATGGCGTCACACCGGAATGCGGGGGGGTGGACGGGATGGACAGTCAGCTTCCTCTTCCCAAGCGACCCAACCAAGGTGAAGACGGTGAGCCAACCATTTTACACGCCGAGTCCTTTCGTCCAAACCTAAAGCAACCCAATGTCTCAATATGTTGGGCCTTCGCTGCCTGGTGGCCACGCTTTTGTGAGACTCTCCCAATCTGTGCAACATGTCTGTCCAACGTGGTGCAGTATTGCCAATGGAAGCTCGGAGACCACCGGCCGTTGCGCTGCGACAGACAAGCAGTTAGCATGTGGTTACGTAGAACTCAAGAGGTACAAAATCAACCGACTTAAAACGGCATGCTGACTGACGGCCGACCGCAGAGTCGCGAGATGGTGCAGACCCATCAAAGACATGTTTGTGCCTATGTCGCAGGCTGCATGGCCCGTTCGTTTCTGAAATGTCTAAAAAGGCCAAAGAAGCGATTCCCATTCGCAATCCCGATTCACCGGTCACCCTCATCCCTCATGGCTTAACACAAACAGCAGCTTGCATGTTATAAACTGGCCTTGGCGCAGAAACGAACAAGCGCCAATGAGAGCCCGTTAACCGCACAGTAACTGAAAGCCTCTCTTCGATGCGACAAAACATCGCCCTGTTTTTCAAGACAGCTGAGATCAGTTAGAGATGGCCAATAAAAGCATCAGAAACTGTTAGGCCCGCTTAGCCTCATCAACCTCCAAGAGGATCTGGTCTCGAGCCGGTGTTTTGACTGCCATCGAATTTTCTTGCCCCATGGAGAGATTGATTGACTGATTGGACCTAGATCACCTCCCTCTAAGATGTCTCTACATAATAAGTGAGGCGGTAGAGTTGGAGCAGTGGCATCGCTCACGGCACATGTCGTCGATCATCGAGCCAACTCGGTTTCTCGAACCAACGGTTCTCGGCCATCAATGACGAGAAATTGAGGTGCAAAAGGAGGAAATAGTCAAGGGTGGTAAACCCAACGCCCTGGGACGACACCGTGAACAGGCCTAGCGGATTTGGTCATCTGGCGGGAGCAGACGGACAGCCGCCGGAGGACTTGACTAACAGAGCAACCTTGATGCCGGGTCCCGGGGTATGGAAAAGGGGGCCAAAACCGTCAAGGGTGTCCCCTTTCCCCACAAGCCCAGATTAAAAACGTCAGGCACAGGGCAAAAGAGCCGGCCTGGATACGACGCCAGAATATTCCCGTTCCGAACAGTGCTTTCAACCATGTCTCTTTTGCTTCAGTGCCTCGAGTGTTGACCGCTTCAACAACTCGAGTGATACATGTTAGCTTCTGAATCTCAAGCTCACCTCTGAACTAGGTATTCTTACAAACAGATTCTCCTGCAAACGAGCGGTCAGCCAGAGGATATTGTCGTTGCTATCATCCTCGATCCCATGTTTCGGCCGCACCGCAATATCACAAGCCTGACCTTGTGGCAACAGTAACAACAATGACTGTGTCCAAAGAATATGGTGTCGTTCTCCATTCCGAGTTGCTGCGACCTACGAATCTTCTTTTTGTTAAAAATAGCCCATCTTCTTTTCCGGTTTGGCACCAATGAAGCCATGATCAAGGGTTGCCAAGCGTGCCCCCACGAAGGCATATTAATCTGTTTCGTTCAGCAATGGTTTTCCCCTCTTAGTAATTCTTTATTGTTGCCCCTTTTTCATCATCTCTGAAGGAGCACCACTTGGCTTGCAATCTCTCGTGAGGACGTCAGGACTCGAGGAGTCAGGGGCCCGGCCAGCATGGCCCCACTCGGCAACGGATCCCCGGTCCCGGCAGCACGGACAAGAAAGACCGGGTGACCGGGTGGGTCAGGAACACCGATCTGTGGGAGATTTCTCGCAGAAGGCACGCCACGGCGAGTCAATGAATGCGCGGTGAGGGTGAGTCTGGCGACGGGGGCGAGGCCCTTGACACCGGTGATACACGTTCCTAACTGTCCCCCAACGTCGACCCTGTGGGAAAAAAACGGCGTTGTACCGGTTGCTCGCTAGAGTTTAGGGGACGGTAGCCGATTCGCGTGTGGAGAAGAAACCAAAAGGCGGGATCGTGGTATCTCCAGCGTGGTACACCCTATATTATGTAGCACTAAGACTCGCGATAGGTGGTAGGAGTAGCAGGGCCATGTACGGCTCCATAGCCATGGATCGAATGGAAGCTTCTTCGAGAAGTCGATGGGCTCTGGCTCCTCATCGCCCCCGTAGGACCTCGTCGTCGCGAATCTTGGCTGTCATGGTTAGCGACTGGTTAGCCATGTCCCCCCTTTCACCTTTCTGGAGCCTTGTTGCCTCTTCAGGTCAAGGGCCCAACGAGAAGCAACAAAAACAGTGACAGGAGAAACCCAAAATAAACGAGGATAATTTCAAGGTGCCTCCACAAGAGCTCGATCGCCAGGGGTTCGGGCCCCAGATGGACTCCATCTCATCATGGTGATATCCGCGCACACGATGTCAGTTTGGAACCGCTAGCCGTACGCAATTGCAGACAGAGCGAGACAGAGGATAGAGCCCGGTCGTCATGTGGTATTATTACCTCTGGAAAGTTTGGAGCACATCCCATCAAGTCCGACCTGCCAGGGAGCTTTAATGGCTTTGGTCAATAGGGGGGGAGAGGGGGAAGGCAGAGAAGGGACAAGGGTTCAGACGGGAGTACGCCAGTTGATCCAGGACAAGGCCGTCAGTCCCGAAGAACAATGAGAGCATCCTGTAGCGTGCTCATCATTCAGGACGAAACAGATGGGCCGTGATGGACAGCATGGTGTCTTTGATGAGGCACGCGTGGTGATGGGCATCGCAAAGTGTTCCGCGAGTGATTGTCAAGATTAGCGGGAGCGCAAAGGAGGCGATTGGACAAAAGGCAGGGCATGCTGGGTGATGCCCGGCGGATGGCGGGAGGGCAGCCCCAGGAGGCGGCAGTCCCGTGCAGTCCACCCTTCTAGCGCAAGTCAGATGACCCACTTTGTGGGTGCCGTGTGTCTGTACAGAAAAAGACGTATCAGGGATTGCTAGACCGCAGGTTGGTGTCCCTTATTCATGGGGGGCCTATCTGGCTGGACCTCTAGTGCACGCACGCACGCAAGGCACGCACGGCACGCACGGTAGGGGCCGCCGCGCTGCCACAGATCCCGTCTTGTCGTTTTTTTTTTGTTTCATTTTCAATTTTCGGGCTGCTGCAGGGCATTGCATTCGCATTGGATGCATTCATTCAGGCATGAAGTTGCAGTGCAGTTGAGCGCTGTTAAGGTTGACAGGAACGAACAGATAGTCGAGTTGAGACCTTACCTTAACCTCACTAGTGTGGGCAAGTAGACGGGATTTGAACTTTCCCCCCTCGTCAGGGTCCTGGCCAGGTCCCTCGTCGCTGTTCCACCGTCGAACAAGCACAAGCTCCATCCGGCATCAGGACGAATTGCCTCCAATTCCAAAACAAAAGCAGGTGCGCTTGCATTGGACATCAGGGAGATTTCGACCTAAACTCCGCGCGTCTCTTTCATATACTACTATTAGTGTACTTGGACTTCTTCTTCTTGTCCTTCTAAACATCATTGCCGTCCATTCATATCACATTTTCGGCGTCGTACCGTGCCCGATCCAAGGAACCTGGAACTCCCCGTCGGGTCTTCACCACCACATACGTACATACATTTATTCTCCTTGCCCCCCTCTCTCCCGCCCTGTTGGAGCTCTTGGATCCGACCAACCAACGTGGAACCTCACCACTACCGTCAACATCATCGTCATCATCGTCAACAAATCGCTACTATACTACATCAACAACAACTACCGACGTTGTTACGACTGTTCGACGATAACCACATATAGAGCTATCTACTTGGACGAGACGACGTGAACGATCATTGTAGACATCAAGCGCATTCACCCACACACGCACACACGCATACACCACGCATACATACACAACAACCGTTGTTGCATTTGGAAACACTCGATCTGGTCACGGCCCGTTGCCTGAGTTGCTGCCGTTCTTTTGTTTGGATCCGTCAGTTGTCGTGCATTGTTCCGCCGTGCACAGTTGTGGATTCCCCGGATTTCAGTTTTTTTTTTTAATTTTTTTTACTTTCGCTCTTTTTTGGGGCTTTTCATCCTACATAACCATTTCCCTCTCGCCTGGTCTGCCGGCGTCGTCCACTCGTCCACTTCCACTTCCACACTTGCTGGGAAGCTGCAGCGGCCCTCTTCCGCGTCATTGGAAAATCACGCCCCTCTCCACTCTACGAGAAATCTGCAATAAGAGTTCCGCCCATCCGCATCCGCCTGGCCTGGCATTGCACCAGCACAAAAACCTGGCTTCAGCTGCTCGCCAGTCTGTCCGGTATCCTTATAACCTCCGGTGCCTCCCCGTCTGTCTCCCTGACACCTGCACCGTCTGCACGCCCAGCGCTTGTTTCGCAGAACGCGGCGCTTCCTGGTCCCATCAACATCAACCTAACCCCAACCCCCAACCGCCTGGCCTGAAATCCAGCATCGTCCAGTCTCGGTCCAGTCCGTGTCCGTGTCTTTTCGTCCGAAGCCACCACCACCCCCTTCGGCCCTCTTTTCTCGACCACCCTCCCCGGAGTCAGTCAGGTCAACAACAACTTTACGAGTTTTTCTAAAGCCCGGGCTTGCTTTTGCTGGTCTGCTGGTCTCTCTCCCGCACCAGCTGTCTCGGCCGCCTCCCCCCACAACAACTTTGCTTGGAGGATCACCAAAGAAAAAAAAAAAAGGAGAAAGAAAAAGATGAATCCACAACCAGACATCTCGGGCTACTTTCCCTCCGCCTACCCCATGAACAACGCGAACCGCTCCCCCGGCTCTTCGCGGCCGGGCTACAACACCGCCGTCGGCCTCACGGGCGTCAGTCGCATGACGCAGCGACAGATGGAGGCCATCGGCCAGCCCTCTGCTGCCCTCTTCGCCGCCGCCGACGATCGCTTCGCTTCCTACGATAACGCCGCCTTCCGACACAACAGGCTACAACCCGCTGCTGCTTTCGCGACCGACAGCTTCATTGGAAACAACCAGGCTTGGGCTTATAACGCTGGCGCAAACACTGTGAATGGCGCTTTGGGCGACAATAGGGTGCGCAATGGCGGTCGTCGGGCTCTCCCCACGGTTCGTTTCATCTTTAGTCTACAGCACATCTACCACCATCACCACCCCCCTTTTCCCCCCCTTCTCCTATCCGCTACCCTATTCGCTACCTGCCATCTATGTTACGATGCATGTTGCTGACCGTGGTTCTGTTACTTGCTTTTAGGAATGGATGTCCGAACAAAACGGCCTTGGAAGCCATGCTCTCAACACCCCTTCGACACAGTACTCTTCCGCTTTTGGTCTGAACGGCGATGGCAACTTCGCAGGCGACCGCCATGGCTATCCCGGCAGCATGTACGACCCTCGCCATGATCCCAAGACCCTCGGCAGCGACCTCATCCCTACCGCCATTGTCATCAAGAACATCCCTTTCAACGTGAGGAAAGAGATGCTTACCCAGATCATGACCGACCTTGGCCTTCCCCAGCCTTATGCTTTCAACTACCACTTCGATAACGGCATTTTCCGTGGTCTCGCCTTTGCCAACTTCCAAAGCCCCCTGGATACCCAGACCGTCATCGAACAGCTCAATGGTTACGAGGTTCAAGGCAGAAAGTTGAGGGTAGAGTACAAGAAGATGCTCCCTGAGCACGAGAGAGAGCGCATCGAGCGCGAGAAGAGGGAGAAGCGCGGCCAGCTGGAGGAGCAACACCAGCCCATTGCCCTGCACTCCCAGTCTTCCATGCACTCACTGAATGCCGCTCACACTAGCAGGTCTCGCAACTCGCCGTTGCGTAAGTCGTCGTCTCGCCGCGATCTTTTGCCGCCAAACTCTAACCAGGATGATGTTACAGGAGATGTTGACCTCAACAACCCCGAAACTCTCAAGTTTTATACCGAGTTGACTCTCTTCCGGAATGACCCCAACCGCGAGATCATCATCTTCCCTGCCAGCATTACCCCCCAGCAGCGTCGGACCGTTCACATTTTGGCCCACAACATGGGTCTTGAGCATCGTTCCGTTGGCGAGGGTCCTACCCGCCAGTTGCACGTCATCAAGGACACGGCCACTGCCACCTTGGCAAGCATGGCGCCTCCTATGCACATCTCTCCTGGTGTGTCGGCTGATGCTCACCGTCGCGGTCTTAGCCGTGCCGCCACCATTGACTTCGCCGAGTCCCGTGCCAATGCTCCGGGTCAGTACGCCACCTTGGGTAGACAGGGCAGACACGGCCCGACTCTGGAGCTTCCTGACAGTCCCGATGGCGGCATCAACGCGTTGCGCGGTGTCAAGTCCTTCGCGGACCTGCGATCATACACACCCAGCCCTTCGCTCTCAGCTTCTGGCTTCCCGCAGAGCAGCCTTCACGGCTCCAGCATTGCTCAGTATGGCGAATATAGCGCCAGCCTCGGTGGGCCTAACAGCGTAATGACCACGCCAACCACACCTGGAGCAGCTTCCAACAAGGACACTTCGCTACTGGTCTCGGAGCTTGGTTCTCTGTCACTGAGCGAGCCCTTCAACGCCAACCGCCTCAGGCCCAGAGAGACTCCTGGCGCGATTGGTAGCCAACGCTCTCCTTTGAATGGAAACAGCACTCGCAGCGTTCCGGAGCGTCAGCCTCACGGACCGAGCAGCGGTGACTGGGGCGAGAGCATTGGCTTTGCTGGACGGGGACGTACCAATGGTCACATGCAGCGTGGTAGTGGTATGTCTACAGCCTCTCAGTCTTGATCTTCCCGAGATAACTGTTACTGACAAATAAACAACAGATTCGTCCGACAATGGCACGCGCGGAGCGGCGACGTCTACCTCCTCGAGATTCCAGTAGGATTGGAATCTAGAAACCAGCTCGCCGCCGCCTTGGCAATGCTCACGGAAGAACACTTGAGGTGTTCGACGTGATGTCTGATTTGTGGCCCCTTTTGCGGAGCTGCCACTTTTCTACCCTTGGGCCCATGCATTGTCTTACCATGCAGCGGCGGTTGGATGTCGTCGGTCTGAAGAAACGAGGCCTCTCAATGTGTGCCACTAAAGCTCTGCCTATCTTCTCGTTTTATCAACAACTCATCAATCGTTGGATCTTGGTGTGGCTGTTGTTTTGCGACATCGGCATCCTCCAGCTCCTTGGTCTATCTCTTCCTATCTGCATCGGCATAATCCAACATCTCCAGGGCCCCGAATCCCAAAGGTCCAAGCCTCAACATCAGTTTCAAATGCGTCCACGGCGGCTGTTTCCTCGTTCTCCTCTGCGTCACATGCTTTCTTTTGGAAGGTGTTGATCCCAGGGTATTCGAAGCGATCTCAACTATGGATCTTTTGATTTCAAGCTGAGATGACGGACAACAGCTTCTTGATCGGTGTTTCAAATGCTTTTCTGGAGAAAGCGCGGCATTCCCGATCTGGCTCACCGACCACATGGGCGCTCCACCTCCCTTTTATCACCAATCTTTAAGCAACTTGTAATATCTTTGCATCTGGCCACCATCTAGTGTATTGGATGGGCTTTTTAAGATTTTGACTTTCTTTGCAGGCGCCTGTTGCGCGGGTCTCGGATAGCATATGGTGGACTTTCCAATTGCTCAAAAGGCCATGGTTTTGGCTTTTGACGCCTCGCGTTGGCTTTGGTTCAGAGGATTCGGGCGACAACTCCTCGGTTTTGAACCTGCGTATACCCGAAATGATGACGACGATCGGATACCACAAAAAAAGAGAGAAGACACGGAAGAGACGAAAGATTTTGGGATACAAGAGTTTTTTTTACAGCTATATGGGCAACCATTTACGCCAATGGCCTGGTCAGCCTCAGCGTGCTTTATCACGGCCCAATCTGCTGCGCCATTCTTGATCTTCAGGTACACACGGTCTTGCAGACCTCAGGGTTTGAATGACGCAGAGAAGGAAGGGCCGGTTGAGAAGGGCCGGCTGACGGGCTTTCACGACTGTTATGGTTTACGACGTCACGTCCTAGATGGTCATGACAATGTCCTTTGCTAGGCGGACTGATGAAGGACCGCGTCCTGCTAGCGAGGATATTAAAAGAAGACATACGCTGTCAATACCTAATACATGTCACCCTCCCCATACACACACACTACCCTCACTCTTGTTTGCCCGTGATGGAATCTGCATTGCCCCTATCTGTCTATTTGCCACGGTGTTGGTAGTTGGCGGAGGACAGTTGCTCATTTGACCTTTGGAAACCAAGAAAAAGTTGACCCATTTTCACTCGTTGTCCTTTAATAGTTTATTGCTTGTACCTATATCACTCACGGGTTTCCTTGGATATTCTAAAATATCGTTTTAATGCTATAACCGTCAACTTTGACATACAATCATGAGGATTAGGGTTTGAATCGTTTAAAGAAAGGATGTGATGTTTCTTGTGTCTTTTTGCACATACACGTTTTCGCTGGAGTATTCCCTGTACTTTCCTTGCTGCTTTGTGTAAGGAGGTCACCAGCCGCAGACAACAATGGCGCAATCCGGAGAGAATGAGAGAAACTGGAACCCATGGTATGAGGTTGGTGCGCCTTCCATTGTTCGATCGAGTTGTTGTGATTTCCAGTGGCAGGCACGATGTTGTTTCAGTCAGGACCGTAGTCAGGTGTTGTTTCCATCCCAGAGCCAGTTCCAGGAACGGGAAGGAGCACAGCAGTTACGCAATTAAGAGTGGGGCCTCAATGTGTGAGCTCTCAACCCAATTTCAACCTCACTCTGAATTGATTTGAGCCATCTCATACCAAACACAACTCCCGTCGTCTCCTGAGTTGCACCATCTATGCCTTTGTCGCCTCCAAGAAACATCAACCTGTATCAACAAAAAGCACGGAAACACACACAAGACAAAATGGATACCCCATGCGCAACAGAAATCTCCATCGCCATCCCAGCTATCCAGCTTGCCGCCCGCATCTCCAAACATGTCCTAGCATCCGCCAACAAAGGCACCATCGAGAAAGCCGAGGATCTCTCTCCCGTCACCGTAGCCGACTTTGCTATCCAGGCCTACCTTACCAAGGTCCTCTCCTCCTCCTTTCCCACCGACAGCTTCGTAGGCGAGGAGTCCGCCGCCGCCCTGCGCACCAACCCCGACCTGCTGCAGCGCGTGTACGACGTCATTCACGAGTGCATTGACGAGGTCTCCTCGTCCAGCAACGACAACAATGAGTCGCAGGTTGCGATTGCCGAGGTGGTGAAGCGGGGTGCGCCCGAGAGCAAGGAGCAAGTGTGCGAGCTCGTCGACCGGTGCGGCGATGGTGGGAAGGACGGACTGAGTGCCGATTCGGGACGGACGTGGGTCTTTGATCCGATTGACGGCACCGCGACGTTTGTGCGTGGTGAGCAGTACGCTATTAATGTTGCGCTGCTCGAGGGTGGGAAGCAGATTCTCAGCGTGGTGGCGTGTCCGTTGCTGAGCAGGAAGGCGACGGCACCGCTGGGCAATGCGAGCGTGTTCAAGGCGGATGATGATGAAGATGGCGAGGAAGGGTGTATCGTGTATGCGGTTCGAGGTTTTGGGGCGTACGTGAGGCCCTTGTTCGTCGGACAGGGTTCTGGTTTGACCATGTGCGCCTCAGAGTCGCTAAAAAGACATGCGGATGGCGTTACTGTTTCCGGGCTGAGGTCGGTATCATGCTGGAATCTGCTGGGTTCGGGCGTGGATGATGCACATAAGGCGGCCACGGAGAGGCTCGGTGTCGAGTTCCCAGGTTCCGACCTGCTTGGGTGGGTGCCGAGGTGGGTGGCCCTGGCCCTGGGGTTGGCGAACATGACTGTCTGGGTCTACAAGAGACGCGATAGATATGCGAAGATCTGGGATCATGCCGGAGCTATGCTTCTCTTTGAGGAAGTTGGTGGCATGATCACGGATGTTGATGGAAAGGATATTGATATGACAAAGGGGAGGAAGCTGAGTGCGAACTTTGGGTTTGTGGCCGCGCCGAGAAGCGTTCACCACGTTGTGTTGAAGGCTGTGAGACAGACCTTGAAGGAACAGGGAAAGGAGGCGCTTCTTACTGCGGCTTAAGGCTCAGGAATTTCCCGTGGTCGAAACGGAACCTTCAGCGAGAGAATGTCCACAACGGAGTGTCAGCGTATGACCACTGTTCCCTCTACCCCTTCTTTCCTTTCTTCCACTTTCCTGAACAACCATGTCTGAGCAATCACCATTGCCAGTCATGGACGGACAACATTCATTACTGCATTCCTAGCACATTTTGCTATATCCAGCAAAAGACACCTGGTGCGAATCAGAATTCCTTCCCGTTGCGTGCTTTTAGGCCCATGAGGAATGGCCTTAAGAGTCTCTTGTGGCCCGATTATCGGACCAGCACCTGTGTTTGATGATCGAAGAGTTGTCCTGAACTCTATAACGGGCTTTGACTCGATTGCCAACAGAGGAGTAGAAGTAGGAGCGGTTATAGGTAGCTTGGGTTGTTGGCCGGATGGTTTGGAGCCGAACAACACCTGATCCAGGTCACACTTTCGATGCTCTGGAAACGTTATCGAATATCGGTCTCTCCTGAGCTGAGAACACTTGTCAGACAGTCAGTGAAGGGGGGAAGGGGGAGCGGGAACTTGGCTTGATACTTACCTGGATGGTGTAGTTTGAGTGTGGAAACATTGTCTTTAGCGTTTCCTTCAATTCATGGGCGCTGACATGCCGGGAGTGTATCCTTACGACCACGCCGCCTTTTGCTCGCTCCTCGAACTCTGCCTGCTTTAGGACCGCTAGTAACCTTTGGGAAATAGCCATTGTGGGTGGAATTGTTGGAGGTATTGGGAATTTCAACGAAAAGGTCCGAATCAAGTGTGAGGAGTCTTTCACCGCCTGATTATCGAAATCCGTGATTCGGGCAGAGAGTTAAACAGACAAATAATGGTGATTTCGAGCGAGCATAGGATCGGTGAACTGTATTATATAGCTTTGTCCTTATTTTCTTTGGGATCTTGCAAGAGGAACTTTCGTCAAATCACCTGCTCGACCTGGCTTCCACCTCCCCACTAGTTTGATTGGGCGACAATTGCAAACATCGGGCGTATGAAAATTTAGTAATCAACTCAGACCTTCTGCAGTACAGTGTCTTTCAAACTCCTTGGTTTAAAGAAAAGTGTCTGGACGGAATAACTGGGGGTCTGGGGCCTGTCTATCGTACCGACAACACACACTGTAAGTCGTGACACGTCAGCAAGTCTGTTCATGGGCTAGTTATTTTCTCTCTGCCACTCCACCGGAGATAGATAAATCTACACTTCCCTTCCAATTAATTGTTCCTCGTCTTCCACGCCTGGGGTTGAAAGCTCGTTCTTCGAGGTACTTAAATCGAGACTGAAAACCTGGTCCAAGGAGTGGGAGAAGACACATGTGTGTCGAATCATGGCTTGTGATGCGGAAGGTTAGGTACATACATATATATTTTAAAGCTGTCCTTGTCCGTCACTTTCAGGCGCGTAACGAATAACTCTTCCTCCTACACAAGCAGTGTAATCCTTTCACGCCGGCATGCCCGAGGCTTCATTGTATCACTTTTAACCTGGTACCGTTCACTCTCTGCTTCTCCTGATCCATCCAGTCCGTGACCGCTTCAACGCCTAGGGCAAACATCTGGTGAATCTTCTTACACTGGCTCTTGAAAACACCGGTCTAGGTATCCTCAAAGCCACATATTCAACGACGACACAGTCATGCCGGCAGTTTTGCATCCACCACCACTGGCCGATGATCTGAGATATACACCCCATCCTCGAATTTGTTGGTCGAGACTCCATACGTCAAGAATTGGAAGTCGAGAGGATCGCGCACGAACAGGTAGTCAATCCGGATATCGTCCGAGGTGGATGTAGTAAAGCTAGTCGACGTCTTGGTGTTGCCGTACCAGTGTGTCTTGGGGACGAGGTCTTTGATCTCCTTGAATCCGCCTGGGGCAGTCAGAGACTTGTATCCCTCCTTGGTAGGCTCAATGTTCAAGTCACCGCCCAGAAACACAGGAGCGGGCTTCGTTGAGTTGGAGCCTTGGTCCTTCCACTCATCGGCGATCTTGATGATCAACTTGGCGCTCTCGTTCCGGGCAACGGTCCCGATATGGTCAAAGTGCGTGCACATGAATACCAGAGGCACACCTGTTGTGCGATGCTTGAACTGCGCAACTGTGACGATACGCGGCAAGGCAGCATCCCATCCTGTAGAACCCACCACGTCGGGGGTCTCGCTGAGCCAGTAGGTCTTGTTTCTCTCTAGTTGCCAGGTGTCTGTTTGGTAGAGAATGGGCGAGTACTCTCCGTCTTGTGCACCGTCGTTCCGACCAACCCCAACGTGATTCCAAGCGCTTCCAAGATCCGACTGGAGGTCGACGAGTTGCTGATTGAGTACCTCTTGCATGCAGATCAAAGCCTCCGGGCGATTGGCGGTTTCAAAGTTGATCTGAGAGGCCATCAAAGGCCGCCGGACAGCCCATGGTTCTTCGCCGGTCGATGGTGATGTTGTGGCGTAACGGATGTTGTAAGAGATCAGTCGCAAGTTAGTCGAACCACTTGCGAGGCCAATGTTGGCCAGCAACATGGAAAAAAATGTGTGTATTCTCATGACGTAAACCGGTTGCCGTGTCTTTAGTAGATGCCTTCGTAGACGAGGATGATTCTGAGGTTCTGGGAATAGGTGAATCGTGGACCGAGCTCTCGAGTGTGATCTGGTCGTGCTTTGTCAAGAGACCACACCCATTACTTTGTCAAGAACCGTGACTAAGACTCGAGGGCAGCTACCTATTTAACGTCAACGCTGAGATACCTTCCACTTCGAGCATATACGACCAGCCTGTCGATGCACTGTCAGGCCCCACGTGGTAACATTACTCCTCGTTATCCGACGATTTTTAACTCTGTGGGGACCCATAAAATGGTCTATAACATGGCTCGCAGTACCACCCAAGCAAGGAGTTGGCCTTGTTATGATGTTTGGAAATGTCTTTCAACAGCCCATCTGCAGTCCAAAGGCTGGCCACGTGAGTAACGAGCACAACACTATCTGGTAGCACTTGAGCGGTTAGCCACGGAAAGAGTATGTCTACGTACGGAAGGTACCTCTAGGTTCAGTGTTCGGCAGTAAGCCCATGGCTGCCATATTTCTGGAACCGTGTAAAGTGTATCGATACCCCGGAGACAATAACACGCAGTGCAAGTCGGACCCAAAATCATGGAAAGATGTCTCAACAACCGCCCTCTAAGTCTTGGATTGAATTGTGGCACTTCAGTGAGGCGAGTCGAGCATGCCAGCGGAAAGCTTCATCAAGAAAAGTCGACGAATACATGGAGCTCATGGGGCAGGTGCTACCGATATATGCCAAGGGAGGTGGCTGCGATGGACGGAAGGAAGGTACGAGCCGCAAGCGGAGATTGCTTTTGTTTTTGTTCAGGTTTTTCTTTCTGGTACCTTGGGAGGAAGGTACGGAAGTAGGTAGCAGCCGTGCCGCTCCCGTTCACACCTCGGTGAACACACCTCTAGGAGTAAGCACTAGGCGGTTGGGTGGTACCTTCCCATCGGGGACATGCCTCCACCAACATCTGCGAATGGCGACTTCCACTTTGTGGATATCTTGATGTCAGCCTGCTGATCTTACAACTATGGCAAGATATGTGCTTGTTGGTAGGGACGGCATGCTACCGTTTGGGTTGCAATATTCCCTGGTTAGAGATACTACTGGGCAGACGCTCGGAGGTGCGCTGACTGAGATGGTCTGGTGTAACTCCATAGCCGGATGGTCACCTACATAATGAGGAAGATGATTTTGCTCGCCTCAGGGTTCAATTAAGGTAGTATATAGACTCCAAGCCGGGTTTTATTATACCCAACCCAGGATTCATCGACGTACATACTCCTGCCTCAAGCCTGTTTCCAGAATAATGATGGTTCCGGGTCTGCTTGTCTTTGCGGTTCAGATCTTTGTTCTAGGCTTCAGTCTCATCATACTCTGGCGTCGATTCTTTTCACCCATCAAAACGGTCCCAGGACCGTTTCTCGCTTCAGTCTCCCGCTTCTGGCATCTCCACCACATCATCAAGGGAGATCAGAATCTGCAGTTGATCAATCTCCATGACAAGTATGGTATGTGTAACTAACATCGACGGTGCGAGAGAGCCAAGGTTTCCTCGAAGCATGGGCTTGAAGGGACCTTTGACCGAGTGTAATTGCTGATGATCAACCCATTAAGGTCACTTTGTCCGTATAGCTCACAATGAAGTGGGCGTCAGCCATCCGGATGGGATCAAGAAGATTTTGCTAGCCCCCCTGCACAAAGCAAGCTGGTACAAATTCCTCTCGATCCCTGATTACCGCTATCAGACACCCATGTCTACAACCGATCCGAAGAAGAAGGTGGAACGGTCAAGGCACTTCGCAGCCGGGTATACAATGAGCAATCTCCTACAGACCGAGGATTCCATTGGCAGCGTGATCGACCAGTTCTTGGCCTGGCTTGACAGGTCTGCCGAATCCAAGAAGGCCGTCCACCTTGACAAATATTTGACCTTCACTGCCTTCGACATTGCCGGCGAGGTACTTTTCTCCAAACGGTTTGGTTTTCTGAAGGAGGGGCGCGATGTAGGGAACGCCATCGGCAATAGCCTGATGCTAAACCTCTACGCTTCGACCATGGGTTTCTTTCGCTGGATTCACGTAATCCTGATTGGTAACCCCTTCATGACGTCCCTAAACGTCTTGCCCTCCGGTCACATTTTTGATACAACTGTTCGCGCTCTGGACGACCGTCTCAACAATCGTGACAGGAACAGATTCGATGTGGTCGATCACTGGCTCAAGGCCATGGAAAAGAACCCTGGCCAGGTGTTGCTGCGGGATGTCTACGCTGCTGCAACTGGAGCAATGGGTGCTGCAAGCGATACTATTTCTTGTGCTCTCCAGTCATTTGTTTACTTTATGAATCGTCATCCGAACGCCTGGGAGCGGGTCCGTGGGGAGATTGAAGAGGCACAGCGAACACAGGGTCTCTGTCGGGACCGTGTCGTCAAGTTCGCTGACGCTCAAAAGCTTCCTTTTCTCTAAGCTTGCATCAAAAGAAGCTCTCCGTGTCTTTGGTCCTGTTTCCATGACGTTGCCTCGGCTCGCTCCACCAGGCGGACTGACCATCGGCAGTAAGCACTTTCCGGAGGGCACCATCCTGTCTATTAATCCGTGGGTGATGCATCACTCCAGGGAACTTTGGGGTTCCGATGCGCGAGAGTTCAACCCTGATCGGTGGTTGAAAGACGACGCGGGAGAGCTGGATAGGTATTTCATGCCGGTAAGTGACCTTCTCACCACCAACACACACAACAAGAGCATGTTGTCCCGCCAGCTGACTCGTCCTTTTTCTTCGTACAGTGGGGGCAGGGGTACAATTCTTGCCCAGGCCAGCATATTGCCCGCATAGAGTTGTCCAAGATCACGGCAACCCTGGTAGGGGATTATAATATCAGGCAAGTGGATAAGAATCAGGACTGGCAATGGAAGGCATACTTCACAGTCGTTCCGCATTCTTGGCCCTGCTATATTGAAAGACGAGCGGGCAATGAACTGAGTTCATGGTGATGCTGCCATTTGAACGCTTCTTTCAGTTTGCCCAGCTCAACAGAGACCTTGTCAATACGGAGAACCCCCGCAGTGGATGCAGAGATGGAAAGGACTGTTATCAAATATATGACTTCTGTCTGTCTGAAAAGTAACACCTAGCAAGCCACAATATCTCTACGCAGAATCTGGTCCCTTGTTCTCGCGCTCCTGCAATGCGCTGCGCACCTTTGGGAGAACATAGCGTCCGTAGTCAATGGCATCGTTCAAATTGTCATAGCCACGAATGGAAATGAGCTCAGCTCCGAGATCAACGTAGTCGAGGATCGAATCAGCAATAGTCTGAGGGGATCCCACCAGAGCGGTCGATGCGCCGCGAGCGTTGGTAGCAGTGACGGTGGGATACCAGAGCGCACGGTCATGAACATCTCCACGTGAAGCAATTTCCAGCAACCGCTGAGAGCCCACGTTCTGCGGTGTGGGGGCTTGAACTTGCGCCTTGCCGTCGGAGGACTGACTTCCTCCTCCCGAGATGCAAGCCTGGTTCGCCTTCAAAATATCCAGTGTGTGGTATGCCTTTTGCCAAGCCAGTTCATCCGTCTCAGCAACGATGGGCCGGAAGGTGACCCAGATGCGAGGACGGTCTGAGTCGGGGCGGCCAGCTTGAGCAGCTGCTTGGTAAATGCGGTCAATCTGCTCCTTGGCCTCTTTCAGAGGCTCGCCCCAAAGGCCAAAGATATCGGCCAAGGCGCCTCCAATGCGGTAGGCCTCCTCCGATGAGCCACCGACCGAGACTGGGATGCCGGTACCATTGACGGGACGAACGCGGTTGGAAAATTGCTTGAACTGATAGAACTTGCCATCCCAGTCAAAGGGTTCTGGGGACTGCCAGGCGCGACGCAAGATGCGGATGTACTCCTCGAGTCGAGCATAGCGCTGGTCTTTGGGTAGGAAGTCACCCTCCTTGGCTTGCTCAGCATCGCTTCCGCCGGCGATAAAGTGTACGACGGCTCGACCTGAACTGAGCTGGTCAAGCGTGGCTAGTGCTTTCGCAGCGACGGTGGGATAAAGCGTGTTTGGACGCAGTGCGATGATGATCCTGAGCTTCTTGGTGGCGGCGGCAATGGTGGCGCCTATGGTAAAAGGGTCATAGGACGAGGAATCATAGGGCACAAGAGTGTAGTTGAAGTCGTAATCATCGAGCGTCCGGGCATAGCGAACCAGGTAAGCAGGATCAATTCCGGCGCCCGGGATCGGATTCACCTCGGTGGAAGCATTGGGGAATGTCAAGCTGATGAACTCGGTAGGCATCTTTGGCGAGCACGACGATCCTGAGACTGGCTTTCGACTGGTTTTGGGCTGGTTTCTGGCTTCTTAACTCGCTCGGATACAAGGGAGAGCGGCGTAGCAATATAATCGAAGAAATGGCGAGTGTTGTTCTGAAGAAGAAGTCGGCATCATGGTGGTCATAATAAAGGCACGAGGCGTGGCAGGATCGGATACCTCATCAAAGAGGAGAGAGGCCATGACGACAGCTGTGTGCGGATCACGCAATGCGGGATGGTGGTGTTCTTGATATGTAAGCAAAGCCATGAACCGTCACCCCGACTACCAAATCGAAGGCATGGGCACGGTGAGGTAAGTGAGCCCCATTTTACACCAACCCCCGTGGCATCTCAGATAGCCAGTGTCGCATTGATGGCGATGGCATCATTCTGCCGTGATATTGCCGATGGTCACGGGTCAGAGACAAACCCACATGACAATGGGATCCAAAACGCGAGGGAAAGTATGGGTTGAATTTGATGTCAGGTTGAAGCCATCGCCAGACGAAGATTTGGTGAGAAAATCGCAGATACACGGCGTTTAGGTGGTGATAACCGACGAGAACCGACGGCCCATGCCAATGGTCGCCTATATCACGAGTTAGCCAAGAAATTGGGTGGAAGGGACAGGGGGCGGGAACGGCATCATCCAGCAACAGCGCAAAGTGCAGGCAAGGCAAGCTGAGCCAAAAACCTGGGGAAGGAACCGTGGAGAGAACCTCAGAGTCGGAATCAACCGGGATCGCATCTTGCAAGCACCTCTGGGCTCAGCTCAACTTGTTGAATTGGATGTTGTGCTTGGCCAGAAGGCCAAATGCTCTCGAAGCAGGCACGGCAGGCTTCGCATCGTCCGAGGCCTGGTCAGAATCGGTTGGGCTTGGCGATCGGGATTGGCCGCGAGGGCACCAACAACACCACCCATAGCCCCCATCGAACCATTCGCAGCCATTCGCAGCCATTCGCAGTCTCGCTGGGCCACCACCGTCACCCCATATCGTCGCTTTCAAGAGACCACATCACGCCAACAACCGCACCACCAAACCAAACACCATCAAGACATCGCAAACCGCACACGTCCCATTGCGTGCAATACCGCCCGTCATGTCCAAATTAAATACCCCTTCCCCCGATTGATTCGGGCCTACTCTGCCTCCTGCTTCACCAGACCTCGACTGATCTCCAGACCATCATCCATACCTACTCCGAGCCTTTGGAACTCGACGTCAGCTTGTTGCACTGCACATCAAAACACACAATGACTGCCTTCCGCCCAAGTCCCTTCAGGCCCACTATGCCCCTGCGTGTCTCTTCGCAGCCACAGACACTTCTCAAGACGCCTGCAACAAGGTAGGTGGCCATCACACTGTTCCATCCCGCTTGACGAATGTATGCTCATGTCATGATAGATCAGCGCTATTGCCAAAGGTTGTGCCCGGCCTGGTTGTCTTTGGTGCAGGTAAGCATAACCAACCCCAGCGCAAACCTGTCCCTCGGCGGCGCCGTATTGCTCGTGTCTGGTCCTAACTGGGAATCCTTCGTCATGGAACAGTCTACACCGTCGTTTCATATGTCCGTTCTCAGTTGCGGAATGAATCCAATACGCTGAACCGGGTCTTCTCTCAACAAAACACCCCAGGCGTCATGGAGAAGAGGAAAGAGCGGTACTTGATCGAGACCGAGGGTGATCCCCGCAAGACGATATACAATGTGTTGAACTGGTAGAGCCACGGATATCATGTAACTTGGGTAGGCGGCGTTTGGGTGGCTGTGAGCAACGGGAACTGTTTTGTTTCGGTGCTCGCGTTGGAGACAGCGGCGTTATTAGTGTTTTTATACCTAGGGAGAAGTGGGAATTCGAATTGATGTTGCACTTGATTAAAGTCCACCAACAGATTCCACGTGGTATGTCGGGTTCATAGCGGGCCTGAGCTCCTCTGCGTGGACGTAACCGCCCACCTACACTACGGTAGACTGCAGAAACAGGAACTAACTCTACACGTGTACTCTGCAGCACGACTACGCCACTGTCTCTACGGGAAACTGTTAGTGGGAGATATGGAAACCATGCTTCGCTCCTCATTACCAGTACGTCCCCTGTCCCCTCCTCGGCAGGACAATAAGGAACACTGTAAAGGTCGTCAAGAAGTAGGCGCAAGATGGCAGGAACCACTTCGGGGCAGCCTACTTACCTGGTATCGCTTTTCAAAGATAGGTAGGTGTTCTTCATCTGATCTTCCGCGTTTTTACTTACACGCATATGCTAATCAACGGTGCATGCCATAGGCCTAAGGAGGAGCATGCTTCCGGCTGGTCTTCTTTGTGGGACAACGACAAAAGTCACTTCTGGGATCGCGGAAAGCCTTCGCCTGCTCTGCAAGACCTGTTGAACCTTTACCCTGATGTGGTGTCTGAACTCCCTCGTGGCCCAGAACGACGACGCAAAGCATTGGTGCCAGTGAGTAAATTGGCTTGCTGTGTAGCTGAACATGGTCGTTCACTGACCAAATCTAGGGCTGTGGGAAGGGTTATGACGTGGTGATGCTTGCCTTGCATGGCTACGATACCTATGGACTCGATGTTTCTGAGAAAGCTGTCGAAGCTGCCAGGGAATATACCGCCAACGAACTACGTGATCCATCTGCGTACAACTTCAAGGAAGCATCCCCGTATACCCATTCACCTGAAGGCGCGACTCGCGGCACTGCCACCTTTTCAGTTGGCAACTTCTTTGAGCGAGAGTGGGAATCTCTTGTCGCTACTGAAGATGAACAGAAGTTCGACCTCATATACGACTATACGGTAGGCTGCGGTTCATTCGCTTCTCATTTTATCAAACAGTTTTGTCCGCTCTCGCCTTCAATTTTGCTGACATCATGTTAGTTCTTGTGTGCTCTTCCACCGGATATGCGCCGGGATTGGGCAATTCGCATGAGTGAGCTTCTAGCCCCAAACGGCATTCTCGTATGCTTGGAGTTTCCTCTCTACAAAGATCCTAGACTCCCTGGACCTCCATGGGGTTTGAAAGGCGTTCACTGGAACTTGCTAGCCGAGGGTGGCAACGGCCTGATTGATCCAGCCTCTGGTATGCCAGAGGAAACAACGCCAAAAGAGGGGCTGTTTGAAAGGAAACTATATCTAACGCCAGAGAGAACGTTTGAAATCGGACAAGGCACAGATATGTTAAGCGTTTGGAAGCTTCAGCAATGAGGCCCCAGGGGCACCGTATTCATCTCAGACTATACGCTAAGGCTAGACCCTCCCTCTAGGCTTGATGGACTCACCATCTTCCAGCTGCAGACGCAGTCCAGCTATTTAAATTCTCGGCAGATCATCATCAACGCTAACGCAATATCTTTCTCCTCCTTCCTATCTGTCCCTCTCACCCTACCTACGACCCGACATGTCGAGACGCATGAGCTAAGGCTTGCCAGGAACAGGAGTCTCATCCCAACTATTCCCAGGTTTCTTACATACCGCTTCCCCCTAACACAGTATGGGTTCCCGCCCTTTTTGCTACTAGCATTCGGTGAGGTGATAAGGAACACGTCGCCATGCGGCCTGGTGCCCGTGCAGGAATTGAACAGCCCGTTACGGACCTTGTACGATGTCCTTCCGACCCTATTCCAGACGGCAACCCAGTCATTATCTGCAAAGCACGTCTTGGTGGTCGATAACGACACACTCTGTTCGACACGGAAGCCGGCGGTGAAGCGGATGGTCATCGTCTTGGTCTCGGTTTGGCCTATGGAGCAGACGCCGTTGCCGCAGTCTATTGATTCCTGGTTGTTTTCCTGCTGTTAGCATTGCTTGAGAGAAGGCTATGGATTAGAAACCTACAGTCACTGGATATTCTGTGCCGTTTGGTGAGGATCGCCATCGCCCTCCTGGATGGTGGTCGGTGTCCAGTGGGAACACGGATTATACTGACGCTTGGGAATGTTGTTCGGTCCCACCATGGGTCTCCAACTCGAGACCCGAATTGTTGCTCAAAACATTGCACGGTCAGGCGAAGGCAGGACTTGGGTAAAAGATCAATATTCCATCTACGCGCGAGACAGCTTGGCCAAAAGACCATTTCTATCTAATCGAAGAAGGTGCTCGATATTGAAGGTTATGGATGGGAAGGTACTCCTTCTTCTAACTCTTGGCGGAAGTTCTTCTCCAACTTTCTTAGGATTCTTAGGATCTTTGGGATCTTTGGGATACTTATCTTTTGGGAGAGTCCGGGGACTGAATTCAATACCGTACAGGTCTCCCCAAATAGTGAGCACCGTGCGTACTGTCATGGCCCAGTGTCATGACATTCCAAGAGTGCATTGTCACGTGCCTGCGTGCCGCTTTCGCGGCACGCATGCCTTGGCATTAGGTACGGTGGCCCAAGTGCGTCTTAGGCCCAATTAAAAAAGTTTGGTTGAAAAATGGCCCGTGTCAGCTGCAGGCACTAGGTACGCGCCAAAGGGTGTCATTCGAACTCCAACACTACAGGTAATAATGTACAGTATCAACCCCTGAAAGTGCAACCACCCCCAAGTGCAAAAACCCCCCAAAGTGCAAAAAAACTAGCGGCCCAGATTAATTGCACTTTCAGGGGTTGATACTGTAACCTTGATTCCAACTCTCTGAAAGCGAGGTAATGAAGCAATGAAGCAATGAAGCAATGAAGCAATGAAGCAATGAGAGCCACGAAGTGCCAAGATTTAGGGTGTGTTCCGTAGCATTTTTTTTTTAGCGTTTTCACCGGGTGAAAATGGCCGGTGAAAATCGTATTCCATAACTTTTTTAACACTTTTGTACCTTTTCACCCGGGTTATACGTCTTGTTTACCTAGTGAAAAGAAATAGCCCACTTTTTAAGCTTTTAGCCAACCAAATCGCTCGCATCCATCTTCATTCCTTTTCACCCAGTAAACAGAAAAAAGGGTGTTTTGCAAAATACATCACTTATTGAACGCGCTAAAATAGTATTGAAGCCGCTATAACCAACCCAATTCCAACGCCAAAACAATATGATTATCATTTTCACCCAAAACCCTACAACCTGGTGAAAAAGCCGGTGAAAATTGGTTCGTGCAACCTTTTTAACCGAAGTACCTTTTTCCCCAGTGAAAAAGCCCAAAAAAGGGCTACGGAATATACCCTTAGGGTGACAATGCAAATAGACCCTGGTCCTTCTCCAAATTTTGAACCTTGATGAATTGGGGTAGAGTAATAGTGTAAATGGATCCTTCCGCCTTCTTAAAAAAATAAGAGAGGAAGAGAGAAAGAAAAGAGGAAAGAAGAAAGAAGGAAGAGAGAAAGAAAAGAGGAAAGAAGAAGGAAGGAAGAAAAAAAAAAAGAAAAATGAAAGGTGGGAAAAGATAGAAAAGATAAAGTTTGGGAAGGTTGAAGCGGTTTCAAAGGTTAGTGGTTAGCGCTTAATATCCTAAGTATGAATATTGAACGCCGTAAATACTTTAGAGGCGTTAATCTAAAATAGTCGACGGCTGAGGCCAGTTGAGAGCTCGGACCAGTTTTTAATTGGGCCTAAGACGCACTTGGGCTACCGTAATTAGGCCCACTCTATGTGGGTCCCAGAGGTTCTGGCGCGCACATACTTGTTCTCGTGCAGCCAGCCCACCTTTGCACTTTTCCTCTTTCTTTCTTTAGCTTTAGTTTTGTATTCGATTTGTGCCATACCCCTTGAGCTGGCTTTCTCTTGCTGAGTGTGCACGCCGTCACACGTACGAACTGCTAAGGGAAGTCTCGCCCGGTGCCCGTTATTACGACCCAGCAACTCTCATTCGCGCACCAAGGTTGTGCCTTCGTATAGTGTGTGGTGCCTTGGCCCTTCACTGGTAATCGAGGTAGGATCGAATCTTCCTTAGACGCATCCGACTGCATCCAACAACCCACTACGGACAGAGCTTGCATCTCTGTTTGTGGTATAAAAAGCGCAGCAGTCCCCACGCCCACACCATTTCCGTTCTTCTTCTACATTTTCACCAAATCCTTCCAACTCGGCACTCCTCTTTCCTATCCACCACCCGCCAGTCATCGTAGCGCTCTATCTTGGACTCGTGGGCATAAGAAGTGTGTTAATTGTGCTATGCTAAGAAGACAAGAAAGGAAAAGAAATGTGGAGGGCTAAAATACATGGTGGTGTGGGTTGACTGGGCCCACGTAACAGACGATGCCAGTGAATAGCAGGGAGGTGGGATAGACCCCACTACAACACGCCCCCGTAGCCCGAAACGGCTTCCAAGGACTCATCACGAGTAAACAAACAAAATTATCCATAATATTAAATCAAGCCCAAAGAACAATTCTCTCCTCCAATCCAAGCAACCTTACGAATCTCGCGTGCTTATCCGCCTTCAATAGCTTCGTCAAGCCATCTGCAATCATCTTCTCCCCTTTAATATAAATAATCTCAAACTCCTTCGCTTCAACCTATTCCATAATCCACTTAAAGCGTACATCCATACACCAGTTACGGCCAGAATTATTACGGTTAAGCACTCTATCCCTCGCATTCTTACTATCCGTATAAAGAACCTTCAAAGGTAGTTAACCGTATCCCAATTCTTTTATTATATACCCAATCCATTGTAATAACTTAGCTATCGGTACAAAGTTAGTAAACTCGGCCTTTATAGTACTTATAATCACAAATACCTACTTCTTTAATTTCTAATATACTAAACCTCTAATAATAAACACAATGTAGCCTCCAATACTATAACGGGTCATAGGATCATCAACGTAGGAAGCATCCCCGAATACCTTCATATCCATATTTACTAGCGAAAGCTTACCTCCCAAAACGATTCCCACATCTACATTCTTAATCAAGTACCGAAATAGGTACTTCATAATAGCCAAAGAACTGGTAATCGGCTTCGTATTAGCCTCGCATAATTTATTAACAATAAAGGTAATATCAAATCGGATACCCATAAACAAGTAGTTCAAACTACCCGTCTTCTTAATATAGGACTTCTATTACTCTAATAACTCGTCTCCCATCTTATAGTCCCCAACCTTAACGTCTTACGGCCATAGTATATTAACTCCATACAAATCACCATATTCAAACTTCGTAATTAATAACTTCGTATATCTAACCTAAAATATAAATACAGTACGTTCCTCTCAGTTTCTTACTACATTAAATCCCAAGAATATCTTCACTTCTCCCAAATATTTCAACTTGAAGTATTATAATAATTAATCTTTAATTTCCAAGATCACTATCTCAAAGGGCGCCGCAATCAGGAAGTCGTCCACGTATAGTACCAAAAGTGCTCCCAACTTCCCATTACTAAACAAGCATACATCTAAACTCACAGGTTCAAAGCCCAAATTCCTCAATATCAGCAATAAAGTATTAAACCAATAAAAAGGACTACTTTTAAAACCATATAGTACCCTACGTAATCGACAGACCAAACATTTAACACCCCTTAATCCTTTTTCTAATCCCGTCGGTTACTCTATATAATATTCTTTCCCAAGTAGTATTAAAGCGTTCAAAAAGGCCGTATTAAAATTAAATTAATAATAATCAAAATCCAAAACTGCTATAATAGCTAGAAAAATCTTTACGCTCGCCGCATTCGCTACGGCCACATAAATATCTTACGATATCCCAAGAACCTTACTCAAAGTTACCGCAAACTACCTAACGCACCCTTAAATCGGTTATCTTCAAATCTATATTTTCTTTCTCATTATAAACTCATTTTCTAGGAAGAACTTCCATTCCTTCTTCAAAGGGAAGCAAATCGTATACGCCCCGTTCTTCCAATACTACTAATTACTTCTCCATAGCTAATTTCCAATACAACTCGAAATTTTCCCGTTTTTTAGCCTAGCGATAATTCTTCGATATCGACGATAATGTTCCAAAATCAAAGTCATACATCACTTTAACAGAACTAAAGCATAAAATTTCCACCTCCTTCTATATTACTCCTCTCTCTAGCAAACTATAATAAAAATCAAGGATATCTATATCTACAACTCGATTATTACTGTCCACCACCTTCCACTAATTGCCTATAGAACCTAATATCGGCGCTACTCGTTGAAGGTAGCGTATTCTACCCGGTAGCGCTTCCTATTATCCCATTATCCGATTCTCCGCCCCCGCGGATATCTCAAGTTGCTCCGCCGTCGCTACCTCTATCTCCGTTATCATCACCTCCGCCCCCATAATAGTCTAAAGTTAATCCGTTATCGGTACTTCTCGGTCCGTCGTAGTAGCTTCTTATTCCGTAGGTAACAATTCGTCGGGCAATAGCGCTATCTCTGTATCCGCTATAATTTATTATAACTCCATTATAATTATTGAGGTCGTTATTAAAATTCGAGGGGGTTTTAAAGGGGTATCTATCAAAGGATCCGGTGATAACGACTAAATCTGGTTTCGTCGCGATAGAATCAGTTCCTCTTCGTCCAAATCATAGGGATTAATAAATAGAGAGTTATTAAAAGGTTCATATTCCTCCTCTTCATCCACAAGAGATTAAAACTTATTATTATTACTATTATATTCAATCGACGTAACCACCTCCAAGTTCGACGGTATCGCTCTCTATAATACTCTCGGCTATATTCCCAGAGTCTCCCGCGTTAGCCTCGGTAAAGTTTATCTTCCCTCCGGGCCTAGGATTTATTATCTCGGGTCTAAAAGTATTTCCGTCGGATTTAGAACTTAGCCTCCCGGGTCTAATACCTATCTTATCGGGCCTAGTAATAATATTAATGGTCCTAAACGTTCTATTTCGAAAGTAATTATTATTAAACTCGGAGATATCAGCGAAAGTACTCTCGGCTATATTAATTATTATAGTTCTAGCGTTAATTTTAATATTAATATTATACTTAAGGATAGCATAATTAAGGGTAGTTTAGGGTTTGATAATTTAATCCCTATAATAAAGGTAATTATTAATTCCTCTAATACCTTGTTTAATTCCTTCTAACTATTAATCTCCTTAATTTTCTTCGTCGATTACTCTAATGCCTTCTCTAGTCCCTTATTAATCTCCCTAATCATTTCCATCAATTTCGGCTGGTTAACCGTAATCCAAACCTCTTTCTTACTCTCCAATACCTTATTTACATCCTCAATCAATTAATTAGAAAATACTACAATATAATCTAATACCTACTCCTCTAACGTTTAATTTTTATTAGGTTCCAAGAATCTAACTGCACTTACTTTAATTAATTTCTTATATTCTAAATCCCAAATATAAAAAATCCTCCTATTCAAATTAATATATCCAATTAAATAATTTCGTTTTAAATATTCAATAAACTTATCTCCTTAAACCCGTCTCTATTTCTTAATATAATAATACGCTATATAATAGTACGCTTTTAAATATTTAATATTTATTTTTAAATTTAGAATACCCATTACCTTACTAAATACTTCGTATAGATTAATATACTTATCATTAGCCTTAGTAAAAAGAAGATTCATTACCT